TTTTTTTTTGGGGGGGGGTTCTTTGAGGGTTTCTAGGGTTTCTTTTGGAGAAGACGCCCGGCTCCAGTTCATATGTTTTTTTTTTTTTTTTGGGGGGGGGGGGGGGTTCTTTAAGGGTTTCTTTGAGGGGTGTTTTTAAGGGTTTCTTTAAGGGCTTGTTTTAGGGTTGTTTTTTTAGGGTTTTGGGGTTTTAGGGGCTGCAGTTCATGTGGGGTTTTAGGGTCTTTTGTTTAGGGTTCTAGGGTTTGGGAGTTCAGGGTTTGGTTCATGTTGGGTTCAGGGCTTCTTAGGGCTTTAGCGTTTTGGGGATTTTAGGGTTTTAGGGTTTCGGGGTTTTAGGGCTTTAGGGTTTAGGATTGTTAGAGTTTTGGGATTTTAGGGGCTCCAGTTCATGTTGGGTTTTTTGGTATTGGGGTTTTAGGGTTTGAGGGTTTTACGGCTTAGGGTGTAGGGTTTAAAGGTTGGTTCATGTTGTGTAGCTGGGGTTTATGAGGCTTATGGGGTGTAAGGGGTTTCAATGGGATTTGTAGGGGTTTGGGGGTTTGCAGGGTTTACTGGGTTTGTAGGGTTGATGGGGTCTGTTGGTTCAGCTTGGTTCGGGGTTTAGAAACGGCAGGGGTTTGGGGCAAGGCGTAGGTTATAGGGCTAGGGTCCAGGCGGTTTAGTGACAAGGGTAGGTCTGAGATTCCCGTCCGTGCACAAAGTACACATGTAGAACTGGTGCTTTCTTGTGTCGGTTTATAAGTCGGGTCGAAGAATGCTTTTAACTTTGAAACCCTACTTCTATCTACCCATGAACTTCCACGCACTTGCTGCACCACAGCACGGAGCCCGTAGTTGCAGTGCTGCTTGTGTCGGTATCGAACTCTCGGCCATACGCAGAGCTGGAGACACCAAACCTTATGAACCCTAAACCCTAAACCCTGAACCCTTTAACCCCCCCCCCCCCCCCCCCAACCACCCATAACCTAAGCCTTCATGGCTTGGCGGGTTTCTCGGAAACCCTAAACCCTGAACCCGAAACCCTAAACCCTAGACCCTGAACCCTGAACCCTGAACCCTGAAGCCCTGAACCCTGAACCCTGAACCCTGAACCCTAAACCCAACACAATCCCGCTTGTTGCGCCCCCATGACATCACTCACCCTCTGGGGCCCCGTCAAACCCTAAACCCCAAACCCCACACCCTAAACCCTAAACCCCAAACCCTAAACCCCAAGCCCTAAACCCCAAACCCTAAACCCTAAACCCCAAACCCTAAACCCCAAACCCTAAACCCCAAACCCCAAACCCTAAACCCTAAACCCCAAACCCCAAACCCCAAACCCTAAACCCCAAACCCCAAACCCTAAACCCTAAACCCTAAACCCCAAACCCTAAACCCTAAACCCTAAACCCTAAACCCCAAACCCTAAACCCCAAACCCCAAACCCTAAACCCTAAACCCCAGGATTGACTGTGAAGTCTTTCTGGGCGGCGTGCAGGGCCTCAAGGCGGTCACTGGCACCATCTGAAATCTTGCTGCCATCGTTCTCTTTGTAGCTGAGTAGTTAGGGTTTAGGGTTTAGGGTTTAGGGTTTAGGGTTTAGGGTTTAGGGTTTAGGGTTTAGGGTTTAGGGTTTAGGGTTTAGGGTTTAGGGTTTAGGGTTAGGGGTTAGGGGTTAGGGGTTAGGGGTTAGGGGTTAGGGGTTAGGGGTTGGGGGGTTAGCGGTTAGGGGTTAGGGGTTAGGGGTTAGGGGTTAGGGGTTAGGCTGTGGGTGTAGGGTGTAGGGTGTAGCTAAGTAGGTAACCTTTAACCTTTGGGGGTATATGCAAATCCTATCACTGAAAGGTGAACTCTTTCTGGCCCAGGCTTCTCAGCAACTAGTTCTTCCTCTCGCCCATGACGATGCTCAGTTGTCACGATCACGGCGGTTTTGCGACTGTTGCGCCTAAACCCCCCCAAACCCCAAACCCCAAACCCCAACCCCAAACCCCAAACCCCAAACCCCAAACCCCAAACCCCAAACCCCAAACCCCAAACCCCAAACCCCAAACCCCAAACCCCAAACCCCAAACCCTAAACCCTAAACCCTAAACCCTAAACCCTAAACCCTAAACCCTAAACCCTAAACCCTCCATCCTGAAATCGGAGGCGCAGAGCCTCTGGGGAGTGCTCTCAGACCGCTTGACGGTTCCGGGCTCAGCGATCCAGATCTTCGCACCGTGACAACCCGGGGAGGGTCGCTTGAAGGTTCATGGGTAGGGTTTAGGGTTTAGGGTTTAGGGTTTAGGGTTTAGGGTTTAGGGTTTAGGGTCTAGGGTCTAGGGTTTAGGGTCTATAGGGTTTTGGGTTTAGGGCTTAGGGCTTAGGGTTTAGGGCTTAGAGGAGTATTGGCTCTCCAAATATGCCCGAGCCCGCTCTCAGTGTAGAGTGTGAAGTGCCGAGAGCACATCATGTCGCCTGGACACCGGCGGAAGTTCATCCTTTCCCGCCCTTTGTCAGGGTTTAGGGTTTAGGGTTTAGGGTTTAGGGTTTAGGGTTTAGGGTTTAGGGTTTAGGGTTTGAAGCTTTAATCCCAAAAACCAACCCCAAAGACTGGAACGAGGCATTGCCAGCCTTCAAGAAAGAGTATGCCACGCTGCCGGGGCCTAAGCCCTAAACCCCAAACCCTGAACCCTTGAACGCTTAAACCCCTAAACCCTTAGCCCTAAAACACTAAACCCCAAACCCTTACTCCTCAAACCCTAAACCCTAAACCTATGCCACACTGCCTGGGCCTAAGCCCTAAACCCAACGAGGCGTCCTTGCTTGGAGGTTCATGGGTACTTACAAGCAGGGTTATAAGTACCCTAACTAGAGGGATAGGGTTAGAAGTTGCCATATCTGCATAACCCTACTTATAACTATGTACCCCTGAACCTCCAAGTGAGCCTCAAGCATCACCAATGCTTATCTGGTTGCAAATTCTCCCTTCTGGTACTTTCTCCTTTGCAAAATGGCTGGTCCGGTTGTAATCTGGGGGAGGGGGGGGGAGGGGGGGCGAGGGGGTTACTTCGGAGCTGGTGTCTCGCTTCTCGCGGTTTGAGTAGATACTGAGCCCTCAAGTATAGGTCGCCTTCTGCGCCTCGACGTAGTGGAGAGTGCAGTGGGGCCCTCCAACCCTTTAGCTATAGGCTTTGGGTCTTTGCAATCTCAGTCAAGGTTGGTGATCAGGCCATGGGATTCCAGAATTACACCCAACACCCCAAACCCTAAACCCCACAACGCTTCGAAGTTCTTAGCTTGCGGCCTTGTGGCGGTCTCTTGGCCCAGGGGTTTGGGGTGCAAGAGTTGTTTCCCCGAAAGACAAAGGAGCCCGTTATGAATACTGATACTTCCGGGGGTAGCCTGATTATGGGGGTCCCTTGGAAGTAAAGGGCAGGGTACAGTATCCGCAATTTGTGGGTTTAGGGTTTAGGGTTTAAGGGTTTAAGGGTTTAAGGGTTTAAGGGTTTAAGGGTTTAAGGGTTTAAGGGTTTAAGGGTTTAAGGGTTTAAGGGTTTAAGGGTTTTAAGGGTTTAAGGGTTTAAGGGTTTAAGGGTTTAAGGGTTTAAGGGTTTAAGGGTTTAAGGGTTTAAGGGTTTAAGGGTTTAAGGGTTTAGGGTTTAAGGGTCCATCTTACAGAGAAAACCCCAGTGCCCGGCTCCGCGCACTGCTGCGTTGATGGGGCGCAATGGCAGCCATGAGAACGGCCGTCGACCAGGACCCTCGCGCTTCATCACAGCTTTCGGGACCATGTGACCCCAACAATGGGAGGTTATATACCTTATACTACTACAAGTCCTGTTAAGGTATATGAACCATACACCCTTTTGGTCCCGTAAGCCCTCCTGGCGTAGAAGATCGCTTCCCCCCCAAAGAGTGTGCGAGTTTCGGCTTTAGTAAACCTTGGTCATAGTTGGGTAGCATTTTACATCTTTCAGGGTACTTAAATTAAACCCATTAAGGAATATCAATTTAAATTTTTAACACGATCCCAACCATGAACTAGAAACCTCATCTGCCAATGGCGCCAGCCAAGATCATGACTCGGACATTAGCCTTGCTCTGAGCTCTTCAGCTGTGGAGGCAGTTTGCTTCCTGCATCTTGCATATCTTCTACTGAAGCGAATGCATCACAGCAGAGCCATACACCCTAAGAAGCAACTTGCATGCAAGACTAAACCCTAAACCCTAAACCCTAAACCCTAAACCCTAAACCCTAAACCCTAAACCCTGAACCCTAAACCCTAAACCCTAAACCCTAAACCCTAAACCCTAAACCCTAAACCCTAAACCCTAAACTCCAACCCTAAACCCTAAGCAGGACGTCCTCAGGTTCACGAAGGCCATCAGCGCTTGCGGCAGGTCGTCCAGGCGAGCAGGGCGAAACCGGAACAGAGGACCTTGCGAGCCCCCCAAGCTACTTTTTTAGTCTTAGTAGGTGTAAAGGCCAACCCAGGCAAGCTGATCCTGATGCCTTGCCTCATGGTCCCCATCGTCTATGGCCTCATCCGTCTCGTCCCCACCAAGAACCTTAGTAGCTGAGTGAGTACACTTTACACTTTTTGGGATGCTCTAATCCCCTGATAGAACTGAAAGCGTACACTTTTTGGGGGGGGCGTATGAAGTCAGCAACTGTAGTAGGTTACCGAGCAGATCCAAAAGGAGGTCAGAAAGGTAGAGCTTTTGGGTAGAATTTGGGGGGTTCCCTCATCCTGAAGCCCCAAAAACCCTAAAAAACGGCAGGAGGGCTCTGCCCCTGCAGGGCCAGGCTGGCCATGCTGGAACCCCAATTAAAATCATCGCCCGACTTTCTAGCACCGGGGACCATGTGCCTTTCTGTGGAACGCTCCGTACAAGTTTGGGGCCTGCCTGGACTGGGATGCACCCCTGTCCTGCAAGCGGCTATCCCCTTGCTGTGCGGGTTTTATCAAAATCGAGCCCCGGACCCCAACAAACCGCACAGACATCAGCCACCGACCAGGTGGCAGGAAGCATGCCAGCTTCTGGCGGAAGCTGGGCAGACTGGCACCCCCCTAGGCCCCCCAGACCTTGCAACCGTAAAATTCCCCCAAGCCCTTGATTTGGGGGGTTTTCGGGCTTGATGGACAGGGGTTAAGGTTTTAGGACACTCACCAGAAAGGCTACCAACAACCACTCCAGGAGCCGAAGAGCTCAACAACCGGAAGAGATCTTCCGCCCCCCCCCCCCCCAGGTGTTGCGGTAGACTCTAGTGACTCTAGACCCAAGGTTTGCTGTGGGGGGAGAGGCGAGGGGGAACGTCACTCAAGCTGCAAGCTTCCCGGCGGTTGTGTTTCAAGGGGGTCCGAAGCCTTAGAGAACAATTTTACTTTGAAGCTTTGGGATGCTTCTTGTGGGCGGTGTTTGCGCGTCAGCACTCTTCAACAAGCTGTGTTGGCGTAGGGTGCGAAAGGCGAAGGGGGATTGTCAAGTGTGGCATCCCAAGGAGCTGCTCCCTGAAATCTAAACACCACAAAAACCATCCTACATCCCCAACCCCCCAGCGCAGTCGGGTTTAGGGTTTAGGGTTTAGGGTTTGAACGCTGGCCCACTGGGCCCTGAAACCGCCCCACCTTGAGAAATCCGAGGACATGGAGCGCGAGTCCGTGTGGGGGAACACGTTCACCTACAACGCAGCGATGGCCGCATGCGGGAAGGGGCGGCGGCGTGGATGCAAACCCTAAACCCTAAACCCTAAACCCCAAACCCTAAACCCCAAACAAGTTGGTAAGTTCCAGGCACCAGGTTCTGCAAAGGCACCCGTGGCCGCGAACCAGGCCAACGACACACCCCTGGGCTCGAACCATACCTGCCCCAATTCCTGGACTGAGTTTAGGGTTTACTAAACCCTAAACCCTAAACCCTAAACCCTAAACCCTAAACCCTAAACCCTAAACCCTAAACTTTAGGGCCAGTCTTTAGGGTGTTCAGGGCTTTTAAGTTAGGCTTGGTGTTCATGATGTATGCTGAGTTCAGGGTATACAGGGTTGACGAGGCCAAAGATGTTGATGCAACGAAGGCAGTGGCAACGAGCGCTGGCTCTCTTCGCAACCCTGGGTACCCTTACTGTCGACAAGGACCTTGTCTCCTACAACACAGCCGCCTGGTAATCATTCTCCCTTGCCATTGGGGGGACGAAATGAACCCTGAAAGGGTTTATGTTTCAAACACCTTAGTAGGAAGTATTATTATAGCAATTATAGGGTATCTGATCCCAATTTTCGTCTTCATCGAGGTGGAGGTTGTTCTAGAATCTGGGGGCGTTGCATAACAAGAGTGATGACGCTAGGAAGACGAAGCCTAAACCCTGAACCCTTAACCCTTAAACCCAAAACCCTGAACCCTAAACCCCAAACCCTAAACCCCAAACCACCCTAAACCCTAAACCGTAAACCCTAAACCCTAAACCCTTGCGCCCCCGAGGCCATCAACGCATGCAAGGACGGGGAGAATTGGGCCTATGCCTTGCAGCTGCTCTCGGAAGTTTCCTGGGCCGCACTCTCCGTTCACGACCTTCTTGAGGGTTTAGGGTTTAGGGTTTAGGGTTCCGAATCCTTCCCTGCGCTTTATTTCCCATGAGTTTCAGTCGTCTAGTAAAATGCCCCTCAATTAGTAGGTATCGCACATCAAGCTGTCGGGAAAGAGAGTCCCAGGGATACCTTGAGGGGACCAAAATGAACCCTAACATTGGGGTCAGAAGCCCTGTACTGCTGGAATTCCGATGAAGGCATAAGATGAACCATGAATCAGAATCAAATAATTTTGGTAGGCAACCCCCAGTTCTTGTACTCGTAGCTTCTCTCGTGGCTTTTCACATGTCCGGAACTTATCGTAGGACCCTAAACCCTAAACCCTAAACTCTAAACCCTAAACCCTAAACCCTAAACCCTAGACCACGGGTTGTCTACGATGAGTTTCGTGCGAAGTGCAGCGGAGACAAGAAGCCCGGAGAGCAGGCAGACCCTGAACCCTAAACCCTAAACGCTAAACCCTAAACCCTAAGCCCTAGACCCTAAACCCTAAACCCTAAACCCTAGTTTTAACGGAACGGCTTAGCGGAGCCAAGGTGTCTGAAAGCGGCTTGCAAGCGGACGTTATCACTCTCAACGCTGCCGCTCGACCTTAATGGCTGTGTCGTTTCAGGGTTTGGGGTTTAGGATTAAGGTTTGCCTTGGGAACCAAACGAACCCTATGTTGGGGTCATATACCCAATTACACTTAAAACGCCGATTAAGGTATATGAACCATAAACTTTGGGGGGGGGGGGGGGGGGGGGGCGGGGTTCTTGGCAGGCCAGGAGGCTATCTTCCCTAAACCCTCGGCCCTAAACCCTATAAGCCCCTCAAACCCAAGCAGAATCTGCTTGGCCAAATGGTCGCTTCACCGGTTTGGGAGGATGCACAGGAGCAGTTTAGTTCAGGTGGCCAAGGACACACCCCGGCTGCAACATCACCGAGACAACCCTAAACCCTAAACCCTAAAACCCTACATCACGGAGACCCCCCATGTGTTATTGCACAAAAGCTAGTTGCGGCAAGCACGAAGCCCATCAACAGAGGAAAGGCCAAGCGGCATGCTGCGTGGGAAAATGTCTGACATTTCAGAGCAGTGATTGTCGCTCATGCATCCCCAAGTTAGGTTCCTTGGGGGCCAAATGAACCCTTAAACGGGTTAATGGTTCGTGTACCTTTCTTGGGAAATATAGTAGCATGGATATGACTCCAATTTTAGGGTTCATTTGGTCCGGGTGCACTGAGGCCGTCAGTGCTTGCGAGAAGTCGGGGCAGTGGCAGCGTGCGTTGGAACTTTTTGGTTCTCTGGAGGTGACCGGGACCTGGCCCCTTCCAAGAAAGTCGGCTTCGAGGTAATCGGGAGGTAATGGTTGTTGAGGACATTCAGCTTACTTCAGTTGGGGGGTTGTGGGCCCTAAACCCTAAACCCTAAACCCTAAGCCCTAAACCCTAAACCCTAAACCCTAAACCCTAAACCCTAAACCCTAAACCCTAAACCCTAAACCCTAAACCCGCTGAGCTGAATCAGACATCAAGGGTGTGATGTACGTTTCTTTCCAGGCAAACTCCCTGGGTTCGGGCTCCTAAGGCGCCCGCTGACCCACACATCCCTGAGCCTCGTTTCTCCCCCTTCTGGCCCCCATGACTAAGGGTTTAGGGTTTAGGGTTTAGGGTTTAGGGTTTAGGGTTTAGGGTTTAGGACCACTAAGGCAGGGTAGCAAGCAGGGACCACAATCTCGCGAGAACTGCCCAGGTGAGGCCAATACCCCAGCACATCCCGAAAGCCCTGCGTAGCCACCAACCATCGCCTTCACGCTTTGCGCTCGCTTTCACTTAAAACCCTAAACCCTAAACCCTAAACCCTTGTCCCTGCAGGCCCGCAATCTCGCTCCCCAGGCGGGATTTAGCACCGGGATTTTTAGAAGCTTGAGCTTCAGCCTTACGTTTCCCCGAGGTGTCTTCACCCGAAACCTTCTGCCTTGTATACCCCGTAAACTCAAATGCTTCATCATCTTCTTAAGCCCTTACAAACCCTACAAGCGTACTTAACTCCGCCTGCATTCGGAGCTGTTGACTGAAGCCTTGCCTTGGCAGCTCCCATGTGAGTGGGCCCCTTTGTGACCTGTTCCTCCGGGGAACTTCCCTTATAAACCCTAAACCCCAAACCCCAAACCCCAAACCCTAAGGATCGCCCAGCAGATTGCCCAGTCATAGCCAGACTGAACGAAGCTATACTAGGACCTGTGCTTGATCCTATCTGTATGCTTGCTCGGCAAGCACACGCTGTGATGCATTGCAACGTCAGCTGAGCTGTCACTCTTACTGCGTTTTAACCCGCCCTGTTTCCGCGGGGTTGGCAGGTTGGCGCTGACGTAAACTTATACTAGGACCTGGAAGTCGGCACCGTTTTCTCCTTTTTTCTGGGCGGTTGGCGGTTCCATAACTCATCCCCTTCAAACCAGCAAGGGCACCCTTAAACCCTAAACCCTAAACCCTAAACCCCTTGGTATTCCTAGGTTCCTCCTTATACTTGCCAATTTTGGGACAGTGCTGAGCCGCCAAAGTCAGTTTCTGAGGGCTAAGGCCAAGCCATCCTGACCCTCGCTCTGTCCATACGGTGTATTCGAAACCCTAAACCCTAAACCCTAAACCCTAAACCCTAAACCCTAAACCCCAAACCCTAAACCCTAAACCCTCTAGTTCTAAAAAATGTCCATAGGCAGTCACCTGGGTTGGTGTCATCGGCGCTTGCACTCGCGCTGCGCTGTGGATGGAGGTCCCAGAGTACAGGGACCCTAAACCCTAAACCCTAAACCCTAAACCCTAAACCCTAAACCCTAAACCCTAAACCCTAAACCCTAAACCCTGCGGAAGAGCAAAGCCATGGCCCGACGTCCATCAAGTCTGAGTGTGGCGAGAGAAGCCGGGTTTGGGAATCTTGAGTTTCGGGTTTAGGGTTTAAGGTTGTTTATGACTGGGCTTTGGAGTGAAATCTCGGGACTTCGCTGCAGACAGTGACAAGCGAATGCTCGGCTCTTCTTTGCATAGCTGGGACTTATTTAGCCTGTCTCTTTGAGAAGCACGGTCCAATAATCTACTCCTTGTCTTCCATAGCCCACTCCATCGAAATTGAAGCATGGGGGTCTCAGGATCGGGTTGCCCATAGCCCCCTTAGGCACTAATGTTTCATCTTCGGAGGACATAACACCAGGGAACATTGTCAACCCTGAACCCTCAACCCGAACCCCCCTAGTCTAGTCCCTGAACCCTAAACCCTAAACCCTAAACCCTAAACCCTAAACCCTAAACCCTAAACCCTAAACCCTAAACCCTAAACCCCCAAAATGGGGCCTTGGGCTCAGGCTCTGGGCTGCTTGTGTCGGCACCTTGGGGATGTGCCGAACACGCCTCCCAACGTGATCGTGCAACTTGGGCCCCATGGGACCGTGCTCGCATGGACTTAAAGAATGCTGCACGCAGGGTTTAGGGTTTAGGGTTTAGGGTTTAGGGTTTAGGGTTTAGGGTTTAGGGCTTAGGGTTTAGGGTTTAGGGTTTAGGGCGGGGCCTATGGAAGTCGCCGTGCATACTACTATCAGCATTGGAAATTACACAACCTCTTGGGATTGTGAGACGATGATCTTGGTAGCTTCGTTCAGGGGCAAACCGATCAGGACGGCGTATGGGGGCGGATGGCACACAGCCTTCGGCAAAGGCCGTCGACCCCCCCTAGCCTTCGTCGAAACCCTTGGCCTTCGTCGATCCCCCGTCCCGGCCCTTGTGGCCTTCGTCGAACCTCCGGCGTTCATTTAGCCTTCGTCGAAGCCTCGCGTTTTTTTTCGGGCTTGTCTTGGCCTTTTGTATCGGCCTTCGTCGAACCCCCTCCCCCTTCGTCGAACCTCCCGGCCTTCGTCGAACCTTCGCCCGCACCCGCGGCCTTCGTCGAACTTCGTCTCGGCCCGTTGGTATCCCGAGTCTTCGTCGAAGTTCCCCGGCCATCCTGCTCTTCGGCCATCCTGATTTGTTTTCCCCTTATTCGTCAGGCTTCTGCACAAGACAAGATGCACTAGCGTGGGGTTTGACTAGCAAACGCTGTGTTGGCCCATGTCCCCAGCTGTACTGTTGCGCAAACGAGGCAGCGCATTGGCATAATGCATGTGTACCTCCTTGGCACTTGCCTGTTTGGCTATATACTGTACTGTAGCAGCCATCCGCCCGCTAATTCAAGGGTTTAGGGTTTAGGGTTTAGGGGTTTAGGGGTTTAGGGTTCAGGGTTTAGGGTTTAGGGTTTATTCAACCCCAGGTACAGCGCGACCATCAACGCCTGTGAGAAGGCCAGCCAGTGGCAGCAGGCACTGTCCCTGCTGATGCAGCTGGAGCAGCAAAGCTTGGAGAAGAATGTTGTGTGCCTGGGACGAGAGCCCCTGGGTCTCCTTTTCAAAAGTAGAGGGGTAGTATGTTCTCAAATTCGGTTCCCTTTTAAAGGTTCCCACCTTGTAGGGCAACTTAGAGAAAGGACCCTCCCCCAAAAGGGACCTTAATTGGACCCTAACTTACAGAACTACTGATACGCCCTTCGTTGATTCACGGGGTTGCTGCATTTAGATTCTGAATCAAGGTTGGGTCTCCTCATGGTGTGTATGCCATAAATAGCCTAGGGGTTTAGGGTTTAGGGTTTAGGGTTTAGGGTTTAGGGTTTAGGGTTTAGTAACCTGGTTACATAGCAAATGACATCCTACCCTTATTACGGGAACTTAGCTTAGCAAACAAGAGCCCGCTAACTCGTCCGTGGCCACTCCGCCGAACACATTTCCGAAAAAAACGAACAAACTCCTAACCGTACCCCTAAGCCCTAAACCCTAACACCCAAAGCCCTTTAAATCCTCGAAACCCTCAACCCTTGAAACCGTAACACCCTGAACCCCCCTTTCTTAGTGGATGGTCGACTTGGAACCCCTGAGGCCCCTAAACCCTAAACCCTAAACCCTTAACCCTTAACCCTTATATCCTAAACCCTAAACTTAAACCCTAAACCCTAAACCCTTGAAATCCCTGAAGGTGCCAGAACTCCGCGATGAGCGCGTGTGTCAAGTGTGCCATGTGGCAGCTGGCAGTGCAGCTTTTCGCGGATCTGGAGGCCCCCTCCTTTGGGACCAAATGAGCCATGAAAGGGTTTAGGGTTTAGGGTTCAGGGTTCAGGGTTCAGGGTTTAGGGTTTAGAGGGTTCAGGGTTTAGGGTCCACTAAACCTTTGTTTAGAGACCAGGCTTTAGGGGGCTTAGGGTTTCGGGAGCTTAGGCTTTCAGGGAGTCTAGGGCTTGGGGTTGTGCAGTTGTCTTCCGTCTCAGAGGCCGAAAGAATTGCAAAGGGTCCCGGAGGCACAAGGATCCCGAAACCAAAGTCTTGGCTAGCGGCTAGCTTCCCTAGAAGTCCCCAACTTCCACAACCTGCAATCTCCCCCCCTATCTCGCTCAAGGATCCACGTCGGGCGCCCCAAAGAAATGACCCACGTCTGCAGAAGCGCCGGAAGATTCTCAAACTCTTTGGCGCCCCCGAGGATGAAGCGAGCGTGGTGTCCTACAACACGGCCATCGCCGCTTATGATCGCGGAGGCCCGTGTGCCGAAGGAAGTAGAAGTAACTTAGGAAGGCCTCACAAACAACGAAGAAAGAGTGAACATACAGCAAAGAAGTGAACAAAATGTGTTGTTGCGAGTTGGAGCATCTGGCATATCTGGTGGTAGGAATGCCTGCATTTTTTGTAAAGATATGCTATGGCAGCCAGCACAAGAGCCACGCTATGCCCCGGCCCCCCAAACACGAGCCAATCTTGGACCAAAATCATGTGGACCGTCCTTGAGCCGAACTCCAAAAGCATGGGGCATGGGCCTCGAAACGCAAAATGCCTTCTGTCAACTCGTTGCAGCAAGACCCATCTAAACAACCCTAAACCCTAAACCCTAAGCCCTAAACCCTAAACCCTAAATCCTAAACCCTAAACCCTAAGCCCTAGGCCCTATAGACACCAGAAGACTTCACGCAGAGCCCGAAGCCCGAACCGACCCTGGCATGAAATGCTCCGGAGAGCGCAGGTGGCCTTACTGGGTCTAGGGTTTAGGGTTTAGGGTTTAGGGTTTAGGGTTTAGGGAATCTGGCCGTATAACAGGCCCCTGGATGGTAGTCCTATGTCGCCCTTTAGATCGCGCTTCATGGGTTATGGAGCAGTTTTGCCCCCCAGTTCTCTGATTCCTTATCCTGAGAACATGTGAGAACTACTGAGTAAGCAAGCCTAAGCGTTCACCACCCCCTCCAGATCAGCAGACCTGAGCGAACCGTTTTGTTTGGAGAAGCTACTCGTTTAAACCCCAAACCCCAAACCCCAAACCTAAACCCTAAACCCTAAAACCCTAAACCCCAAACCCCAAACCCAAAACCCTAAACCCTAAACCCGAATCAGTCCTTCTCCACTAGGCAACTGGCAGATGGCCCTAGCTGTCCTAGCCGAGCTCTTGGCCGGCCCAAGACGGCCCGACCTCGCAGCTGGGTTGGATGGGTTTAGGGTTTAGGGTTTAGGGTTTAGGGTTTAGGGTTTAGGTTTTAGGGTGTAGGGTTTAGGGTTTAGGGCTTAGGGTTTAGGGTTTAGGGTTTAGGGCTAGAGAGAGCTTGGGGCGTGGGGCCTAGTGGAAGGTTCGGGAATGCCTCTTTTGAAGAGGGAAGGCTGCAGGAAACCTATAGGCTCTACTTTGGGTTGGGTTTTGGGTTCGTTCAAGGGCTCTTGAGGGGCTTCTATGTCGCCCAACAAACACAGCCACAAGTCTAGACTAAAACCTAACACCGTGTCAAGAGGCACAGTCACGGCACAGTCACGACCGGGATAGCTTGTTGAAGCAGGTGCAACATCAAGGTGCTCTTGTGCAAACTGCTTTGCGGGGTCACAAGCGTTCGTTGGGTTGAAATGACTCAGCTGCTCAGGTGTCCTTCAACACCGCGATCAATGCTTGCAAGGACGTGGGCTTCGATCTTCAAAGCAAACACGTCTCCTTTCCCTTGTCCGGTGAAGCATGACATGTTGAGAAGCTGCGGAAGCATGGTCAAGTTTGCACGCTTCACCTTGAGGAGGGGTTAAGTTCTCAAGCTGCGGGCATGGACTGAAATGCCCTGGTGCCAAAACTCAGAATCTGCAGCGACCGAAAGAGCCCCCACCTTCAACCCAGAAGCCACAGGAGAGCAAGGCCAGTTTTGAGGCTAAACCGGAACCCTACAGTGATGCATGATAACACAGTGCAGGTATGCATCTACATATGTGCACATGTCATATACATATACATACACATATGCATTATGTACATATGCATTATGTATATATATACATATATATATACACATAGACAAGTGAACAGACATATACACGTACATATGCAAGTATGATTTATACGATCGTTGTTCTTGTAGTGACTACTGATGACCACATAAAAACATGTTGGGCCCTGCAGATGGAGCGCCAGGAGGGCCACGTGGGTGAGGCCAAGCGGCTTTATGCGCAGCTCCGAGAATTCAAACTGAAGGCTTCGGGGGTTGAAAAGCTGGGTTTAGGGTTTAGGGTTAAGGGTTTAGGGTTTAGGGTTTAGGGTTTAGGGCTACCGCCTGGCTTTGAGCCGTTTAGGGTTTATATAGGGTTTAGGGTGTAGTGGTCCCTTAGGGAGCCCAGAAGTTGTTAGGGTGTAGGGTTTAGGGTTTAAGGGTTTAGGGTTCAGGGTTTAGGGTTTAGGGTTTAGGGTTTAGGGTTTAGGGTTTAGGGTTAGGGGCATAGATCGAGGGTCAAGCCTCGGGCGGTTCTTGCTTGCAGCAGTGCTGTTCGGTCGTGCAGGCTCGGGAGCCTGGCTTGTGCTGTCGAGTGCATGGTGCAGGCTTCCGCGATTTCAGGCTAACCGATGTTCACCGTAAACCCTGCACCCTAAACCCTAAACCCTAAACCCTAAACCCTAAACCCTAAACCCTAAACCCTAAACCCTAAACCCTAAACCCTAAACCCCGATTCCGGACCGATGGTCCCCCCCCCCCGGGCATCTTGGCAGAGGCAGATTCCATCACTTGCTCCCTGGCTGCCATGTGGAGTCAGGAGGTTCAAGGAATCAGGAGGTTTAGGGTTTAAGGTTTACGGTTTACGGTTTAGGGTTAAGGGTTAAGGGCTTCCCTGTGATCGTAGGGTTTCTATCACCTGCATCCCGAGCTTCTCGTGAATCATTGGCGTTCGGCGATTGCGGGTAGCTCTGCAAGTTAGGAGACGTAATAATAAGCATAACAATAAGAAGAATAATCATAACAGTAATACAAAATAATAATCATAATAATAGTTTTTATAGTACACTAGTCTAAACGTCGACTAGTCCAATAGTCTAATCATGTAACATCGTCTAACCAATCGGCCAATAGTCTCACAGTCTTATCGTGTAATAATAGTATCGAAGCATACTACAAGATACTAGTATACTGGATAATCGTACAACAGTATAATCGAAACATCGTACAGCAGCATAAAACCCTAAACCCGAACATCCCTGAGTCTAGCACGACCCTAAACCCTAAACCCGAAACCCGAAACCCTAAACCCTAAACCCGAAACCCTAAACCCTAAACCCTAAACCCTACCCCTGAACCCTAAACCCTAAGCCCTAAGCCACCGCATCAACAGATCCGAGCCTTGAAGTGCCCTACAGTCCGTGGCCCTTCACGCCTCACCCTTCCCCCTCAAATAGACCCTGAACCCCCATCCCTTGGCCCGAAGCCCTAAACCCTAAACCCTAAACCCTAAACCCTAAACCCTAGACCCTAGAACCGTAGAACCGTAGAACCCTAAACCCTAGAACCCTAGAACCCTAGAACCCTAGAACCCTAGAACCCTAGAACCCTAGAACCCTAGGACCCTAATCCTGAATCTCTTGGCCCTTTGGCCCCACGAGGCACTTCCCTGATCAGCGCTTGCACTGCAGAGTGGCGTCAGGCTGTGGCCTTCCTAGCGGAGCCACCCGGGCAGCACAGGGGGTTTAGGGTTTAGGGTTTAGGGCTTAGGGCTTAGGGCCTAGGGCTTAGGGCTTAGGGCTTAGGGGTAGTTAGGGGCCATTTAAGGGTAACTTTCAGTGTCGTTTGCGGTAGATTTTCGGGGTCATGTTTAGGGGGGTAGGTAGGGGGCTTTGGGGGGGAATTGCGGGTGACAAGGGTTGAGGCCGTTTTAGGGTTCCCTAAACCTTAAACCCGAAACCCTAAACCTTGAGGCTTTGCCGGGCCCCGAAGCCTCCCGAGTTGGATCGAAGGCCTTGTAGGGGGTTTCCGAAATTAGGGGGTACCTTGCTGGGGTCCTTATGATAAGGGAATCCTACTATTTGGGGTCCTAAACCCTAAACCCGAAACCCTAATCCCTAACCCCTAAACCCTCTTGTTTTCGTAAACCCCGCTGTAGGCCCAGAAGGATGGCGGGGGGACAAAGGTCTGAGCACGTTTGGGGGGTGAAGAGGGGTGCGAAGGATCAAGAAAGGCAGACAGCATGTCCTGACATGTTTGATCATGGAAGCGTGGTCGCAGCTTGTGGGCTCGTATGGACAGGACCGTTGTGACTGCAGGGGCCACAGGGTCTTTGAGTAGCCTCTTGCTTAACGCTCTTGCTCAGAGCATTCAAGCCCCGCCCAATTTCGATCCGTGCCCAGTGTGCCTCGATTTCGACGTAGATCTTCATCCTCGATCTTTGGCGCTGGGCGTGCTAATAGGCATCTTCTTGGGCCCTCTGATCGACTTGGTCTACGGGCTACGGATCCTGTGGCGGCGCTCCTGCCAGCGCTGGCTGGCTGGGCTAGGCAAGACCTCCTTGGCGCTCTACCGCGTGCATGAGTGAGATCGCCTACTTGATGCTGCTGGGCTGGGTTGGCCCAGTCAGGTGGAGGCATGAGCAGTGACAGTGAAGACGAGGAGGCTGCTAGAGACGTCCGGGGCAACCTCCTGTTCAGCGGAAACCGGGCGCGACTAGAGTACAAGCTGGGGTCCATCTCTTGTTCCGAAACAGGAGAAACTTCAGCCATTATCGGCATTGCGGAGCTTGGGGGAAGGCTGATTGTGGGAGTTCCTTGGGCGGCCTGGCATAAGAAAGTTGCAAAGCGCAAGCTCGAGAAAGGTGCCCTGGGCAAAGCCATCCTAGTCGACGTGGTTGGGGCCTATCCTGCTGATCTTGGTGAGCCCGCAGAAGAGCTGGTTGTTCGGCTATGGGTAGGAGTTCTTGCCATGCAGGCGGAGGCGAGCGTGAGCTACCAGCAGGGTGTGGAGCACACCTACAGCTTCGGGGCAGATGCCCTGCCGTACGGGGAGGCTCTTGTGAAGGTCGCCGACGAGCACTTCGCCTTCACCACGGCAGAGTCTGGTGGAGGGGGCGAGGGCATGTTCCGTCGTATGTCCCAGGTCGAGGCGGGCCTGGCCGAGATGAAGAACCTCTTGCAGGACCTGGTTGCTCAAAAGTCGAGCGAGGCTTCAAAACCGCCGCTGCTGAAGCCGAGGACCAAAAGCAAAGCTGGAAAGAGCAGGGGAGAAGAGCTTGGTTTGCAAGGACTAGATCCCAGCACAGTTGGCGCTGCCCGTGCGGCTGGCATAAGCGACGAAGCCCTGAAGGAGATGGGGAAGTTGGTCAGGGCCAAGAAGACTCGCGCCACCGAGGCCGCAGTCAGCTTAGTCGACCCGCTCGCCGAGTTGGAGGCCGGCTCGGACGGCGACGACGGTGCTGGGTTGGGCTTGGACGAGTTGGATGGCGTCCTGGATGGAGCGGAGACGGAGGAGCCCAACAGGATGGAGAAGGCCATCTTGCAGCTCACCCGCATCGTGGGCACATTGGTGACAAAGAAGAATCCGGACCTGGACACCGTGCTAGACCATGGCAGCTTGGGCAGCAGTTCAGAGTCTGGAGGTCTGGGCGCAGGAAAGAGAAGTACTGCGGCCCTCCGCTTTCTGAGCCGAGCTCTGGAGGAGCAGCCGAAGGTCATCTACGATGCAGTGGAGGCCCAGCTTCAGAAAGACTTGGGAGGCCTCGCTACTGGAGACTCGATGGTGAAGACGTGGCTATGTTCTCGCTCTCGGATCCAGAACTTTCACACTCAGGTGAGATGGTCGTGGCAAGTCGGGGCCATTTGGCAGGATCTCATCAACGGCGACGCAGACCGCGCGCGCGCGGGCGGCGCTCCTCATTGCCGCCTCGGATCAATCCTCCATAGATGGGGGCAGTTGGGTAATGAGCTCCGTGTCATTGTTGGAGGCGATGCCACCTTTCCAGGAATTTGCAAAACATTCCTTGCCAGGGCCTGCGGAAAACCAGACAAGCTCCCTTTACGACCCGCGATGGAGCGAGGTCTTCCTGAGCGCCCTTCGCGAGCGGGACGCTTGCAACGATGCCAGACGGAAACTTGCTCAGTTGGAGAAAGGAGGCCGACCAACGAAGCCAGACGACAAGGACCTGCCCTGGAGACCTCCGAAAGGAGGGAAGGAGGGAAAAGGCGGCAAGGGCGGAAACGCCAATGCCGAAAAGCCCGAAAAGTAAAAAGCAAGCCAAAGGGGGAGGTCTGCGAGAGCCCGTTTGAACCAGACCGTCCTCCTGAACTACTTGGCTCTTCTTCTTTTGACCCTCGTCTTTGCAGCGATCCAGGCTGTCGCGGAGGTGGGCGCGGATCTCCAGGCCGACCTGAAGACGGCGCCAGTCCTCACCGGCATGTGCCTGGAACGTGTGCGAGACCAGTTGACCCGCTGGGTGTCTTTCGTGACTTGGTGGGTAGAGTTTTCCAGTGCCCTACTTCTTTGGGTTGTTTTGCTAAAAGTTTCCTGCGTAAAGCCCAGTCCGGCATTGCAGCCGGCAAAACCCCGGGGTCGCATCCAGCAACGTGGCCGATGCCCCTGCCTTTTCCAGAAGTTCTTCGAGGCAATCCTTGGACGATTGCTCCAGCAGAACTTAAGCAGCTGATCGTAAATGTGCAAGTCATCCTGCTGAACTACCTAGACCTGGGTCGTCCCCGCGTAGCCCCCGCGTCGTGTCTTGGTCCTAGGCCTTTGAGCGCAGCTCAGTCCGAGATTGTGGCCCGACTGGAATCCTTCCTAGATGCTTGGTTCACGCTCGGCACGCTGGGGCCAGAAGACATGGGGCGAACAGCAGGAAAGATCGAGGACCTTGAAGCCGTCCTCAGCAAGCTTGCGACTTTGGTTGACGGCGCAAGCCCTGACTGCGCCAAGACCGGGACCCTTGGGCATCTGAAAGGAGCAAAAGTGTCGAGCTTCAAGCCGGTGGAAGCAGGGAGGTTGAAGTTCCGAGGCCTCCCAAACTTTGACCCCAGGCCATATCTCGACCCATTGTCCCTCTACATCTATGAGCATCCTATGGCATCTTCCATGGACCCAGGGGAGTTTGAAGGAGTTGTCCCGAAAGTTCGAGTACATTGCAGCAGGACCGAGAAGATTAAGCTGTTCGACCTCTTGGACCAGAGCAAGCGGATCAGGCTGTTTGAGCCAAGCCAAGTGCGCGAAGGGTTTGGTTCTGGAGTTTTCGCCGTGCTGAAGTCCTTGGAGTTGGATAGACTCATTTTGGACTCACGTCCTCACAATGTACTAGAGACGACACCGAACAGGTACATCTACACCTTGGGTTCTAGCGAAGTACTTGCGCAACTCCACCTGAGTGAGGGCGAAAACTTGTATCTGTCATCAAATGACATACGCGATTTTTACCACTTGTTCAAGGTCAGCCAGGAGAGGGCTCGACGCAACATTCTTGTTGGCACAGTGGCCCCGAGCGAGGTGTCACATTTGTCGTGTTTCGAGAACCATCTCTTCCGGCACCCCAGACTCTGCGTCGGCCTTGCCTGTCTTGCTATGGGAGACACGCAGGCCGTGGAACTGGCGCAGACCTGCCACTTAGGTCTGTGTCTCCAAAACTCGATCATCTCGGCCGAGACCCTGCTGGCAATGAGTTTGCCGCCTCCTAGGAGCAAAGTGGGATGCGGACTTGTGATTGACGATTTCGTTTCTTATGCAATTGAGAGTAGATGTCCGAAAGAAGTGTTGGCATCACCTACCAGGGCAGCGGTGTTGGCCGATGAAGCTCATGCTGCCTACACACGTGTCCAGCTCATTCCCCATGAAGACAAAGCTGTGAGAGATTCTCTGAGGTGCGAGATGTGGGGTGTTCTCATCGAGGGCGACGTGGGCTTTGTCAGAGGCTCACTTAGACGCGCTGCTCCTCTGTGCACCATCATTCTCACCATCTTAAAAATCGGTGCCGCTACGACAGGTCTTCTGGAAATCGTGGCTGGAGGCCTTATCGCTCTTTTCATATTGAGACGACGCCTTATGTCGCTTTTGCATGAGATCTTCGCTGCTATGCGGGGCCGTGAGCAGGATGAAGCCTTTTGGCTGAGCAATAAGCTAAAGGAGGAACTCACCATGCTGGTCGGTCTTGTGCCCACTGCAGTGGTTGAGCTCAGGACGGCGTATTCCGAAAAGGCGTACATGGTTGATGCTTCGAATTGGGGTGAGGCTGTGACATCGTGCCAGATTGGGTGCTTGTTTTCCAAAGAACTTTGCAGGCATTCGCTCCGGAAAGGAATCTGGACGCATCTTCTCAGCCCAGCTCGCGCTCGTGAACGTGGGCACGGGACTTTAGACCCTGCTTTTGAAGTGCCTGGAGGTGAGGCGGACTGCTTCAGAGCTCATCCAATTTGGACCACTCTAGCCAAGGCTGGGCGCTTCAAACTAGAGTACTCCAAGGCTGCCCGTTCCCGGCGCCACATCAACATCGGAGAGCTCCGCTCATACTTAAAGGCTGAACGGCTCGCTAAAGTACCTGGTAAAGCGACAAGAGCATGTGTGGGAGGCGACTCCCAAGTCACCTTGGGGGCAGTCCTCAAGGGCAGGTCAGCCAGTGCTGCCCTCAACCAAGAGATGCAGAAGTCGCTACCGCACGTTATAGGCTCAGGGCTCTATTCTTTCAGCATGTACTGCCCGACATCCATCAATCCTGCTGACGGGCCAACGCGAGGTCGTGATGTTCCTTCTCCACTTGAAGAACTTCCGGACTGGTGGGAGTCGGCGTTGACTGGGAAATTCGAGGGCATGGACGCTTGGTTGAAAGGCCTTGGGTGTGACCCCTTCACACTTTCTGGCTTGCCCCCGCTTGAAAAACTTGTCCAAGGCTGCTGAACGTGAAGTCCAAATGCAACTCGGAAAGAAGTACCTGACGAAGCTCAAACAGATCAGGACTGGCAGGCAAGAGTGCCAGGCGCCGGAACTAGAGCCACCGTCTCAAAACACGGATTTCATGTGCAAGTTGCTGAATGCTAAAGGGCAGCTTGTGCTACCTGCCGGTCGCGTAAAGGGAGATTGCGTCGGACGGCCAGGATACTTAGATCTGTTCTCAGGCACCGGTGGAGTCGCTCGAGAACTGGCCAGACTCTCTGGCCGGTGGGTTTTGAGCTACGAGATCAAGAATGGCTTAGACCAGGACCTGCTAGATAAACTTGTGCAAAAGGAAATCTTTGGCCTTTTGGATGCAGGAGCCTTCGTTGGGATTGGGGCAGCGCCTTCTTGCGCTTCTATGTCCCGGGCTGTCGCTCCTGCTGTCAGGACTCATGCGTTCCCGGAAGGTCTCCCTCACTTAACCCCGGCCCAAGACAAGAAGGTTAAGGAGGGAAACGAGTTCGCAAGGTTCGTGGGCAAGTTGGGGATTCATGCTCAGCGTCTAGCAATTCCCTTCTGGATTGAAAATCCGAGCTGCTCCTTCCTGTGGATGCAACCAGAGATGATCACTGTGCAGGGCTTGCCGTTTGTGGGCTTTTGGGTTTTTGATTGTTGTGTCTTCGGCACAGCTTGGCGCAAACGTACGCGGGTCCTTACCAACACTGGGCTAGCCTGCCAGAAGACATTTTGTCGCGGCTGCAAAAGACACCAGGTGCTCAGAGGACGCTCCAAATACCAGAGATGCAGTTGGACTAAAGTTGCTGAGGCTTACCCAAAAGCCTTAAGTCTGGTGATTGCCATGGCGTTGACTGGGGCAGCGGGAGACAGGAAGGAGTTTGAAAACTTAGACGCTGCGTCCTGCGCTCGAGCGCTTCAGAAGGATGCCAAGGCGCCTCACTGCTGCTGAACGCGCTTCTCAGAGGAGCGGCATCTTCTTGGCAGGCGTGCCACTGGTAGGTGCCAAGACTGAGAAGCTGGAGAAAAGATTGTGGGAAGGTTTTCTCGAGTGGATCGCCGAGGACTGTAAGCCAGATATGGTCAAGTTAGTCAAGTTGCTCACCTCCTCCGCTTCTACAACCTCCACGTTGCTCCAATTGTACGGTGAGTACCTTTTCGAGGTCGGTGCGCCGCTCAGCTCCTTTAGACACTTAGTCACTTTTGCTCAAAGGCTGTATCCCGATTTCAAACTGCACTCCAAGCCCTGTTGGGATCACGTAACAAAATGGGAGATAGTGGAACCTTTGGTGCACAGAGTTCCTCTACCTGAGCGGCTCTGTGAAGCTATGGCTGCAGTGGCGTTTGCGTGGAAGTGGCCTCGTTTTGGGCTTGTCCTCCTCATCGCGTTTTATGGGATCCTTCGAATAGGCGAAGTTGTCTCTGCTTTCCGAAGTTCTTTGGTGCTTCCTTCAGATCTTTTGTCAGACAAGCTGGATAAGTTGTTTCTGCGTATTCTTCAACCAAAAACTGCGCGAAGAGGAGGAGGCAGACAGCAACACGTGACCATTGTTCATGGACCATTGGTTCGAGCATGTGAAGCAATTTTCAAAGGTGCAAAAAGTTCAGAGCCCTTGTTTCCTTTGTCAGCCCAGACATTCAGAAGACGGTGGGACCAGGTCCTGGAAGCACTACACGTTCCTCGTTCAGCTGCTTTGACTCCAGCTAGTGTTCGAGAAGGCGGGGCCGTGGCTTCGTATCAATCTGGCACTCCAGTTCATAACTTGGTCTGGCAAATGCGTGTCAAGCACGTTCACACGTTACAACATTACCTCCAAGAAATGGCAGCTGAGAACGTTCTTGGGCATCTTCCTTCTGATTCGAAATCAGCTGTTCGGTCGGCCTCTTCTTGCCTGACCTTGTTTCTCGACTCTTTGTAATTCACTGCCGAGGTCCTGTCCATGGCCATGGGCGCATGCTAGCACGCTGGCAGGCACCTTCTCTTACCTCGAAGCGGCCTGCTGAGAAGTGGTGGAGGCAGTCTCCGACTACGCGGTCCTGGAGTTTGCGGCTTCCGACGTGCTCTTCGGTTACCCGTTTTTCTGCTTCGTCGGCTACACGAATCCGCTTTTCGCCTCCGAGACCTTCGAGCTTCCCAGTGCCGCAGCCGAATACCGGCCGTGCAAAACTTTTCAGTGGGCACCGCTTGCGCAGTGAAAAGTGGGACAGCGATCAATTGCTGAAGTGAGCCAACATGTCCTGACATGTTTGATCATGGAAGCGTGGTCGCAGCTTGTGGGCCCACCCGCCCGCCCTTGCTGCTGTCCTGCTTGCGGTGCTGGGGGAGGCAGTCTCCGACTACGCGGTCCTGGAGTTTGCGGCTTCCGACGTGCTCTTCGGTTACCCGTTTTTCTGCTTCGTCGGCTACACGAATCCGCTTTTCGCCTCCGAGACCTTCGAGCTTCCCAGTGCCGCAGCCGAATACCGGCCGTGCAAAACTTTTCAGTGGGCACCGCTTGCGCAGTGAAAAGTGGGACAGCGATCAATTGCTGAAGTGAGCCAACATGTACGGTTTGGGGTTTGGGATTTAGGGTTTTGGGGTTAACCCTAAACTCTAAACCCTAAACCCTAAACCCTAAACCCTAAACCCTAAAAACCCTAAACCCTAGACGGGGTGGGGGGGGAGTCTTGTGAGTCTCGGCACAGCTCAGGTTCTACCGCAGCGAAAGCCAAAATGTTTTCGCGACCAGTGCCGCCACTTCGATGCCATGGCTTCCTCTTCTTTTCTCTTGTTTAGGGTTTAGGGTTTTGGGGGTGTAGGGGTTTAGGGTTTAGGGGTTCGGGTTTAGGGTTTAAGCTTTAGGGTTTAGGGTTTAGGGTTAGGGTTTTCGGGTTTAGGATTTTGGTTGCTCTGGGGCCCAGAGCAGCTTTGTTAGCTGGGTCGTTGGGATGGCTTGACCAGCAGTTTAGGGTTTAGGGTTTAGAGCTCTAGGGGCCAATGCATCAAACAAATGGACATTGCGCGTTGGGTTGCGAAGCACAGAGACGGCTTTTGGTCTTTGTCATGCCCGGGCAGGCGAACTCCACACACCCGAAGCCCTAAATCCTAAACCCTAAAGCCAAAACCCGAAACCCTAAACCCTAAACCCTGAACCCTAACCCTAAACCCAAACCCTAAACCCTAAACCCTAAACCCTAAGCCCTCTCCGAGCGTGTCCCAGGCCATTAGCGCCTGCGCGGAGGGATTGGCATGGTACTGGTCCCTGCAGCTTTTCGAAGACTTCCAGGACAGCACTTTGCTACTGTAGGTGTTTAGGGTTTAGGGTTTAGGGTTTAGGGTTTAGGGTTTAGGGTTCAAACCAACCTCCGACACCCTAAACTCCCTTAAGCCCTATACCCTAAACCGAAATGGGTGTTTCTGAAATGAGGGGTTCCTTGGGGTCCTCATAAAAAGGGGATCCTACCATTTGGGGTCTATTTTAGGGTCCCTTGTTATCGTAAGCCCCCGAAATCGTGGCTAACCCTAAACCCTAAACCCTCAACCCTAAACCGAAATCGTGGCTATTAGAAGGAGGGTGGTGGCCTGGCCAACACCGTGCTCTACAACGCCGCACCTCGGCCCGCGGGCTTCTGATGCTAAGAGATGTTGGACTAAGTTGGACACGGGTTAGGGTTTAGGGTTTAGGGTTTAGGGTTTAGGGTTTAGGGTTTAGGGTTTAGGGTTTAGGGTTCTAGGTTTAGGGTTTAGGGTTTGGGGTTTGGGGTTTAGGGTTTAGGGCTTGGTTACCGGTTACTTTGTGGGATCCTGCTGCGGGGATTTCTACTACGTGTGGGACAATTGCGGCCCCCCCCCTCCCCCCCCCCTCCCCCCCCCCTCCCCCCCCCCCCCTCCCCCCCCCCTCCCCCCCCCCTCCCCCCCCCCTCCCCCCCCTCCCCCCCCCCCTCCCCCCCCCCTCCCCCCCCTCTCTCCCCCCCTCCCCCGCCCCCCCCTCCCCCCCCCCCCCCTCCCCGATTTAGTTCAACCGCCCACTTATGTTGGCAAAGCTTAAGACAACGGACTTGAGGCTGATGTTGAGGCCGAACCCCAAACCCTAAGCCCTACTATAAACCCTAAACCCTAAACCATAAACCGAACCCCAAACTTTTTTTTCAGGCCATCAGCGCCTGCGCCCGTGCACGGCACTGGCAAGGTGCATTGGTGCCCTGGCGCCAATCAGGCTGGTGCTTCGGGTTCCTTTGGGGTTATGCTGAAGCCAGGGTTTTGGGTGCGCTTGGAGGTGTATGAACAGCTACTTAGTAGCTGAGTGAGCACCACCTTGCACTTTTCGGATAATACCATCCCCTATAGAACTGAAAGTGTACACTTTTGGGGGCTTATGAACGCAGCAACTTAGGCTATAGCAGCTATATAAAAGTGGGGCTGCAAGTACCCTAAAAAGGTCTTAAGTATAGTTGCTCTAGTGTTATCGCTACTTAGAACTGCCATCAAACTGCCGATGCACTCTGAGTTCACAGATGCAGTCTTTAGAGAGCAGGGAGGTTCTAGGGTTTAGGGTTTTATAGGGTTCCATAGGGTTCTTATAGGGTCCTATAGGGGCCCGGAATAACGGCTATCAAATACTAGTGGCCCGACTCTTAGTAACACTACTTCTGCTGCCCATGAACCATCCGTCCCCACTTCTAGCTATCCACGAACCTCCACGTACAGGTTGTAGCCGACTTTCTTCCAGGTTACATAAGAATTCCAGAAATCTATCATGGGCTTTATCATCATGCACATACAAAGAGGTTGGTTGTGGGGTTGTTACGGTGGTTCTGGAGTTCTTGAGGTAGTAATTGAGGAATTTGGTGCCAGGTGGCTTTCTATCTCCCTCTAGAACTCTTTTTGGGATTAAACAGGGTGTCTAGTTCACGAACTCCCTGTTTAGAGTCAGCAAATCTACGGTGAATTGCAACTCAATTGCAACACAACGCGAAGGCATACTGTTTGACTGAAACCCGAAGCCCTTCATTCCCTAAACCCTGAGCCCGAATCTTGAAACCCTATCACGAGAATTGCGTTTAGCTTATATTAGGTTGAGGGTTTAGGGTTTAGGGTTTAGGGCTAGGGATTTTCAACTCGCCCGAGGTGCTATTGTTCGACCTCCGCCGCGTGGCCCTGGAGACCAACGAGGTGAAGATAGAGTTTGGGGAGGATTCAATGACAAGGGAGATGATAAGAGGGTTTAGGGTTTTTTGGGGGTTTAGGGTTTAGAGTTTTTGGGGTTTAGGGTTTAGGGTTTGGGGTTTAGGGTTTAGGGTTTAGGGTTTAGACTTGTCTGGTAAGGAGCATAGGTTTCGAGTTTAGGTTTTAGGTCGGGGGACAACGAAAAGCCCGATGTCCTGGGGCGTGGGTCGCAGGTTCAAATCAATCACGACGTACCATTATAGGGTTCTTGAGGGCGGGAGGTTCATGGGGGGTAGGTACCTAGGGAGCCTTAGGGAAGCTTAGGGAGTTAGGGTTTAGGGTTTAAGGTTTAGGGTTTAGGGTTCAGGGAGATGCCTTAAGAGCCGCTTCTCCGCAGCCATCGCAACTCCAGCTGTTCCTTCCGTGGCCGTAGGTTGTCGCAGGCGAGTGGCGGAGCATGTGGAGTCCATGAACCCGAAACCCTAAGCCCATTAAACCCTAAACCTTAACCCGAAACCCGAAACCCTAAACCCTAAACCCTAAACCCTAAACCCTAAACCAACCCCACCTAGCCGAGTCCGAGGGAGAAGCCTTCAATTGCGAGACTGTAGGCGGGTTGTTGTAAGTTATGGTCCCTAAACCCTAAACCCTAAACCCTAAACCCTAAACCACTTTTCCCTAAACCCTAAACCACTTTTCAGGGTTCTTATCCACATCCGGAGCCGAAGATCTAGAGGGCACGCCTCAGAGGGGGTCATGGTTTAGAGAACCGCCCATCGCAAGCAGCAGGACTCGCAAGGCTTATCAGGTTCAGGGTTTAGGGTTTAGGGTTTAGGGTTTAGGGTTTAGGGTTTCGAGTGTCTAGAGCCATGGGGAACGCGCAGAATGCGCAACCTCACCCCACTAGCGGCCCCCACGAGCACGAAGAAGTCGTGGAGATCTGCGCCCGGCGCCGGGGACGCAAAGTTGAGTCCGTGCTGGAAACTCACCCTAAACCCTAAACCCTAAACCCTAAACCCTGAACCCTAAACCCTAAACCCTAGGATCTTTCGAGAATTTTGCGCCCTTAGTCGATGCTGATGCCTCTGTAGTAGCCAACAAGGTCGTAGGAGTTCACGACCCTACTCACTCGTATCACTTGAAGCTGCCGATAGGATGCCGAAGCCCTAGCTACCCTAAACCCTAAACCCTAAACCTTATAGCCTAAACCCTAAACCCTAAACCCTAAGCCCTAAACCCTAAACCTTATACCCTAAACCCTAAACCCTAAACCCGGAACATGGACTCAGGTGTGGTGTCGCTACGACCCTCAGGCGGAGAGTGATGGTCACGAAGGCGAGCCGATGACAGCGTGGGTATGGAGTTTAGGGTTTGGGGTTTAGGGTTTAGGGTTTAGGGTTAGGGTTGAAGGTTTAGGGTTTAGGGCTTTTTTTCCGAGAATTCTCGGAATGATGCACCGACAAAACGACTCCCGAATCCGAGCAACTTGCTGGTGGAAGCTAAAACAATTTGCCGATTGTAGCAACCACGTTTATAAGCTTGTTTCTGCCACTTACGCAACCCTACTTAAAACTCTCCACACACTTCCAAGAAAACCTGATGTTCGCCCTTATTTGAAGGAAAGGGAGGCCTTGGATTAGACCTCAGGCCCTTCCCACCACCAAGCCACTTTGCAGAACCCCCTCCCAGGCCCTAAACCCTAAACCCTAAACCCTAAACCCCAAACCCTAAACCCTAAACCCTAAACCCTAAACCCTAAACCAAGTACGTTTTCAACCCCTTCACAACCAAACCCAGGCCTCCAAGCCTTTGCTCAAAGTCCCGTTTTCAAGCTGTTTTCTCGCAGCTCAGAGCAACTCCAAGAAGCTTTCGGTCAAAACCCCGGAAGATTTTATATATACTTATATACATGTGTATATATATATATGCATATATATATATATATATTTCTTCAATTCTCTTAAACCCTAAGCCCTAAATTCTGAATTTCCAAGTCATTTGTCTAAACAGCTGACAAGCCGAGTTTTAAGTCTGAGAAATGCTCCATTTACTCTCCCACCCTCGGGCTCGGCCTCGGCGGGCTCAGCGGCCCCAGCGGCAACAGTCTGTGTAGACCCAAAAAAGGAAGGGGGGGGGACCCCCCTTCCTCCTTCCAGGAGGGGGGCAAAAACAAAGTTTCGTTCAAAACTCGTTCAAACGTTTCGTTCAAAACTTTCGCTCAAAACGTTATTGGGACCCAGACCCCATACAATTTCTGTAAACCCTAAACCCTAAGCCCTAAGCCCTAAACCCTAAACCCTAAACCCTAAACCCTAAACCCTAAACCCTAAACCCTAAACCCTAAACCCTAAACCCTAAACCCTAAACCCTAAACCCTAAACCCTAAACCCTACCTCCCCACTGCCTGCCTTGAGGTGCAGCCCACCTGTGACGACTGCAAGGGCCAAGGCGTCGTTGAGTCCTGGAAGCTCTTCGGCCCCTCAGTGCCCTTGCCTTACTTATGGACTAGGGTTTAGGGTTTAGGATTCAGGGTTGAGGGTTTCAGGGTTTTTAGGTTGTTTTTTGTAAATCTCCTATTTGCCCTTTTGTTGTTGTTGTCTTTTTGTTTTGTTTCGGGGGGTGGTTGCGGTTGAAAGTTAGGGGTTTGGGGTCCTTCCTTTTTTTCGGGTCTAGGACTACCACAACCAGCACCCAGCCAAGAATGCTGCGAGACTTTAATTTACAACCACAGATCCCCAGCAGCCGAAGATCCTGCGAACGCCGGAACCCGCCTCCACTCGTAGCCTGTGAGAATCCCACAACACCCAGTAGTACCCGTAATTATTCCTTGCTTTGGGGCCTAGAGGACTACATCCCTCATAGCCGGGTGAAAGGGCACCTGTTTTTCCCCCTTTAGGTTACTCGGCAAAAGACTTCTGATTAGCCCCGATGATGCTTGAAGTACCCAGAGTATTTGGAGGTTTAGAAGTACCTCAAATCGGGGTATAAGTACAGTTACCATAATTCTAGCCCTACTTAACCCTACCTAAACCATACTCATAACTACCCATGAACCTCCAAGTAGCCCAGGAAAAGACGCCTTGCACCAAGTGTGCTGGCTCAGGGCTGTTGCCTGAGGCACGGGCGGAAGTGTGGGGCGTCTGGATCATGGTGGTGGTGAGGGTGAACGTGGCGGTGAGGGTTTAGGGTTTAGGGAACTCTGTGACGGGACACGTTGTGCCTCTAAACCCTAAACCCTAAACCCTAAACCCTAAACCCTAAACCCTAAACCCTAAACCCTAAACCCTAAACCCTAAACCCTAAACCCTAAACCCTAAACCCTGCCGTGCATGAACCCATTCCTGGAACGCTGAGCCTCGAAGCGGACGAACCTGCAGACCCGGAGCCGCGAAATACCTCAGTAGTCAAGGAAGACAAGGGTTTAGGGTTTAGGGTTTAGGGTTTAGGGTTTAGGGTTTAGGGTTTAGGGTTTAGGGTTTAGGGTTTAGGGTTTAGGGTTTAGGGTTTAGGGTTTAGGGTACTATTTGCTTAAGGACTCCCAAAGACACAGAATAATCATCCCTATCTTGCCCTAAAAAGGAAGAGTTTTTTTGAGTGGTTCTTAAGCAAGTCGTAGCTGAGACCTAGCAATCTGTGGAATCCGTTTGTCTCCCTACTGTACCCCAGAAGAAGGAAAGCACGGATCCTTCAGCGCAGGTCCCATAGGGTTTAGGGTTTAGGGTTTAGGGTTTAGGGTTTAGGGTTTAGGGTTTAGAGACCCTCCGCCCCGGTAGGTGGAGGAGAAGATGGTCGCGGCCTGGGAAGAGGTGCCGGGCAAGTTACGAGGAAGATCGCAGATGTTGAGGTCTAAGTTGAGGGTTCAGGGTTTAGGGTTTAGTATTTAGGGTTCAGGGTTCAGGGTTTAGGGTTTTGGGGTTGCATTGCTGCAAACTCTGTAGCTGTTGTGTAGGGGCCTGATGCTGCGCAGGGTGTTCATTGCGGTTTTCAGTTTAGGTCCCTTGCGAATGACCGTGGATCCCAGGTGTGCGTCTGGGGTGTCTCGTTGCATTCAGTGTGAGGGGCTCAGAACTTTCGGTTTTGGGAGAGTTGTGAGATCTAAAAACGAAGACCGTGAAGGAGCGCGTAAGAAGGCTTTTGAGCATTGGGAGAAGAAGGGTTCAGGAAGGCTTCACCACATCCTTCACCAAATTGTCAATCACGCCAACAAGCAAGACCTTGGAAGCACCTGGGAGCTGATTGACGGTATGCTAGCATGCCCTTTTTTGGGGGTGCAGGTTCCCTTGTAAAACCATTTAAGCAAAAAAGGGCACCCTTTATAATCCTAGGATACTGGGCAACCGAGTATGGGCTCAGACTCAGACCCACTGTCTGCTTCTGTGGATGAAGGACCCCCTGCTACATCGGCACGGGGAGCAGGGGAAATCAAGAGTGAAGATGCGCCCTCGTCTTCTGTTGCGACGGTCTTGCACGGGAAGCTCACCACAACGGTTCGCTTCGTCCCTGACTTTACCAGGCTTGATAGTCATTTTTTGCAAAGGCTGGCTCACCCGAACCCGAACCCTTAATCCCTGAACCCCTAAACTGCAAAAAGCAGTGGATGTTCATCTCGGGCTTACTTTACGGGGGGCGTATGAAGCGAGATGCTGAGGTTTGGGAGACTGAAGCTTATACGTCCCATAGGTGCTACCGTGTTTGACTGAACCCCACAATGTCCCTAACTGCGAAACCCTATAAACCCTAAACCCATCTTGGGGGTTCGTGCGTAGTTTAAAGAGGGCTTAGAAGTATGGCACCTATACCTTACCCCATTCAGGATTTGTAAGTACCCATGAACCTCCATGCATTCTGTCACCCCACCCTAAACCCTAAAGCCTAAAGCCTAAACCCTAAACCCTAAACCCTAAACCCTAAACCCTAAACCCTAAACCCTAAACCCTAAACCCTAAACCCTAAACCCTAAACCCTAAACTCCGAACCCTAAGCCCTAATCCTCGGGAGGTGGATCCGCACCGCTGCAGCTACACTCGAGAGGTAGCCCTGGTGCAGACGATCAACGCTGCCGGCGAAACCCACCGATATGTGCCTTGGACCCTAAACCCTAAACCCTAAACCCTAAACCCTAAACCCTAAACCCGCTCATGGGGGGTAGGGCTTGTGGTTGGCTATCCTCGGGATCAAGCCGCGATGCCTGTGGCTTCCGAGTTCTTAGCAGAACCCTAAACCCTAAACCCTAAACCCTAAACCCTAAACCCTAAACCCTAAACCCTAAACCCTAAACCCTAAACCCTAAACCCTAAACCCTAAACCCTAAACCAGCACCATGAATCCCCCTTCAGAACCTCTGTTGGCAGGTGTATGCAGGGTACATTCAGGCGCTAACTCCGTTAACCTAATCCTCCCAAACAGCTTTTGGAGGTTTATCTGGGGTTTCGAATACCCTGTTAGACCCCAAACCCTACACCACCCTAAACCCTAAACTCCTAAACCCTCAACCCATCTCGGGGAGGGGCAGGCGTGTTTAATTGACGGTTGTTGGCAAGCCACGGGAGCTCTGAGAACCCTCCAAAGGGTCGTAGGAATTTAGGCATCTGCTGAAGTACTCTGGGCATCTTGAGGGTTTAGGGTTTAGGGTTTAGGGTCTAGGGTTTAGGGTTTAGGGTTTAGGGTTTAGGGCTAGGGATTTAGGGCAAAGGTATGCTCAATAAAGGCGGGAGGGGAGGGTGGGCACCCCTATAGGCTTGCCCACATGTAACGGCACCTATGTCTCTAAGCTTAGCGTTTAGGGTTTAGGGTTTAAAGGGTTTAGGGTTCAGGGGTTTAGGGTGCAACATGATGGGTCCAAAACAGAAACGTTGCCAGTTTCTTAGTAGGAAGTTCGGGAATTGGATGCCCTTTTCAATCCCTTAGACTAGACATTGCAGGGGGGTAGAAGGTACCCGCATTGGGGGGGTTACAGTTTGGTTCTAACCCGCTAGGGGATGCTCAGGGATGAGAACGCTGGGGCCCAAAATACTCCCGAAACCCTAAACCCTGAACACTACAAAGGAGCCGAAGCCCTTAAGCCTGAAGCCCCAAACCTACCACCACCCCACAAACCCCTTGCGGCGTAAGCACTATAGCCCTATAGCCCTATAGCCCTAAACCCTAAACCCTAAACCCTAAACCCTAAACCCTAACCCTAAACCCTAAACCCTAAACCCTAAGCCCTAAGCCCTAAGCCCTAAGCTTTAAACCCTAAACCCTACACACCGTGTGAGAAGGTCGCGGACACTATGCAATGTCTCAGCTGCAGAGGCTGCCCTGGGCCTTGCGACTTGGCCGAAGCCCCGTTCAGGGTTTAGGGTTTAGGGTTTAGGGTTTAGGGTTTAGGGTTTAGGATTTAGGGTTTAGGGTTCAGGGTTGAGGATTTAGGATTTAGGGTCCATGAGCCTATCGAGCTTTCAGGGCCCAAAGGGGGCCAAAAGAGATCAACTGCCTCAACTTTCTACACCCCTAAACCCGAAGACCGAAGCCCTAAACCCTAAACCCGAAACCCTAAAACCTAAACCCTAAACCCGACCCTCCACCCTCGCACTCTGCTACCAGTAGGAACCTGAAAAGGGACTTAAACCCCCCCCCCCCCTATTTCTCTTCTGTCCGTTGCTGGCTCGTCTCTGCAGGAACACTAGCAAGACAGCAGCATGCGGGAGCCAACATGCCTTATCACTGCAGTTTAGGGGCTTAGGGTTTAGGGTGTAGGGTGTAGGGTTTAGGGTCAGCAGGGGAGTGAATAAAGTGAGAGGAGAGTGAGAAAACCGCGCCAGTAAGCGAGCGGTGAGGACGGTGAGAACCTAAAGTGAATTCTTCCCTTATCTCCTAGATCTTAGCGCGCTTCGACGTCTTTTGCGCTTCGACGTCTTTTCTGGCATGTGGTTTCTAAGCTCCCCCGAAACCCTGAACCCTAAACCCTAAACCCTAAGCCCCTGCTGAGGAGCAGCATGCTTTTGCTTAACCCGTCCATTTTTGGCATCTTCTGCGTTAGCAGGATCTAGGAGTGCGCGTGCTTTACAGGAGCTCTGCCCCACAGTATCCGGAATAGCCTAGTAGGCTGGTAAATGTTTAGGGTTTAGGGTTTAGGGTTTAGGGTTGAGGAGGTTTTCAGGCACGTTGGTTGCCGCCTTTTGCGAGCTGGGACACTGCCCGCGTGCATTCATCCACCTCTACCAGTCCTCCCACCGTAGAATATGCAAAAGCACATGGATGTAAGCAAAAGCCATGCCGTCATGTCCATCCATGCGACTTAATTACCCCGCGCCCCCTCCCCAACGCCTCAAAAGCTTTGCGGTCGTAGCGCGCGACCCTAAACCCTAAACCCTAAACCCTAAACCCTAGATCGGCCTACACTAGGACCCTAGTCCTGCAGAACCGGAGTTCAAACCCTGGGAGCCAAGGTAAGCAGACCCAGTCATCCTTCTGCTGCTGCTGACCGTTTCAAGCTCTGGTCCTCCCCTGTGTTCCCTGTGGGTTTTGGAACCCTAAACCCTAAACCCTAAACCCTAAACCCTAAACCCTAACCCTAAACCCTAAACCATTTTGAGTCTGGAATGGGACCAGGGGTGTTCCCCCTGGTATTGCACATCATGTCGGGATTTTCGTGGATGTGTCGTCCCACTTGAGATGCTACGGGGGAGGCCCGGACTTTTTTTTCTTCTTGGTAGCCCAGTAATTTTAGGGTTTAGGGTTTAGGGTTTAGGGTTTAGGGTTTAGGGTTTAAGCTCTTGTTTTGGTCTGGGTTCCTGTCTAAAGTACCCAAACCTTACAACAGGGTGCCCTGATATTATGGCTACTGGGCTACCAAGTCTTACAACAGTTAGGGCTTGCCAACTACCGGCCCTCATTGGAACGTCTCCGATGTACTTCTTGCAAGGGCCGCCAACTGAATGAGGGACAGCCCGCAGCCATCAGCGTCCGTAGGAAAACCCTAAACCCGAACCCTAAACCCTAAACCCAAAACCCTAAACCCTAAACCCTAAACCCTTGCGACTCCGAGCTTGGAGATCTACCGGAAGTCACCTCACCTCCCCTCCCCCCCCCCCCCCAGGCACCCCGACGCCGCTGCAAATCCCAATCCGCTCCGAACCCTCATCGTGATGTCGAGGAGTCCTGCTTCAGGGTTTAGGGTTTAGTCGACACTAAACCCTAAGCCCTAAACCCTAAATGCGCGGTGCACTGTTTGATGAACTCTTGTGGACTCGTTGAGCTTAATCCCGCTTGTCACAATCTACAACACGCAGTCGCAGGGGTCGCCAAAGGTCGGAATCAACCTGTATATCACACTTAGTAATAGTCACAACACAAGAAGAATGAGAATATTAGTTGTCATGATTAGTAGGTATAGTACGTGTAGTAGTAATCATTCCCGTCATCAGAACAGAGCCGCGGCAGAGCTGGGACGAAAAGGCTGCGGGAAGTCTGGCAATCCCCTACTCTCCGCCAGCATCTTCGAAAGAAGTGCGTGTTTTAGGCTACGACCACGAGGAAAACTCCCAACAAGCCGGGGAGAAAAATCTTGCACCGACCCAGTTACCGCCCTGGGTTCCTTTGGCTCGTGGGTTATAGGTTCCCTTTTCAACCACTTTGTTAAGAAAGCAATAGCCGGAGGGTGCCCTTAATCTCATTCCTGACTAGGCTGCTTTGGGATTTGGGAGTTACGACCCAAGAAGGTACTAGCTAATATCGTAAACCCTAAACCCTAGATCCTAAACCACCATCTGCTTGTGGATCTGAGGTTCTGGGCCCTGAAACTCCCAACTCTTTTTTGTCGGGTTCCGGAGCTTCGCAGTTGGGAGGACACCTGAGGCCCTTATACCCTCAACCCCACTTTAGGGTTTAGGGTTAGGGGTTTAGGGTTTAGGGTTTAGGGTTTAGGGTTTAGGGCCAGGGTTCCTGTTTCCTGCCTCGGGGTTTGGTTGCTAGTGAGGTCACCGCACTTCTTCGCTTCACCGGCCTCTTGCGTAGCCAAGTCCGACAGGATCTCCGCATTGCGGGCAGTCAGCTATAGTGGGCTGAAGATTATCAGATACTATGCTTTAGTACTCGGTTTTGGTTGTGGGTTCCTACAGTTACTTATACCTAAAAAGCATATATTTTCCAGGGGTCTACTCCAAAGTAGGGTTCTGCATCCTTCGTCATGGTCCTGTGCATTGCCCATTGTTGGCGACACATTCGTCAGAGGGGTTTAGGGTTTGGGGTTTAGGGTTTGGGGTTTAGGGTTTAGGGTTTGGGGTTTAGGGTTAAGGGGTTTGGGGTTTAGGGTTTGGGGTTTGGGGTTTAGGGTTTAGGGCTTCCACCTATTCCCCGCAGGGCGGTTCTGATATAGAGTTCAGGGCTCTGGCAATTCTTGTGCACAGGTCGATCTAGAGGCTTCCCATAAGCCCAGAAGCCCTAAACCCTAGCCCTAAACCCTAAACCCTAAACCCTAAACCCTAAACCCTAAACCCTAAACCCTAAACCCTAACCCCTAGATTAAACCACCCCGAAGAAGCCCTAGACAGATCGATGCCTCAACCGTGAAGGTGACCTACAGCACCGCGATCTCTGCGTGTACGGACCCGGGCGCCTCGGGCGCCAGGATGTCGGCCTTCTTTGTAGGGTATATTATAGAGTCTTAGGGTCTCAGCCTCTTGGGGTCTTAGGGTCTTAGGGTCTCAGGCTCTTAGGGTCTTAGGGTCTTGGGGTCTTAGGGTCTTGGGTCTTAGGGTCTTATTAGCGTATTAGGGTCTCAGGCTCTTGGGGTCTTAGGGTCTTAGGGTCTTAGGGTCTTAGGGTCTTATTAGCGTATTAGGGTCTCAGGCTCTTGGGGTCTTAGGGTCTTAGGGTCTTAGGGTCTTAGGGTCTTAGAGTCTTAGGGTCTCAGGCTCTTGGGGTCTTAGGGTCTTGGGGTCTTAGAGTCTTAGGGTCTTAGGGTCTTAGAGTCTTAGGGTCTTAGGGTCTTAGGGTCTTAGGGTCTTGGGGTCTTAGGGTCTTAGGGTCTTGGGGTCTTAGGGTCTTAGGGTCTTAGGGTCTTAGGGTCTTATTAGGGTCTTAGGGTCTTATTAGGGTCTTGGGGTCTTGTTAGGGTCTTAGGGTCTTAGGGTCTTAGGGTTTAGAGTCTTAGAGTCGAGGGTGTAGGTGTTTAGGGTCTAAGGCTTTGGGCTTCAAGGGCTTCAAAGGCTTCAAGGGTTGAAGGCGGGCTGAAGCTGGCAGAGCCACACCGGGGGCTTCCTTCTGTCTGACTTCTGGCTCTTAGTAGTTCACAAGGGAATTTGAGGTGGTTTCCTGTTGCAACCCCTCAAAGATTTGTAGAGGGGGATAAGTGGTGCCTAGTTCCCCTCATTCCCGACGAAGAAATCGTCCGTTGGTTTTATGTTGTGCTGAGGTTTATGGCTTTGGGCCCTCCGCCTCTTCGAGGACAGCCGAGGTGAGACGCCCTCAAATTCAACCTCTTGGGGGTGCAGGGCCCATGTCCCAAAGAGAACACTTGGAGGTGTGGCGGCTGGCCCCAACACTGTGGTGTACACCGCCACCATCGCGGCCTGCGCGCAGCCCCTTGGTTTTCAAAATGCATGTGGGACCAGCTGTGCGGGGTTTAGGGTTTAGGGTTTAGGGGTTAAGGGGTTTGGGGTTTAGGGTTTAGGGCTATGCAGGGTTTAGGCAGTTCAGGGTTTCGGGTCCTTCCTAGTCTCCGCATGTTACAGCTCTACCAGCACGAAGAACCGATTTTTTTGCTGGAATCTAGAAGCTAGGACCGGGAGTAGGCCCTTTTTTCCGTTTTAGGGTTGGGGGTTCCCTTAGAATCCCCTTAAGACCAAAAAGGGTGCCCTCTTTATTCCTAGGTCACTCCCGGGTCTAGGAAGCCAATCAACTCACCATACTGGTCTAAGTGCCACTCCATTTGCGGGCAGGTTGATCCGTACTTATGAGTATAGGGTTATGACGTAATGCGGGCACATGCACGTGCAACCTCGTGAAGCTCCAGACCAGGCAGTCCTACTGGCGCCACTCCCTGGCACTGGCCTCCGACATGTTTTTGGAGCCTCGCCTTCGCCGAAGCCTTCAGCAGTCCCCCCCAAGCTGTTCCACAGAGTTTAGGGTTTAGGGTTTAGGGTTTAGGGTTTAGGGTTTAGGGCATAGGGCTTAGGGTTTAGGGTTTAGGGCTTATTAGGGTTTAGGGTTTGGGGTTTCGGGCAGAGATCACAAGGGAGGTTCAGAATTCAGGGTTCAGGGTTTAGGGCCTTCGGGTTTTTTCTGACTTTCGGTGGCCCAGCGACCTGCATTCCTTCTCCAATGATAATGGGGTGAGCCCCAGAACGCGACGAGCATGGTCACCCCGGTGGTTCGTTTCCAGATGTGATCAGGCGCTTGGGGTTTAGGGTTTAGGGTTTAGGGTTTAGGGCCAGCCCCTCTTGGAAACCCGAGAGCTGGGGAATGTGCTGCAGTAGTCTGCTACTCGGAACCAACGCAACCCTAAACCCTAAAACCCTAACCCAAAACCCTAAACCCTCAAACCCTCAAACCCTCAAACCCTCAAACCCTAAAACCCTAAAACCCTAAAACCCTAAACCCTAAAACCAGGCCTCATTGCGGGATTGAGTATTCGGCGGGTGGGATAGTCGGGGGCACCCTTTTAAAGGTGCTTTCCCTTTCACTACAAACCTTCGAAGGGGGCCCATCATGGGTAGCTCAGAAAGGCCAGAACTTGGTGTACCTTTCTGCTTCGAAGCCCAGCGGTACAATTGTGCGTTACACAGTGACCGTCCCCCAAAAAAAGGGCACCCTGATGATCATAAATGGTTTCTGGGCTACCAAGTCTGTAAAGCCTGGTTACTTCACAGGCCGAATGTGTACACTTCTTTGGGGCTTATGAACTCCTAAACCCTAAACCATAAACCCTAAACCCAGCAACTAGGAGGTAGCGTTTCCCTGTCAAGGATGGTGTGCCGATGGACACCAGCTCATACAACTCCGTCATCACTGCTTTCACCGCAGGCGCGGGGCAGACTAACACGGGGTTAGGTTTGAACAGAATGTTTTTCGTTTTTAACCTCAATCCACATATCATCCTTATAAAGCCATAACAAATTAACTTTACGCAGCCCCCAAACCTAACCCAGAACAGCCACGGGCAGTCTACACTTCTGAAGCGATAGCCGCCACACCGTTTCACTGTTTGGAGTGTTCTAGCACTCCAAGCCCTTCATTTCTTACCGGCTCAAGACGCACTGTAATCAGCCATTCGGCTAGTCAACTGCGCCGAAGCCCTTCAGCAACAGGACCTCTGTGAGGCCAAGGAATCCAAGTAACCAGCGCTAAGCCCTGAAGAACGCAACCCCTAAACCCTAAGCTCCCCAAACCTCCCCTCTATACCCTCACCAACGAGACATGCACCAGAATAAATTTGCGGAAGTGTACCACTTTTTTTTCGGGTAGAAAGTTTACTTCTCGGTAAGCGCTTCCGCAGGCGAGCAGTGGCAACGCGCACTGGAGCTCTTTAGGGAGTTGCCAACGGGGCAGGCGGGTTTAGGGTTTGGGGTTTTGGGTTTGGGGTTTAGGGTTTAGGGTTTAGGGTGTAGGGTTCAGGGCGGGTTAGAGTTAAGGAAGCCAGATTACTTACTTGATGATGAGCTGCACTTAGGGTTTAGGGTTTAGGGTTTAGGGTTTAGGGTTTAGGGTTTAGGGTTTATGGCTTATGTTCAGTATAGCCTCAGTAAATGGCATCATGCTGACCGATAACATAAGACCTTTAGCAGCAAACCGGATTCTTGAAAGGTTGCGTTGACGTGCTAGTTACTGCTGTTCGGCCCCCCAGCCCCAAGCAGCCCTGAAACTCTATAAGGGAAGTTAGACGGTCCCTTAATATGGCCCCTTGCCTGCTTTAAGGGTTCTGCAGTACGAGCCTTTAAACCCTAAACCCTAAACCCTAAACCCTAAACCCTAAACCCTAAACCCTAAACCCTAAACCCTAAACGTTTTCATAGGGTAGATAAGGGGCATGTGCGGCCAACTAAGGGCCCAGAATGGGGGCCATGCAACTACCCTCGGAAGCATCCTCGAGTTCAAAAAGCTTGGCAAGAAACAGAAGTTCTGGAGCAGAAAAGGTTTCTGCGAGGGTTTGGGGTTTAGGGTTTAGGGTTTAGGGTTTAGGAACCCTCTCTCTTGTGCAAGCACCTCCAAGCCCTAAATCAGCCATCCGGAGTTCCCAACCCCCTGTGCAAAAGAGAGCAGGCAGATGGCGTGTCCTACGGAGCGGCCGTCAAAGCTTGCGAGAGCCGCTCGTCGACAGTTTAGGGATGATAGGGGTTTAGGGATTCTAGGGGTTTGGGGATTTTTGGGGGTTTGGGGATTTTTGGGGTTTAGGGATCGTAGGGTTTAGGGGTTTTTGGGGGTTTAGGGATTTTTGGGGTTTAGGGATTATAGGGTTTAGGGATTGTAGGGTTTAGGGATCGTAGGGTCTAGGGGTTTTAGAGTGTAGACTGACAAGGGTGTTGGGGGGGGGGAGGGGCTGGAGAGGGCCTTCTAGCACGGAAAGTCGGTTGGGTTGGCTTGACGCAGCTAGTGAAAGGGTTTAGGGTTTAGGGTTGAGGGTTTAGGGTCTAGGGTTTAGGGTTTAGGGTTTAGGGCACATGGATGTTATGGGCAGGTTCATGGATAGATATAGGTGGGGTACTGATGTACCCTGAATAGGGTTATATCTATAGCCTCTGTACTTGCAGCCCTACTCCCATGAGTCTCCCAGTAGGCTTCAGCAGGTAGAGTCAGAAAGCCGGGAGGGTGTCCCAAGCCATGCTGCTGCAGGGTGACGTTGGGGCTTTAGCGTGATGGCCTGAGCTTTCGCAAATTTGCATCTCCCCAACCTCCGTAGAACGCATGACGAAGCCAGAGCCGGTCGCTCTCGAAGCACGGTGCTTTCCAAACAGCTTCGAGGTCGGTTTACGAGAAAGCCAGCCCAAGCCGCGAGCCACAGGTCGCGCTCTTTTGGAGCCTGCGCTGAAACAGGCGAGCCAGACAAGCAAGAAACAGCCGCAAAGTTAACCGCCTGAAAAGCCCTAAGCCCCCTAATCCCCCTAATCCCCCTAAACCCTAAACCCTAAACCCTAAACCCTAAACCCTAAACCCTAAACCCTAAACCCTAAACCCTAAACCCTACCCTAAACATTAAACCCTAAACCCTAAACCCCTCGAAGCCTTTGTAGAGACCTCAAGAGACACCGAGGTGGCCAGCGCTGGGAGTGGGCCCTCGGCTTGTTGGAAGAGATGGAAGCGAGGCCTTAGGGAGGGTTTGGGGTTTAGGGTTTAGGGTTTAGGGTTTAGGGTTTAGGGTTTAGGGTTTAGGGTTTAGGGTTTAGGGTTTAGGGTTTAGGGTTTAGGGTTTAGGGTTTAGGGTAAGCAGACTGAGTAAGCAGACTGTCGACTCTGAGCCCTAAACCGGCGTACGTACTGAGCACATGGCCGGATCGCAAGCTTGCAATCCATTCCTGCCGGCTTGGGGTGGCCTACTCAGAACCCGAATATAGCCTTAATAACGCTAATGATCCTAGTAACCCAAATATCTCATATAGAACCCAAGTAACCCAACTAACCCAAATAGCCTAAGAGCCCTAAGAACCCTAGCAACTCTGTCATTACAAATGGGGCTTCGAATTTTCGCAAGAAAATGCCCTTGTCTCTCGCTACAGTAAAAGGAGTCAGCAGGCTTTGGGGTGAGGGTTTAGGATTTAGGATTTAGGATTTAGGGTTTAGGGTTTAGGGTTTAGGGTTTACGGTTTGGGGTTTAGGGGTTTAGGGGCGGAGACCATGGTCATATTGTGAGACTTCATACTTTAACAGGATGCGTGGCCCCTTGCAGAGGGCTGGGCCGAAAACGGAGCACAGAGCATTTCAATAGCTGCCCTAAATAGAGATCTAGGTAGACCCTAAACTTCCTAGACCCTAAACCCTAAACCCTAACTTGGGATGTCTTGTACTTTCCCTCATTGGGTTTGAGGGGATAATTTTTCGGATTCTTTTCAGACGGCTTTTGAAGGGCCAGCCACGGGTACTTTCCCCTTCGATACTCCTTTGAAGTAGAATAATCTTAGTGTAGGAAGCCCCAGCACAGGGCACCCCTGTTTTGGGGAACCCCCAAACCGCGAACCCTTGCCAATTCCCTAAATCTGACTCAAAGCCGGGGGAGCCAGCGGAGGTCCTTCCAGCTGGATCTCATCGCCTGCAGCAGTGCTCTAAGCGCCTGTGAGACGCGGGGCTGAAACTCCAAGCCCCTAGGGCCCTAATTAGAAACCCTAAACCCTAAACCCTAAACCCTACACCCCCGAGCCCTGAATAAACGGGCTTCTCCCGAGATGGGGTAGGGGGTGGTTCGCAACAAGCTCAACTTGAGAAGCGGACATGCGAGTTTTTAAAATGAAGGTCCCCCCTTGCCTCCAAATTTTCTTGGCCCTTTTGCCCTTAGGTTTTCGGCTCCCTTACAAACCTTCAGGACCAAATGAATCAAAATTGGGAACATACGCCCTGTACACTATACTCCCTATCAGGCATATGAACCATAAACCCTTTTAGGGTCCAGTTGGTCCCCAAGGAAGTAACCAGCCCCGAACCCTCCCTGAACCCTCCCTGACAGCCCGAGGAAAGGGGCGCAATGGGAGTGGTCTCTGCACCTCTTGTCGGCCACTTGCCCATGGCAAGGCACTAGCTCGGTAAACCCTTGGGATGGTTTATATATATATATGTATATATTTCTATATTCCTTCCCTTATTGGGTTTAACACTAACTAGGTAAACCCTTGGGATGGTTTATATTTTCCCTTATTGGGTTTAGGAGGATCATATTTAGGAGTCTTTTTCAGAGGGTTCAAGAGGATCATATTTAGGAATATTTTCCCTTATTGGGTTTAGGAGGACGCATAGTTAGGAATATGTTTTCAGAGGGTTTCAGGGCCATCCCGGATAAGTTGCCTCTGTGCTTCTTGGATTGGGAGTGTGAACCCTGAACCCTAAACCCTAAACCCTAAACCCTATATAAACCCTAAACCCTAAACCAGGAGAACGTGAATATGTGATTTCAAGACACTGGAGAGCGGGGAGGGTGGTTCGACCTGGCCCATGGCTGAGGGCCGCGATTCTGTGTAAAGAAAAGGCTTGCTTGTAATGGAAAAATCGTCGGGGTAATGCACATTTAGGGTCGGCCATTCTCCTGACAGGCAGGATTCTTCGACTGTTCGAGGAGGGGTACGCTTAGATAATCTTAGATACCCCTTATATACTCTCTAAACCCAAGGGCCCATACTTCAGAGCCCTTTATAGAGGGTAAGGGACCATGTGAAGGGTCCATTATAAGGGAGTTCCCGTAAATGAGATTGAGGCGATGTCGCAGAGGCAGCTGACACGGGATGTGGTCGCCTACTCTGCAGCCATCAGCGCATGCGAGAAGAACAGCCGCTGGCAGGACGCGAAGCCCTATACCCTAAACCCTAAACCCTAAACCCCAAAAAGGTTTAGGGGTCTGGGTCGGCATTTGCTCCCTTGCTTGTGCTTAGGGGCCAAGCTGTTTCGAAGTCGTCGTGCCATTTCTGCTTCAGGGTTTCAGAATGTCCCAGATCCCCGAAATGGGGGGGGGGGGGGGGGTTTCCGAAATTAGGGGGTACCTAGATCCCCGAAATGGGGGGGTTTCCGAAATTAGGGGGTACCTTTTTGGGGGTCCTTAGTATACAGGGATCCTACTATTCGGGGGTCTATGTTAGGGCTCCCCCCTCGCCCTAACTCCCCAAACCCTCAAAACACTCAACACAACATACCCCTCATTCTTGTTTTTATTGCTCGGGCTGTTCTTGTTGTCCTTACTTCATTACTGTTATCTGTTGGACCAACTAGTACTACTTACTTGTTTGATCCTTACTATTTCTGCTATTCTTACTATTCCTAGTATTCTTGTTACTACTTTTTATTGCTCCTTTCGGTTACTAGCAGTATTGTTAGCCTTATCATTGTTACCGCGCAGAGAGCGCCGCATGCGGAGCGGCGCAACCCTGAACCAAGTGATCAAAGGTGGAGAGAGACATGTTGCAGAAGCACTACCGAGACATGTGTGGATGAAGCCCTAAACCCTAAACCCTAAAACCCTAAAACCCTGAACCCTGAACCCTAAACCCTAAAACCTGAACCTTAGAGCCCAACACCCTGCTAGTTCGGGATATGAGTTCTGGGTGCCTTACCTCTTGAAGCTGTTTGGTTTCGGTTTAGGGTTTAGGGTTTCGGGTTTAGGGTTTAGGGTTTAGGGTTTCGGGTTTAGGGTTTAGGGCACTTCCCTCGGTTTAGGGTTGTGGGTTGCGGGGGTGAGCTTCTTGTTGATCACGCCCTGGTGGTGGTCCGCCAGTATGATTTGCTGGGTGTTGGGTGGGTGAACTTGGGGGCGCGGGCTTCGAGACCTCGTTCGCATAGTTTGCATAGTCCCGTTCTCTGGCGGGGATTGGTGGGAAAATTGGACATCGCACCCCCGCTGGCTTGTCATGAAGGAGGGGTTCCCCCCTCTATACTATTCCCCCTAGGTTCCCCCAGAATTCAGTCTATTTATGGATAATGTAATAATGAAGCCTAATTAAGGTTATTTAAGGCTGGAACCTACGGGGGGGCGGGGTAGTATAGAGTGCCCAGTAGTACCCTTGCTCCCTTTTCAGGGGGTTTAGGCTCCCTTATAAACCCCTTTAAGCAAAAAAGGGCAACCTTTTGCATCATTGGTTACTGGGCAACCTAGTAGTATAGAGGGGGTAGTAGGGAAACCCATGGAAGGAGGGGCTGCAGCTGCTGTCCGATTTCCAGCACAGCCGCTAGGGTCACGCACAGCATCTCTTGCCGGGTTTAGGGTTTAGGGCTTAGGGTTTAGGGTTTAGGGCCTCCCCCCCTTGTGTGGCATGCCTTCGTTTCTACAAACTCAACCTAAACCCCAAATCCTAAACCCTAAACCCTTCGGTTTGCCGTGGGGAGGTATAGCTTTGAGGCCTGCAGAACCAGATCTACAGGGCTGTTTTTTTGAAGCTTTCTCATCCCTAAGCCTGCATCGGAACCTGTGTTTTTTTTTTTTGGTTGTGGGTGCTTTTTTGCTGTGGGTGTTTTTTTCGGGGGCCGCCCCGGTGAGTGAGTGACCTGGCGCGTGTCGCCCCCGCACCCGCAGCAAAAAAACGCGCCCCCGCACCCGCAGCAAAAAAAAAAAAACGCGTCCCCGCACCCGCAAAAAAAAACGCGCCCCGCACCCGCAGCAAAAAAAAAACGCGCCCCCGCACCCGCAGCAAAAAAAAAACGCCCCCCCCCCCCCCCCTTTCCTCTCCACCCCCCAGGTCATTTGTTTTGCAATTTCCTCCCCAAACCCGCCCCCAACGCCCCCCCTCCTTTAAACTGTGCAAGCGTTTTCAAAGCACTACATCCTTCCCAAGGCCATCATGCGAGCATTGTGTCTGCAAACGGTGGAGGGAGGGCTGCACCCCGCCCGACCCCCCACTCTTTAGAACCGTGCCAGCTCGCTTCTCAGCATATGAATCCTGTCCAAGCCTATCATGCGAGCATTGGGTTTGCAAGTGGGGGGGGGGGCTGCCCCCCCCCAACCGCCCCGCTTCTTAAAGCCATGCCAGCTTGCTTCAAAGCAAATGAATCCTTTCCGAACCCATCATGAGAGCATTCCCCCCCGCTTGAAAGGAGGGGGGGGGGGCTGCGCTTTTTACCCGGGCAAACTTGCTTCAATCATACGAATCCCTTCCAAACCCATGATGATGCGAGCATTGTGTTTGCAAATGGGGGGGGGGGGTGGGCCCCCCCCCAACCCCCCCGTTTTTTTAGCCGGCAAGCCTGCTTCAAAGCTTACGAATCCCTTCCAAACCAATGATGCGAGCATTGTGTTTTCAAATGCGGCGGTCTGCGCAGGCCCCAACCCCCCTGAAAAAAGAGGGAATATATGCTTGCTTTCCTACGAAAATTCAGACCTTATAGTGGAAGTTGAGTTTTTCCGTTTTAAAATAGAGATATAAACGTCTTCTTAGTAAAGAATCGAGAAAATAGAGCTTTTGTTATGAGACATGAACAAAAACACTTGTTGTCTACAAGTCACAGATAGAGATAATGCATGTACTCTTATGACATATAGAGAATTAGTTTTTCATGTATTCCTCTCTCATGTCTTCCTCGTGAAATAAAGAGAAGAAGTCTGAAAATACTGACAAAATAGTAAACGGAGGGCCTATTTTTTGGGTCTTTTTTTGGGGGGGCACTTTTTTTTTGGTCGATTTTCTTGGTTTTTCCTAAGAAAACCACCATTCCCTCCATATTTTTAAAGGATTTGATGCATTTTCGTGGTTTTTCGTACGAAAAACAGTATTCTCTCTCTGGTTTCATAGGAAAGCGTTATTTCTGGTAGGCTTTAGAAGGAAAGAAGGAAAGAAAGGAAGGAAGGAAGGATGAAAGAAAGGAAGAAAACAAGGAAGGAAGGAAGGAAGGAAGGAGGGAGGGAGGGAAGGAAGAAAGGAAGGAAGCAAGGAAGGAAGAAAGGAAGCGTGCTTCGAAGCCCAAGAAACTAGTTGAAAAAACATCGTGTGAGCATTGTGTTTGCAAATGGGGGGGGCTGCGCCCCCCCCCCAACCCCCCCGCTTTTTTTTCAGCCGTGCTGAGCGTGCTTCAAAGCCCAAGAAACTTGTTGACACCCATCATGTGAGCAGGGTGTTTGCAAATGGGGCTGGGGCTGCGCCCCCCCCCACCCCCCCCCCGCTTTTTTTAAGCCGTACCAAGCGTGCTTCAAAGCCCAAGAAACTAGTTGAAAAACATCGTGTGAGCATTGTGTTTGCAAATGGGGGGGGCTGCGCCCCCCCCAACCCCCCGCTTTTTTTTACCGTGCTGCTTCAAGCCAAGAAACTTGTTGACACCCATCATGTGAGCGTTGTGTTTGCAAATGGAAGGGGCTGCGCCCCCCCCAAAACCCCCCCCCCGCTTCTTTTAACCGTACCAAGCGTGCTCAAAGCCAAGACACTGAAACGTGCATTGTGTTTGCAAAGGGGGGGCTGCGCCCCCCCCAACCCCCCGCTTTTTTTAAGCGTGCTTCAAAGCCCAAGAAACTTGTTGACACCCATCATGTGAGCAGGGTGTTTGCAAATGGGGCTGGGGCTGCGCCCCCCCCCACCCCCCCCCCGCTTTTTTTAAGCCGTACCAAGCGTGCTTCAAAGCCCAAGAAACTAGTTGAAAAACATCGTGTGAGCATTGTGTTTGCAAATGGGGGGGGGGCTGCGCCCCCCCCAACCCCGCCTTTTTTTAAGCCGTGCAGAGCGTGCTTCAAAGCCCAAGAAACTTGTTGACACCCATCATGTGAGCAGGGTGTTTGCAAATGGGGGGGGGGGCTGCGCCCCCCCAACCCCCCCCCCCGCTTCTTTTAAGCCGTACCAAGCGTGCTTCAAAGCCCAAGAAACTAGTTGAAAAACATCGTGTGAGCATTGTGTTTGCAAATGGGGGGGGGGCTGCGCCCCCCCCAACCCCCCGCTTTTTTTAAGCCGTGAGCGTGCTTTCAAAGCCCAAGAAACTTGTTGACACCCATCATGTGAGCAGGGTGTTTTGCAATGGGGGGGGCTGCGCCCCCAACCCCCCCCCGCTTCTTTTAAGCCGTACCAAGCGTGCTTCAAAGCCCAAGAAACTAGTTGAAAAACATCGTGTGAGCATTGTGTTTGCAAATGGGGGGGGCTGCGCCCCCCCCAACCCCCCCGCTTTTTTTAAGCCGTGCAGAGCGCGCTTCAAAGCCCAAGAAACTTGTTGACACCCATCATGTGAGCAGGGTGTTTGCAAATGGGGGGCGCAGACCCCCCAACCCCCCCCCGCTTCTTTTAAGCCGTTCAAAGCCCAAGAAACTAGTTGAAAAACATCGTATGAGCATTGTGTTTGCAAATGGGGGGGGCTGCGCCCCCCCCAACCCCCCCGCTTTTTTTCAGCCGAAGCCCAAGAAACTAGTTGAAACCCATCATGTGAACAGTGTTTGCAGATGGGGGGCACAGCCCCCCCAACCCCCCTCCCCGCTTCTCTTAAGCCGTACCAAGCGTGCTTCAAAGCCCAAGAAACTAGTTGAAAGTGCAGAGCGTGCTTCAAAGCCCAAGAGGTGTTTGCAAGTGGGGGGGCTGCGCCCCCCCAACCCCCCCCCCGCTTCTTTTAAGCCGTACCAAGCGTGCTGCAAAGCCCAAGAAACGAAGGAAATGACAGGATATCTGTCCAAAATGTAAGGAACATAGGGTTTTCCCCCTAGGAAAAACCAAGGATAACCTAAGGGAAATTACAGGAAATCCGTCCAGAATGTTAAAAAAATAGGTTTTTCCCTATGAAAAACCAACGAAAACCTAAGGGAAATGACAGAAAATCCGTCCAAAATGTAAGGCAAGTAGGGTTTTTCCTAGAGAAAACCAAGAAAATCGACCAAGAAAAAAAAAAGGCCCCCCCAAAAAAAAAGACCCAAAAAAAAACTCCACCCATAGTAAACTATAGAACAATAGAGGTTTTCGCTATACAATATAGAGAAATTAGAGTTTCCTATGACAACATAGAGGAAATAGAGGCTTTCGTACGAAAATATAGCGACAATACCAAGTGATTTCATATTAAAATGTAGAGGTCTTGATATTCAATTATAGAGAATAGAGGTTTTCATGTTCAAATTTTAAGAAAATGGAGGTTTGCCTATTCAGAGACAGAGAAAATAATAGGCTTCCTATTAAAATAGGACAAGACAAACAAAAACACTTTTAATTGCAAGTCACATATTGAGATAACACAGAGAATGAGTTTCTCATGTATTCCTCTCTCATGTCTTCCTCATTAAATATAGAGGAAAACTATGACGACATAGACAAAAATAGAGAGAAATAGAGGTTTTCGTTTTAAAATATAGAGAAATAGAGGTTCTCGTATTAAAGTATAGAGAAACTAAAAAACTAGAGGTTTTCATACTAAATGTAGAGAAAATTGAGGTTTTCATAGAAGAAAGAGGTTTTCCTACTAAAACTTAGAGAAAATAGAGGTTGTCATAGTAAAACATAGAGAAAGCAGCAAAAACGCTCCGCACCCGCAGCAAAAAAAAGGGCGCCCCCCACGGCACCCGCACAAAAAAAAAAAAAAAACGCGCCCCCGCACCCGCAGGTCTTGGAGTTTCAGGGATTTTTCAGGCTGGGATGCAGGCGGTAAGAGTGTTTTTTTTGCTGCAGGTGTTTTTTTGTTGCGGGTGCGGGGCGCGTTTTTTTTTTTGCTGCGGGTGCCGGGGCGCGTTTTTTTTTGCTGCGGGTGCGGGGGCGCGTTTTTTTTGCTGCGGGTGCGGGGGCGCGTTTTTTTTTTTGTCTTCAGAGCCGGCCTCAGAGTGTTGAGTCCTATGGGTTGGATCCGACCTGTATTCCCGTGGATGGAGAGCCCTTGAGGGTGAAGAGGGCCCCCGCCCCCTTCTAAACCCTTAAAAACCTTAATCCCTAAACCCCGAACCCTGACCCCCGAACCCTGAAGAGAGCTTCTTCTATTGGAGCCCCAGCTTCTGAGACGTCATGCATCCCCCACAACAAATCCCCACAGTAGCTCCTTGCTCACAAACTTTCGCGATGGTGTCCGTTGGGACTAAACCCTAAACCCTAAACCCTAAACCCTAAACCCTAGAAGTCAAACACCGGTTTTAGAAACAGGCTCTAAGGCAAAGGCGGTTCCCGAAACAGGCGACGGTGATTCACGCACTCCTTTTTCCTGAGGTTTGGAGAGGTCTTTGCACATGTTGCTGAGGAGAAGAGTCATTTAGTCTGCCAAAGCTTCTGATCCATCAGTGGCCACTGCAGCGCATTCGTTTTCTTGCGGTCTTGTTGTGCTTCAGATACCAAATCATATCGAGACCATACAAGTTTCGATATCAAATTCGTGGCATTTTTCAGACATGCAATCCCAGGCTCTTGTTCATCTTTAGTTTCAGTGCTCGGAGCCTTCCCGCGAAAAGTGACGACAAATAAGCACAAAAGACAGGGTACCTGTGAGGCCTCAGCATATTCACAAACTCACAATAGGACAAAACAATGGTTTCAGCGAAATCTAGCCAAGCCTGCTTCTGAGTCATCTTTGCAGCCCTGCCAAGAGCAGCTTGGGCATCTTTGCCCAAAGAGCCAGGCATAGCGTCAGCCAGCCCACAAAACGAGTCAAGCTTGTAGCGCCACTGCAAAAACGTCTGCGGCCAAGCAGCAGAACATAAAGTCATGTTGCATGACCAAGCGCGTGCACGCAAGACTGACGTGTGATTACCGTCTGTTTTGGTGTGATTTCACTGATAGAGGATGTCGTGAAAACAGTCAAATCCCGAAACGGGCGTTCACGCGAAAAAACCTGTTTTCACGCAGTTTTCACGCATGATTCACGCCCTTTCACGGCTGTTTTCGCTTATAAGGCCGAAACACCTGTTCAAAAAACTAGACCGCAACTTGGCCCCACATGAGCGTGAATCACGAACACGGTGGTGTGATCACTAGTGCTCCTTGGAACAGGTGATCGCTACAATCATCGTATGTCATTGCAGCAAGTTCGAAAACAACGTGAGCACGCCAAAGATGTTGGCACACAGACACACGCGATAGCTTGGGCTGTCCACCCTACGTGAGGCCAAGACGTTCCCTCAAAGCACGCTTCATGATTCAAGTACCTGCCCCTTATTTGATAGATGTAGATCTTCAGATTGAGCCCAGAATCTATTTGGGCCAGAAAGCAGCTTACCAACTAGCAGTTTTTTTTAGTTCGCAATTTTGCAGCTGGAGGGCATCATGTGGGACTGCAATTGTCATCCAAACCCATGGCAAGCATCAGGCAACAGGTGGCCGCGAACATCCAAAGCTTTTTGTGCGATGAGTATCATGTCTGTTGGGACCAGGGTCGGCACGACATAGATAGACACATCGTGAAATGTGAATGAATGCATGTCTTTTCATTGTGGACCACAGAGCTGAAGTCTCAGCTCTTCTTTCCTGTGCGGTCATCATCTACACATCTTTGGGCACTAGAGGTGCGCATCATCGGCCCCAAATAGGCGTTAGGGGCACCAAAACCAACTAGCGGCAAAGGCGATTTCCTAAACGGGCTTGGATTCCCAAATAAACCCTAAGCCCTAAACCCCTTTTTTCTCCTTTCAGTTGGGGTTCAATAGGATCCAATGTGAGGATCTCCTTAAAATCGTAAGCCCTATACACGCATCTCAAGGCTTCGGAGAGGCAGACCGAATCACCTACAACGCGGTCATTAGTGCCTGCTGCAAGGCAGGGCGACAGACCCTAAACCCTAAACCCTGAACCCTGAACCCTGAACCCTGAAACCTAAACCCCAAACCCCTCTCCCGACTGTCTTTTTGGAAGCGTTTGGGGCGACATCCCTAACTTTGTTGAAGGATTGATTTACCACTGTTTCCCCCCCCCCCCCCCCCCCGAAGCCCAAAACCCCTTACGGGGTTCGGGAAGCTCTGCATCGCACCGTGGCACTAAGGCTTTGAGAGGCTCAGGTTTCCGAGGGAGTTGGGCATAGGCTTGTGCAGGATTGGTCCGGGTGAGGTCTGACAGTCGAATATCTCTTAGGGTTGAGGGTTGAGGGTTGAGGGTTTAGGGTTTAGGGTTTAAGGTTTAGGAAGGCTCCGGGAGGCCGCAAAACGGCCCCCGGAGGCATTGGTCAAGACCCAATCGAAAGCCAACACAAAACCTCTTCAGACTCTTCTGCCGAGTCAAAACCCACCCGAACAGCAAAACAAAAGAAGCTCGACAAAACCCGTCAAGCCCCCCGCCCCCCGGAAAGAAAAAGCGGACACAACCCCCATGAAAAAATCTATAAACCCTAAACCCTAAACCCTAAACCCTAAACCCTAAACCCTAAACCCTAAACCCTAAACCCTAAACCCTAAACCCTAAACCCTAAACCCTAAACCCTAAACCCTAAACCCGAACCCCAGCCATCTGCAGGGCTTCGTGACAACCGGGGCCCTTCGCCTATTGGAGGAGATGGACCACATCGGTGCGAGGCTCTTGAAACACGGAATAGGGTTTGGGGTTTAGGGTTTAGGGTTTGGGGTTTAGGGTTTGGGGTTTAGGGTTTGGGGTTTGGGGTTTGGGGTTTAGGGTTTAGGGGTTTAGGGTTTATAAGTTCAGATACCTTCATAGGAACTATAGCAATATGGGGCATATGACCCCAACTTTGGGGTTCATATGGTCCCCATTTTGAGGAGAGGACCCAGATCTGTTTGACGGTCTTGCCGTACTGGTTGGTTCTCGGTCGGGAATAAGGGAATTAGGTACCCTATGTTTCTATCCCTACAAAGAGCCAGTAGGAAACTTCGCCGTCATATCCGCAAGACCTGCAACGGGAGTCAGTGTTCGGCTGGCATTGCCTGTCGGGTATGCGGGGTGGTTCTACACTGCTTGTTTTCGATCTCGACCACACGATTCAATATCGCAAGATCCCACAGCTTGGCCCCAGACACTAAGTCACATACCGTGGTAGAGACCCGAACACGGCACGCTCCCCAAACCCTAAACTCTAAAACCTACCCCTAAACCCTGAACCCGCAGATGCCCAAACGGCTAAAGCCTTCAGCTCTGAGAACTCAGCTGGCGAGGCCAGATGGTGTCACGTTCGACGTCTCGATCCGCGCTCTGGCAAGTCTGGCTCAGTGGCAGAATGCTCTTGCGCTCTTCGAGGACAGTAGGGTTTAGGGCTTAGGGCTTAGGGTTTAGGGTTTAGGGTTTAGGGCTTAGGGTTTAGGGTTTAGGGTTTAGGGTTACAGGGGCACCCTTTTTGGGTTTGGTTACTTTATCCGGGAACCTGGAACCCAAAAGAGGTGACAGGGTCCCACTGAGGGTTTAGGATGAATCATGCTAGGGTTTAGGGTTAAGGGTTTAGGGTTTAGGGTTTAGGGCTTAGGGCTTAGGGTTTAGGGCTTAGGGCTTAGGGCTTAGGGTTTAGGGTTTAGGGTTTAGGGTTTAGGGTTTAGGGTTTGGGGTTTAGGGTTTAGGGTTTAGGGTTTAGGGTTTAGGGTTTAGGGTGAATCTTGCGAGGACATGGTCAGCAGGGGCATCCCGGCCGATGCCATCGCACTCAGCGCGGGCATTGCAGCGTGCGGCCTGCCTGCTTTGGAGTTCAGGATGGGGTTTTAGGGTTTAGGGTTTAGGGTTTAGGGTTGCCCTAAACCCTAAACCCTAAACCCTAAACCCTAAACCCTAAACCCTAAACCCTAAACCCTAAACCCTAAACCCTAAACCCTAAACCCTAGACCCTAAACCCTAAACCCTAAACCCTAAACCCTAGACCCTAGACTCTAGACCCTAGACCCTAGACCCCAAACCCTAAACCCCAAACCCTAAACCTAAACCCTTGATGTGTGTGGAGCCTTCAGCCATGAAGTCCGAGATTCTTCAAAACGTCTTAGCCACACCATTGGTCTTTAGTGTTGAGGGTTTAGGGTTTAGGGTTACCATGGTCCAAACCCTCCGAACTGCCTTAGACTAGGATGCCTGCCTCAACCCGAAACCTGTTCCCCCTTATACTAACATCCCTTAGTCGGGAATATTTTCGTACAGTAAGCCCTATTAAGGACTGTTAGTATAAGGGGGAACATGCCAACGCCTAGCGTTGGAGCCAGCGTGAAGATTGAAAAGTATACGGCTTCCTGGACACTGAACCCCAAACAAGCTCCAGGTGAGAACGCTGCGAGGCAGCCGCCCGGAATGCTACCGCTCTTTTCGAAACTGGAGGAAGGCCGCTGGGAGCGTTGATTTTTGAAGGGAAACCCATGGGAACCCCCCAAAACAGGCAAATCCCAGGAATTTAGGTGCGGAGTGGAAATGCAAGTACAATAGGGGTCGGAATAATTACTAGGTCCGTTTATAAGGATACGATAATGACCCCCAAACCCGGTTCAAATTGTTGAGGCCCCATATTACAAGGGTCCTCATATTACGTGAGATGGAGTCACAGGCCTTTTTGGTGGATGGAGGTTGAAACTTGTCATCAGTTTAAGGTTTAACTGGGGGTTCGTTTAGGGTCTGTGGTGTTAGCACTCTTTGTGTCCGAACGGCTCTTCTTGCTACAGGGTTTAGGGCCAGGGTAGCTCAGGGTTTGGTCATTGAACCTTGGAAAGCAAACAGCCTGCTGGAAGAGCTCCCCGTCGACCTTGTTAGGAAGCAAAGGGTTTTTGATGGGTTCTGATGCTGCATAGAAAATGCTCCGGGCCCGGTTGCTAGAGACATCTGGCTATATGTACAACTTGTACAGAAAGCACAATGACTACAAGAGATAGGCGTTCCGTTTTGGATGACATCGGCATGGTTCCATCATAGCGGAGGCAGTGCACCTCGCATGATTGGGTTTCTGAGTTTAAGAGCATCCGCACGTTGTCAGGGAAAGGAAAGGCAAGGCCCTACGATTGTACAACCATATTCTTGGTTCTTCGGGCACTTGCTATGAGATGACCTCCTTGCATGCAGCTTCCCTAAACCTGCAATGTGGCCCGAGCCCCTTAGGTTAAAAATAATCTGCGTCGCACCAGGTTCCAACCGGAACATACCATGGTGTCGTCCCTGCTCTGCTTGCTGACGCTCTTGCCCCTGGGCTCGGCAAGCTTCCCTTCTTGCAATGGGACCGCCAGCCCTGACACACCTGCCAGCGGAAACTCCACTACGGACGTTCCTGTGGAGGTGAATGTCCAGGGCCAGAGTGGCAAGTTCACAATCGTTCCCAAGGGTTCCTCCGGGAACTCGGTTGGCATCAGGGTGACCATGGACGCACTCCGGGAGGTGGACGCCGCTGGCAGCGCGGTGGGCCAGACGGGTAGCGTGAAGCACTCCGTGAACACCTTTGCCGCGCAGGACTTCACTGTGGGCAGCGTGGAGCAGGTGACCGTGGGTTCTGTGAGTGCCGCGAAGATCTCGTTTGAGTCTACCATCTCCAGCATCGGCAAGCTCGGCGTGGACACTTACCTCATGGCGGGCGATGGCGATGTTGGTATGAACAACGACTCGTGGTCCGTTGATATTGGGGACTTGAAGTGGAACATCCGGCTCTGGGATTGGACCTGGTGCGGAGACTCAGGCGCTACCTGCAAAAGTGGCGACGTAGGGGATGCCATCGAGCTGGACATCACCGTGCAGAACATGGGTGGTGGGTCGGCCAGCAAGAAGGCTGGTAGCAACAAGACGGTCTCGCTGGGTGGCTCGGCCGAGTTGCAGCTATCAACGGCTGTACAAACAGACTGCGCCTGGGTGGAGATGGCCGATGGCTACCCGATGGTCACCACGCAGGGTAGCGGTACCACCATCACCTTCCGCTTTCCGCGCTTCAGCTCCTCCTCGCTGTATGACCCAGTGATCTCCGGCTCCTGCGGCGAGCTGGGCCTCGATTGCGGGGGTGGCTCCAGCACCACCGGAGGGAGCAACTCGGTGAGCTCCACAACTGCGGGTGCAGGAGTGACTTTGGCAACAGCCCTAGCCATCACTGTTTCTGCATACTTCGCCTGAGGGTCCAGTCACGCAGATTCCATGTATGGGATTTATTGGGGCACGGCTGAAGCGCGTCCAGCAGAGATGTCGAAGCAGCCATGCCACCTTAATTCGGCACTACAGCTTGCATGACATGTTCGATGGAACATTTTTGGTCTTTTGAAGCTTTCAAGCACCTCCAACAAGACCTGTGACGCTGACGCAGCGGAGAGGTTGCAAGCTCACGCGAAAAAAAAGATGACAGCGATCGCATCCTTGATGAAGCTCATGAAGTATGGAAGTGGCGATCAGTCAAGGAAGCTACTACCATTACACCCTAAACCCTAAACCCTAAACCCTAAACCCTAAACCGCTTCGGGAGGTGGGCTCAAGGCCATCCACTGCAGCTCCGGGGCGCGTGCAGAAGAAAACTCGGGGCGGGGCGTTCTTGCGAAGCGGTCTCCACCCATGTTTGGAGACTTAGGTCTTTGAAGCAGGGTTTAGGGCTTAGGGTTTAGGGTTCAGGGAGTAGGGTAGTTTAGGGTTTAGGGTTTAGAGTTTAGGGTTTGGTAGGAACCTTGCGGCTATGAATGGGGTTGATGTGTAATCATGCTTCATGCATTTCTATGGGCTAACCTTGAGATTTCATGTCTATTCGGGCTTCCCCCCCCCCCCAAACAAAAAAAAAAACACACACACACACACACAAACGGAGTCGAAAGACTGCTTTAATTCAGATGTTGGAGTAAGGTCGTATAGGGTTTAGGCGACTGTTGGGGGGTTAGAAGCCTCGGTTGTCCAGTCGACATGACCTGCTTGTGCGGCCGCTCTTCTTTAGTTCTTCTAGGATTCTTTCGTTGGTATAGAAACCAAGGGAGTATCAAACATGGACTGAAACCCTAGCCCTGAACCCTAAGGGAAGATTTGCAATTCTGATTTAAGTTCAAAGGGGTATAGGTTTTGGAGTATGGGATAGCAAGGGCCTCTCGATTGAACCGCCTCCGTCTCCACTAAAACTTCTTCGCTTTTTGTTCCACACCCGACGCACCCTGTCTTGACGCAATTTGTGCCAAGCCCCCAAACCCCTGCACCCTAAACCCCTAAACCCCTGAAGCCCCAAAACCCTAAAGCATTATTCCCCAAGCCGCTTAAGCCCCTTGTGCCTAACAACCACTACTTGGGGTTCATGAGTGCTTACCAGTCGGGTTGTAGGTGCTCTAAATGAAGGTTGGAAGTATGGTTACCCTGAACCCTAAACCCTAAGCCCTAAGCCCTAAGCCCTAAACCCTAAACCCTAAACCGTTTCAGTCTATACCCCTACCTTTTTTAGATACCCATTTGGACCTCCAAAAGTAAAGCTCTAAGGGCGACGCCAATCGTCAACGTTCGCCTGGCCATCGAGTCCTCTTACGGCTTCGCAAGGCTTGCGGACGCAAGGCTCGGGCTCCCAGGGGTTTAGGGGTTTAGGGGTTTAGGGGGGTTTAGGGGGGCTTAGGGGGCTTTGCTTTAGGGGGGTTTAGGGGGGTTTAGGGGGGTTTAGGGGGGTTTAGGGGGGGTCTAGGGGGGGTTTGGGGGGGGTTTTAGGGGGGTGGTTTAGGGGGGTTTTAGGGGGTTTAGGGTTTAGGGGGGTTTAGGGTTTAGGGTTTAGGGTTTAGGGTTTAGGGTTTAGGGTTTAGGGTTTAGGGTTTAGGGTTTAGGGGGGGGTTTAGGGTTTAGGGTTTAGGGTTTAGGGTTAGGGTTTAGGGTTAGGGTTTAGGGGGAACCCGTGTTTTTTTTTTTCGTGGGTGCTTTTTTGCTGTGGGTGCTTTTTTCGGGGGCCGCCCCGGTGAGTGAGTGACCTGGCGCGTGTCGCCTCCGGCAAAAAAAAACGCGCGCAGCAAAAAAAAACCCCCCCCCCCCCCCCCCCCCCTCCCCACCCCCAGCACCCGCAGCAAAAAAAAAAACGCGCCCCCCGCACCCGCAGCAAGAAAAAAAACGCACACCCCCCCCCCCCTTCCTCCCCACCCCCCCAGGTGAGTGAGTGACCTGGCCCGTGTCGCCCCCGCACCCGCAGCAGAAAAATGAACGCGCCCCCGCACCCGCAGCAAAAAAAAAAACGCACCCCCACACCCGCAGCAAAAAAAAACATGCCCCCCCCCCTTCCTCCCCACCCCCCAGGTCATTTGTTTTGCAATTTCCTCCCCAACCCCGTCCCCAACGCCCCCCCTCCTTTAAACTGTGCAAGCGTTTTCAAAGCACTGAATCCTTCCCAAGGCCATCATGCGAGCATTGTGTTGGCAAACGGTGGAGGGAGGGCTGCACCCCGCCCGACCCCCCCCCCTCTTTAAAACCGTGCCAGCTCGCTTCTCACCATATGAATCCTGTCCAAGCCTATCATGCCAGCATTGGGTTTGCAAATGGGGGGGGCTGCGCCCCCCCCAACCCCCCCGCTTCTTAAAGCCATGCCAGCTTGCTTCAAAGCAAATGAATCCTTTCCCCCCAACCCCCCCGCTTTTTTTAGCCGGCAAGCCTGCTTCAAAGCTTACGAATCCCTTCCAAACCCATGATGCGACCATTGTGTTTTCAAATGCGGCGGTCTGCGCAGCCCCCAATCCCCTGACAAAAAGAGGGAATCTTGCTTTCCTACGAAAATTCAGACCTTATAGTGGAAGTTGAATTTTCCGTTTAAAAAACGCCTTCTTAGTACAGAATCGAGAAAATAGAGCTTGTGTTATGAGACATGAACAAAACACTTGTTGTCTACGAGTCACAGATAGAGGTAATGCATGTACTCTTGTGACAATATAGAGAATTAGCTTTTCGTGTATTCCTCTCTCATGTCTTCCTCGTGAAATAAAGAGACGAAGTCCGAAAATACTGACAAAAAAACAAACTATAGAACAATAGAGGTTTTCGCTATACAATATAGAGAAATTAGATGTTTCCTATGACAACATAGAGGAAATAGAGGCTTTCATACGAAAATATAGCGAAAATACAAAGTGTTTTCATATTAAAATGTAGAGGTCCTGATATTCAAATATAGAGAATAGAGGTTTTCATGTTCAAATGTTAAGACAATGGAGGTTTGCCTATTCAGAGACAGAGAAAATAATGGGCTTCCTATTAAAATAGGACAAGAGGAACAAAAACACTTTTAATTGCAAGTCACATATTGAGATAACACCGAGAATAAGTTTCTCATGTATCCCTCTCTCATGTCTTCCTCAAAAATAGAGAAATAGAGGTTTTAGTTATAAAATAGAGAGAAATAGAGGTTTTCGAATTGAAGTATAGAGAAACTAGAAAAACTAGAGGTTTTCATGCTAAATGTAGAGAAAATAGAGGTTTTCATATTCAAATATAGAGAAGAAAGAGGTTTTCCTATTCAAATATAGAGAAGAAAGAGGTTTTCCTATTGAAAATTAGAGAAAATAGAGGTTTTCATAGTAAAATATAGAGAAAACAGCAAAAAAACGCTCCGCACCCGCAGCAAAAAAAAACGCGCCCCCACGGCACCCGCAACAAAAAAAAAGTGCGCCCCCGCACCCGCAGCAAAAAAAAAAAAAAAAACGCGCCCCCCGCACCCGCAGCAAAAAAAAAAAGCGCCCCCGCACCCGCAGCAACAAAAAAGGCGCCCGGGCCCCGCACCCACAGCAAAAAAACACCCGCAACAAAAAAAAACACTCTTACCGGGTTTAGGGGGGTTTAGGGGGGTTTAGGGGTTCTAGGTTTAGGGCTTAGGATTTAGGGATTAGGGTTTAGGGGTTTGGGGGGTTGAGGGGGTTTAGGGGGGTCCGGGGTTTAGGGGTTTAGGGGTTTAGGGTGGTTAGGCGGGTTTAGGGGTTTAGGGGTTTAGGGCTGAGAGGCTTAAGGGTTATGGGTTTGAGCGTGTGTCAAGATTAAGTCTTCGAGTCTTCGAATTACATTGTGGGCTTTTCGTGGCGCAGCGTTCTTGGACTTGGTAGCCCAATGGTACTGTGTTCTTTTTTCTTTGGTTCAAGGTTCCCTTCTAAAGTAGCCAACGCAAGAAAGGGTGCCCTTGTGGTAATATGGTTAATGGGCTACCAAGTGCGCGTCTGGAATGGAGGAAAGGCCTGGAGGAACGTCTTGGGGGTCCATTCAGCAAGTTGGGAATGCCCTGATGCTCCCTTACAAGGAGGCACCTTCAACTTGGATGGCTTACTGCGTACTACATGTGCGCCCATACTATGCGAGTTTTTTGCTTAGGATTCATAGAACTTTTAGATGATTGGGCAAGCCCCCCCCCCCCGCCCCCCCTAAAGCTTCCCGGCGTCCCAGCGGCTGTCACAGAAAGAGTCCAGGGGCCGTGCCAGGCTTGCAAGCACCGCCGTTGCATTGGAAGAGATGCTTGTGCAGGGAAAGAAGGCGCGCTTGAAGGCTGCTTGTTGTGCCCGTGGGCTGCTTGAAGATTGCGAGCCTGAAGTTATAAGTGTCCCTGAACAGAGTCCTTCTAGTTCGACAGGGAAGAGCTGGGAAAAGCTAAAGAATCAACGTGAACCTATAGGCTTCTGGGTGTCTGGGTTTAAGTTTCGCAGGATCAACAGAAACCTACATTCTTAGGAGTCCTAGGCGTCAGGCTAAGTTGTAGCCCCCTACTCTCCAAACCCTACATCCCTGGAGAAATCGATCTGTGAGGTGCACATCTGCCGTCCCAGCAGCTTCAAGCAAGACGCGGCGGATGCGGAAAAGCCCCTGGACCTGACGCTGGGTGTGCAAGACTGCGGTGTGTCAGAACCCAACACGCTAAAACATCCCCTAGAACCTAAACCCTAAACCTTAAACCCTTGATTCAAATTGGATGGCAATTACTTATGACCGTTTCCGCACCTCATTGTTGACAAGGGGGATTTAGGGTTTAGGATTCAGGGTTTAGGGTTTCGGGGTTGGGGTTTCTGAAACATGGTCCTGTTTAAGGAGTGCCTGTTTGAGTACGAAGCCTGCTTTGTTGGGTACTCGGAAAGGGGCCATCATTTTGACCTCCACGGAAAGGCCGGTTTAGCCAGTCAAGGGTCATGTCATGAAATCCAACCTTCTCTCAGCGACAAAACTCCGTCGCCCCAATGAACCAGATGCTTCTATAATTAGTCTCCGTGGGGTTTGTGATGTTAGTCGTGCCACGGGGGGGGGGGGGGGGAATGGTCGGTATCCACCCTAGACCCTAGACCCTAGACCCTAAACCCGAAACCTTAAACCCTAAACCCTAAACCCTAAACCCTAAACCCTAAACCCTAAACCCTAAACCCTAACCCTAAACCCTAAACCCTAAACCCACTGCAGTTACCTGCATTTTTTCAAGGACTCGTGCTGTGCTGAAGCCTCCGCCGCCACCGCTGCAGCCGCCGCCGCTGCAACTCCCGCCCCCGCCGCCGAAGGTGGCAGCCGGGCTGCCGGGTTCCGGAGTTTTGTTCTAAAATAGGGTTTGGGGTTTGGGGTTTAGGGTTTAGGGTTTAGGGTTTGGCTTAAGGTTTAGGATCTTGCTGTACAGGGCTTGGATTTCAATTTTCTGGACACTTCCTGTTCGGTTGGCGAGTGCGGCCGAACCTTTAAAAGGGCTTGTCGAAGGACCCCGGCTTGCAACGGTGAACGTGGCAAACAAACCCTCAACCCTCAACCCTCAACCCTCAAATTTCAACCCTAAACCCTAAACCCTAAACCCTAAACCCTAAACCCTAAACCCTAAACCCTAAACCCTAAACCCTAAACCCTAAACCCTAGACCCTAAACCCTAAACCCTAAACCATCACAAGGTTTGCACTTGCTCGACCGGTGTTGAGCCTACACGAGTTGCTTTTGTTCCTTCAACTGTGGTCTGTTTAGGAACTTGGTAGCCCCAGTGGTACCCTTTACCCTTTGTGTGGTTCTGGGTTCCCTTAGAAAGTAACCAACTTAGACAACAAAACAGAGGACCCTGGGTGCGCGCCTCCTGTGTGTTTTTCACCGGACTCCCAAACAAGTGTGCCCTCACTGTAATATGGTTTCTGGGCTACCAAATTTGACGGTGGTCTCTTTAGGAATGATGTGTTAATTTGGGCTGTGTCAAAACCGACGGGGATATCGCACATGTTATTGTTCAAGGGTCTAAGTGAGCTTGCTTGTGTTTTGGCTTCTTGCATACAGATTCTCATGTCAGAGCACACCAATGAGGTGTCCGGGAGGGGGGGGGGGAGTAGGGAGCCCATATTCTCTTCTTCAGGCCTACTAAGGGCTTATTTGGGTATTTCCCAATCAGAATGGAATCCTCTTAAAGGGGCCCCCAAACACAAATGGTACCCCCTGTTTTCGGCAAACCCCCATTTGGGCTTCTGAAGGGCCTCATTCAGTCCCGACATGCTTCAAGTATAACTCCCTAGTTCTTGCCCCCGGCAAGCACGGACCCATTCCCGGCCATCACTGCAGATCCCGAACGTGTTGCAGCCATATAACTTTTGATGTAGGGTTCAGGGTTTTAGGGTTTCGGGTTTAGGGTTCAGTGTTTAGGGTGTGGGGCTTAGGGTTTAGGGATTTCGGGGGTTATCTAAAGCAACCAAGCCCATATACGGAGGCTCCGGAGGCGTCGGATGTGCCTCCGCCCGCACCGCCCATGGTGCCAGCAGGGACCCACACCCTGTGGCTCGGAAATCTGCCGAGCTGGTGCCCCAACTTCTTCTCTGCATGGTAAACCCTAAACCCTAAACCCTAAACCCTATGCCCTATACCCTATGCCCTAAACCCTAACCCCTAAACCCTAAACCCTAAACCCTAAACCCGAAAGGTGAAACGGTCACAGTTCCGGCCCTGGCGCGTCCTTCCCTGGTATCGGACACCCGACATCCATGCACCTCAGAGACTTTGCAAGCCCAGGGCCCAAACCCAGAACAGATGCGTTAAAGAAGTTTAGGGTTTAGGGTTTAGGGTTTAGGGTTTAGGGTTTGGGGTTTAGGGTTTAGGGTTTAGGGTTTAGGGTTGAGGGTTGAGGGTTTAGGGTTTAGAGTAGAGGACACCTCTCCCCTCAGCAGGAAGAAAGCTCCCAATCCTGCAATGACCACGCAGCCTCCTTGTAAAACCCAACCATCGCGCAAAGCTAAACCATTTGGGGGTGTCCGAATTAGGGTGTAGGGTGTAGGGTGCAGGGTTTAGGGTTTAGGGTTTAGGGTTTAGGGTGGTACCTTATTGGTGTCCTTGTCAAAAGAGGATCCTCCCCTTGTAAGCCCCCACTTGAGAAGCTGCTGCTCCGAAAAGGGCCTAAAACCCTTCATCCTCTCTCCTAGGCCTAGTAAACAAAGCCATGCTCAAGAAGGAGTGATTTCCAGGGCCACGGTTTAGGGTTTAGGGTTTAGGGATTTCAGGGCTTGAAGTTTTTGGGTACTTGCTTTCGGGTTGATGGGGTAGGGGGAGGGGGGTGTCCGACAATGACAGGTCCATCTTCGTTGGGTTTTCAGGGATCTTCGAGTCTGCTATAGGACCCAGACTTAGGCCCTTATTCCTTTTTTTAGGGTTTAGGTTCCCCGATGAGCCATTCTCATCCAAAAAGGGCCCCCGTTTTATATCTAGGTTACTCTGGGGTCTGGTATACTTGCGAAGGGGGCACACCTCTGCTTTACGCACCCTGCACCAATTTTTTGGCACTTCAACATCCACACCCAAACCCGCAACCCCAAACCCTCAACCCTAAACCCGAAACCCTAAACCCTACATCCTAAACTCGAAGCCCTAAACCCTCAACCCGAAACCCTAAACCCGAAGCCCTGAGGCCGCCACTGCTATGAGCAGCTGAGCGAGGACGAGGAGTGCGCGGAGGATGGCCAGTACAAGGCCCTCCAAGGTCGTGTTGGGGTTTAGGGTTTAGGGTTTAGGGTTTAGGGTTTAGGGTTTAGGGTTTAGGGTTTTAGGGTTTAGGGTTTGGGGTTTAGGGTTTAGGATTGAAATTTGAGGGTTGAGGGTTGAGGGTTGAAGGTTAAGGGGGTTTTGGGGACGTCTATTTGGGCTTCCAAATCCTGTAAACCGAATCTTCATTGTTTGGGGGTACAGTAGGGGGTTGCCACTGTTTTAAGAGCCCTCATTCTAAACCCTACACCCCCAGATTTTGGGCTGAAGATGGACCAAGCTCACTTGGGCTGTGTCGACCGGATTGAGCTTCCAAGTCGTGCTGGGGTTTCCCATCGCGGTTTCGGGTTTAGGGTTCAGGGTTTTGGATTGAGGGTTGAGGGAAGAGGTTAGGGTTTAGGGTTTAGGGTTTAGGGCTTCGGGTTTAGGGTTTAGGGTTTAGGGCTTCGGGTTTAGGACGCAAGAGACATCTGAACCCGATCAGGATGCCCGACTGATACGCCTCCTCGATCACCACGCGGCCACCCGGGCCATGTCCCTGCCTGGCTACGAGTTGGAAGAAGGCATCGGACCTTTAAGGGTTTAGGGTTTAGGGTTTAGGATTTAGGGTTTAGGGCTTAGGGCTTAGGGCTTAGGGTTTACCTTACTTTTGGTGAATGAAGGTACTCCAAAAAATCCCTTACAGGGTATATATATATATAGGGCCCTAATTCTATGGTCAGTTCTCACAATCCATGATCCCCTTTCTTGGGTACCCTGAATTTTTTTGGGGGCCAGCATCAAAAGGAACCATAATTTAGAGAAGTGACCATAATTGGAGGTTCATGGATAGCCAGAAAGCCTGCACAAGGTTGTGGCAATAGTTGCCACACCTTCATCCCTACTTTTTAAGTGCCATCAACCTTCAAGTAAACCCCCAACGTCCCTGGCATCGGCATCGGGCGACCGATCGGAAATTTCCCGGGCGTTGCAAGGTAATCCAGGAAACCCTAAACCCTAAACCCTAAGCCCTAAGCCCTAAACCCTAAACCCTGAAGCCTATAAACCCTAAACCCTAGGCCCTGGCTTTCAGCATGGCTAGTGCTTCAGTCCTCCGACCCGCCCACCTCTTGAGGCTTCCAACGACTCCCATTACAGTTTGTAGCCTTTGCTAAGAAATGGTATATATATATATATAGGGGTATCTTCAATCCTTGGTTCAGGGTGGCCACTTAAAACAGAGCATCAGAGCACGCTGCTATTTGAAAAATTGAAGATATTACTCCCAATATTGCTCTTACAAGGAAGTACGGCGGGCATCAGCCTAAAGTTCTTCTTCTTCTTCTGAGGAAGTATGTGTTTTAAGATCCTTTGGGGGCTCAAGATTTCCAGATCTTGACCCCTGGGTTGCTCTTACAAGCAAGAATATGTGTCAGTTTTAGTTCTTGGGGGGGGGGGGGGGTTCTTAAGCAAAAAACGTACAGGTTACGGGGTAATGCCGCAGAGGATGGTCGGTCGGGTTGGGGCCGAGGCCTCCCGACCAGGCCCCGGAAGTGTATGGGGTTTCTTAGGGTTTCGGGTTTTTGGGGGTTTAGGGTTTTGGGGCTTTGGGGTTTTGGGGTTTTAGGGTTTTGGGGCTTTAGGGTCTTAGGGTTTCAGGGATTTAGGGTTTTGGGGCTTTAGTGTTTTAGGGTTTTAGGGTTTGAGGCTTTTAGGGGTTCTTAGGGTTTTAGGGTTTTCAGGTGTTAGGGTTTTAGGGTTTTAGGGTCTTAGTGTTTAGGGTGTTAGGGTTTTGGGGTTTTGGGGTTTTGGTTTTAGGGTTTTAGGGGTTTAGGGTTTGTGGGTTTGAGGGTTTTAGGGTTTTAGGGTTTTGGTGTTTTATGATTTAGGGTACTAGAGTTTGGGTTTTTGGGTACCCTCCCCCAGACCTACCCAACCGTAGCGTAAGCGCGCGCTCGTCTTGTCAATTCTTCAGCAGCTACTTCCCTACCAAGGCCGTGTGCCTGCACAGCATTCAAAGGAACTCCTACCGTAAACCCTAAACCCGGAACCCTAAACCCTAAACCCTAAACCCGAGGCCCTAAACTCTTGAACCCGAGGTTGTTGTATGCCCAACCTGCAACCTTGTGATTCAGCTCCAATCCACCAACCTTGCACCTTACAAAATTCGGGTTCAGGGTTTAGGGTTTAGGGTTTAGGGTTTAGGGTTTAGGGTTTAGGGTGTAGGGTTTAGGGTTTAGGGTTTAGGGTTTAGGGTTTAGGGTTTAGGGGCTCCAAGGTTCCCTAAACCTCAAAAGCTCTAAAGCCCTATGCCCCAGACATCCCTAGCCCCGAAGCCCTCAATGAGTCTCAATCCTTAAACCCCGGGTTTAGGGTTTAGGGTTTAGGGTTTAGGGTTTAGGGTTTAGGGTTTAGGGTTTAGGGTTTCGTTCGCCCCTGAAACAACCCGAAACCCTGAAACCCGAAGTAAGACCTTGGAAAGCAGGGGCCCTCTTGTCTTAGCCGGTACTTACGGTAGAAGCCAGTATAGACCCTGAACTCCTAAACCCTAACACCTTTAACCCTAAGCCCTAAACCCGAAACCCTAAACCGTACAGAAAGTCGAAGAATACCCTCAGAGCCCCAATCCTCTAAATCCTAAACCCTAAACCTTAAACCCTAAACCCTAAACCCTATAACCTCGCAGGCCCTCCGTTGAAGCGCATCTCCGTGCATCACAGCGGCCGCTTCTGGTCTGAGCAGGGTGAGCTTAGGGTTTTAGGGGCCTTTAGGGGCTTTAGGGGGTTAGGGGCTTTAGGGGCTTTAGGGGCTTTAGGGGCTTTAGGGGCTTTAGGGGCTTTAGGGGCTTTAGGGGGTTTAGGGGGGTTTAGGGTTTAGGCATCATAGGGCTTCAGGGGTTAAGTATTTCGGTGTTTGTTTCGGGGGGGGGGGGGGGGGGGGGGGGGGGGGGAGTTTGTAGGCTTCAGCAGTTTCGGTTCATTAGTGTGGTTTTGGTCTCCCCAGACCTTCAGCACTTTTGGGATGTAGAGCAAACCCCCAAGTTGCGTTGAGGCACCGTGGCCTAGGCGCTCTCGCCTGTGAGCATTCTCAGGGTAGTTTCATGGACCCTTAATACGGTCCCTAACCTCCTTTTAAAGGGTTCTGATGTATGGGAACTTTATTTGTGTAGGGTATATGAGGGGTTTATAAGGGTAACCTTCTAAGGGCCCATATTAAGGGACCATGACTAAACCCTAAACTCCCTAAACTCCCTAAACTCCCTAAACTCCCTAAACTCCCTAAACTCCCTAAAACCCTAAACCCTAAGAGGATAGCAATAGCCGGAATTTCAGGTCAATTCAGGTCCAGTCTCGAGCCTTCCTGGGCTGATTGAGACTTCTTCGCCACACAGGTGAAGTTGCAGCAGGTTTAGGGTTTAGGGTTTAGGGTTTAGGGTGTAGGGTTTAGGGTGTAGGGTTTAGGGTTTAGGGTTTAGGGTGTAGGGAGGACTTCTTCCAGGAACAGCTCCAACAGCAGAGGGAGTTCTACCTGGAGATGCAGGCCAAGTCGGCTGCATCGGCGCTGCCGCTCAGCCGGCCAGCAAGAAGGCTCGGACGCGGGGCCCGGTAGCGGTGAAGCACGAGGAGGACGGTGCAGCTTGAAGCTTGGGCCTAGGGTCTTAGGGTTTTTAGGGGTTCTTAGGGTTTCAGGGGTTTGGGGTTTTAGGGTTTAGGGATTTAGGGTTTTAAAACCCTAGTTTTTTCGGGTTTCAGGGTTTCAGGGTTTCAGGGTTTCAGGGTTTCAGGGTTTTGGGGTTTTTAAGTTGGCCATACATCGGGGAGGCGGGGGGGGGGGGGGGGGGGGTTCTCGTCGCCAGCTTCTCTTCTTCACGCTCTGGGAAGGCAGACGGCGTATGGCCTGGGGGGGAAAATGCCCCATCTTCCAGCTTCCCGAAGGGGCCCTGAAGTTTCAAGTTTCAGAACTGGACACATAAGCCAGGGTTTAGGCATGAGGGGTTCGGGGTCTAGGGTTTAGGGTTTAGGGTTTAGGGTTTAGGGTTTAGGGTTTAGGGTTTAGGGTTTAGGGTTTAGGGTTTAGGGTTTAGGGTTTAGGGTTGGGGAGGTTTAGGGGGGGTTCTAAGGTCTCCCAGTTGAAGGCTTCAAGGCCCCTGTGTATCCCGACTCAGGCTTCGCCTTTGCCGAAGTTTTCGGCTCCCAGGCGCACCAGAGTAGGCCCTACTTATTCCCCTTTGATTTAGGCCCTTGCAGTTTAGGGTTTAGGGTTTAGGGTTTAGGGTATAGGGTTTAGGGTTTAGGGTTTAGGGTTTAGACACCAAAAAAGGGCACCCTGTTTATTCCCAGGTTACTGTTGGGCGTACCCCCTCTTGTTTCATGGGATCGGTGGTCGGGGATGCTTGCTGAGGAGGTCCCTGGAGAGTTTATTCATGAGTAAGGTTCTAGGGTTTAGGGTTTAGGGTTTAGGGTTTTTGGGTTTAGGATGGTTAACATACTTGGAGGTTCAGGATACTGAGTAACCCAATTGCAACTGCACTTAGAAAAGCATAGCAAGGTTCTACGTGCCCCCTGAAGAAGGCTGGGAGGACAGTTCACATACTCGCAGCTCTACTTACAGGTTTAGGGTTTAGGGTTTAGGGTTTAGGGTTTAGGGTTTAGGGTTTAGGGTAGCTGCCCATGAAACCTCGGAGTCTGAGTGGGAAATATGTTGAAAGGACTCCTGCAGCAGCATCTGGAATCTGGGAAGCCAAGTGTCGGGAAGTCTTGAATTGTTCATTCACACACACACACACACACATTATTTTTTCCAGAATTTTGCCTTCCATAAATATTTGAATAATCTTATTATCAGATTATTTCATAGTTATATTGGTAAGGTATTGTCTGATTATTTCATTTGTATATTCTTACACTTACTGGCTCAAAAAAAACCCAACTTTTCAACTTTTGGGCTTCTTATAAGGTAGTTTATTCTGAAAGTTTCAACGTTTATTTGCTTGGGTTTTGGGCCAGTAAGTACAGTATTTTCTTCTGAGTTGTTGATTTTGGCTCTGACCTTCGAGCCTTGGGAGCCAGGAGCGTGTGGAGGAGCTCCTGGCCGTCCTCGATGGCAGCCTGTTCCTGGGGAGCCCTTGAAGGGTTTAGGGTTTAGGGTTTAGGGTTTAGGGTTTAGGGTTTAGGGTTTAGGGTTTAGGGTTTAGGGTTTAGGGTTCAGGGTTTAGGGTTCAGGGTTTAGGGTTTAGGGTTTAGGGTTTAGGGTTTAGGGTTTTCCTCCGGCTAATGGGGGCATGGGTACAAATTATATATATATATATACACACGCATATGAATGTGGATACAAAGAAGTATATGTATATGTATATAATCAGAGCCTACATGAGTCAGAGTGAGATCAGCTGGCTCTGCACTAGATTGCGACGAGACTCTGAACAAGCATTCCGTGTAGGACAGTCACAGAACAGACCATAGCCTTCTCGCGTGCACCCTGGAAACCCCCCCCAAGCCCGAAGGAAACCCCCTGAGCCCTGATAGCTCTAAACCCCGAACCCCGAACCCCTAAACCCTAAACCTCTAAACCCTTAACCCTGAAACCCTGAACCCTAAACCCCGCGTCCAAGCAACAGGAGGCCACTGTCGGTGAACTGGTCGCTGAAGCGATACGTGGGGTCCTTGGGACCAGACTGCCTCCGCGCGCGCGTAAGCACGCAAGTTTTTTTCGAGTTTTGTGGTTGGGATGGGCGGGGGGGGGAAGGGTAGGGGATCCCTTTTTGGGGCATACCCTAAATACATAGGGGTTGGAATACTTACTCATCGTTTTCCCTTATGGTCCGTTTGTATGTATACGATAATACCCCCCCCCCCCCACCCCCCAAAAAACAAATCCTATTCTAATTATTCAGGCCCCTACATGACCCTAAACCCTGGACCCTAAACCCTTCAAACCCTAAACCCCCAAAGCCCTATTCTAACCATTAAGGCCCTTATAGTATGAGGGCCCGACGTTAATGCCATTCAAAGACCTAGTAGTAGAGTAGGTAACCTTTAACCTTTTTGGGGTAGCATAATCCCCTGATAATCCCAAAGGTTAACCGTTAATTCCCCCAGGTTACTGGACAACTAAGCATTACCCTCAGGGTCCATGTACCCATGTAGTATATACTTGGGCCTTGAAGGGGTACCCATATAGTAGCTTTAGCCCTAAACCCTAAACCCGAAACCCTTAACCCTCAAGTATATACTACATGCGTACATGGACCCTTAGGGTTAGAGGAGGAAGAATCCCAAGTGTTAAGTGAGAATCCCCACAAAAGCTTTGGGGAGGGTCGATCTAGGCTTCCGTTTAGGGTTTAGGGTTTGGGGTTTAGGGTTTAGGGTTTGGGGTTTAGGGTTTAGGGTTTAGGGTTAGCCGTTGTCGGGTTTAGGGTTTAGGGTTTGCCGTTTTCGGGTTTAGGGTTTCAGGCTTGCATGCGGCCAGCTACCTTGAGGAGTCGAGGGCGGGCACAGGGCGCGTCAGCGCAGAGTATTGCTCTAGAATCTGCAGGTTTAGAGTTTAGGGTTTAGGGTTTAGGGTTAGGTTTCCATCTGTATAACTGCTGAACCCACAAAAAGACTCCAGCAAGCAGATGCCCTTCCGCTTTCATGCAACCTCAGCGTAGACCTCAGAATTCTGGCCTATAGGACCCGGAGTAGGCCCTTATTTCCTTTATTTAGGGTTGGGGTCCCCTCATAATCCCCGTAAAACCAAAAAACAAAGAGCACCCTTGATATTCCTAGGTTGTTTTGGTTGGTCCCCCATGTGCTTGCAAGGCCTGTACGAAGGAGATCTGCCCTAAATTGGGCCCACAAATTCAGATCAACCCCATTGTGCATCCACAAAAGGAGGCTCTTGCGTTCATGGTTGCTTAGGGCCGGGTTTAGGGTTTAGGGGTTAGGGATTAGGGTTTAGGTTTAGGGTTTAGGGTTTAGGGTTTAGGGTTTAGGTTTAGGGTTTAGGGATTAGGCTCGCCCAGGAGTATTCTGATCTGCGCCAGCGCCGGCGCCGGCAACGTCTCTTGGCCCACCAATTCCCGGTCGACGCGGTGCCACTAGGCGGACTTCGGGTGTAGGGGGTTCAGGGTTCCTACAATGCCTCGAACATTCAACTACCCCCCTGAACAAAATGAAATCCAAGCCCTAAACCCTATGAAACCTATAAACCTTAAACCCTAAACCGTTACGAACCTCTAAATGCCTTTCTGCACCTAGGGGGCCTTGGGGGGCCAAAGGCCTCCAAAGCAGTGTCCCTCGCAATGTTAATCGGGGCTTCTAGGGTTACAAGGGTTTAAAGGGTTTATAGGGGCAGGTGTTAGGGTGTATACGGTTTGTAGGGTTCATAGGGTTCATGGGCTTTTTAGGGTTTCCAGGGTATACGAAGCTGATGAGGTTTTCTCGTTTACGCCTAAGGCTTGTGGTTGCTTGAAGCAGGGGGAAGGGCGGGCTTTCACCTTACGTTACGGGTCCTTAGTAGGGAGTTGGGGAAGTACCGTATAACAGCCATACAGGGCGGGTTAGGGTTGAGGGTTTAGGGTTTGAGGGTTAGGGCACCGAATTCCCGAATTCCATAACCCTAAAAACCCTCAACCCCAAACCCCAAACCCCAAACCCTAAACCCTAAACCCTAAACCCCAAACCCCAAACCCTAAACCCAAACCAACAGCTAAGAAGCCGCAGGTGTCCTTTCACTCATGCCGGCCGTGGCTGAGCGACTGAAAGATTCTGGCACGGATGCCAAGGCGTGCGACCCTCACCGCGACAAGGGAAGTGTAGGGTTTAGGGTTTAGGGTTCAGGGTTTAGGGTTGAGGCTGTAGGCTTTAGGGTTTAGAGTTTAGGGTTAAGGGTTTAGGGTTTTTTGGTAGGGAATGTTGGGGCATTACATGCTCCCTTGCATAGGCATTTTTTGTGGTCGGGAATCAACGGAGTTAGGGCAAAAACATGATCCCTTACATAGGTATATGTGTGTGTATGCACCCAAACCTGCGCCTAGCCGCCCTTCCCCCGTGGCCTCCCCGTCTCATGGCTTTGTGAGTTAGGGTTTAGGGTTTAGGGTTTAGGGTTGAGAGTGTAGGGTGCAGGAGGGGATTGTGGTGGGGGAAGGGGGGGGGGTGGGGGCGGGGTGGGGTGGATGTGGAGAACGACCCACGTAGAGCAATATAAAGGATGATTCCCTACTAAGTAGCATGACATGCCCTAGTCTGTGCACTACAATATGCTATGCCGGAAATATTACACAAATGCAATGAGAAACTAAACCTTCAACCCTAGACTCCAAACCCCAAACCCTAAACCCTAAACCCTAAACCCTGTCAATACTGTCATACACAGGTGGCTTTTGTTCCCAGAGTCGCCAACAATCGCTTTTTGCCCGGAAGGCACATGCAGAGGCACAGCGCACCAGGCGGGGGGGTTCCTAGGGTTTAGGGTTTAGGGTTTAGGGTTTAGGGTTTAGGGTTTAGGGTTTAGGGTTGATTCTTACAAGTCCCTACATTATGCGTATAGACACTTATCGTCGCACGTACAAGTGCCCCCCATGAACTTTGCGATAGGGCAAGTTGTCAAATCCCCTTGCAAAGCTTGCGAGTGGCTATATAGCGTACTTGTAACGGCCCGAGGGTAGTATATGTATGCATGTATATATGTATTTCTTTATGGGTATTTCTTTCCCGTTTTGGGGCCGCGTTGCAGCAAGGAACCCAAAAGGGACCGCTTTTAGGGAAGTCACCATATATAGGGCTATATCAGGTATGTAGCTACGTGCTGTTTCGTCAAAGTAGGGCTACCCTAAGCCCCAAACCAGGGACCCATAAGGGACCTTTGGGGGTTTTTTTGGGAGTTATTCGGGGCCACTTAGGTAGACAGGGACTATATGAGGTACATACAGGGGTTATAAGGGTTTAGGGTTTAGGGTTTAGGGTTCAGGGGAATACGATTACGGGTCCCTTCTAGGGGTCCCTCCTTCTACCCCAGAACCCTGACAGGGCTTCTGCAAGGCATGCCATGTCCTAGATGCCACTCCAAGAGCTCCGCTTTTGGCAGTGTTTAGCGTTTAGGGTATAGGGTTTAGGCTTTAGGGTTTAGGGTTTAGGGTTTAGGGTTTAGGGTTGAGGGTACTGTCAATCACTGGCAGCGCAGGGGTCGCGGTCGCGACGGCGTTGCAGTCAACGAGCTCTGATGGCGCACGATGCCAATTTATTTAATCTCTTGCCCGGGAGAGCAGAAGCACTCGGCCACTTCACCCTCAAGAAGATTTCAGGCCACCCCCTAAAACCCAAAAACCCAGAGACCCTGAAACCCTACAACCCTACACTTTGGCATAGTGGGGTCGCATGTTGTGCATTTTTAGGGTATTTAAATTCAAGAAGGAATGGACATTTATATGTCTAATACTATCCCAACCATGAACTAGTACATGCTGAATCCCGAAACCTCCTTGATTCCCGAGATCGCCCCTTCCGGGGTTTAGGGTTTAGCAGGTTAGGTTTTAGGGTTTAAGGGAACTGTCCGAGGATCTCTTTTAAAATCTCGGTAGTTGGGGTAAAGACATGAGTTTTCCAGGTGTGACCTTGGGATACTTGCATTATGTTGCCTTGCCGGGTTTAAGAGGGTTTTATTTCGGAGTACTGGAGGGGTTGGAAGGGCTTAGGTTGATAAGCATGACGAAGCTCTGTTTAACCCTAAGCCCTAAACCCTAAGCCCTAAACCCTAAACCCTAAACCCTAAACCCTAAAACCATCCGGAGCAGATGAGGGCGGCTCTCTCCCGGCAAATATCTCAAAGTGCGCCTACGGGATGATATTGTGAGTCCGCGGGGAGGCAGTGGATGCACAATAACCGTACACCCTAAACCCTAAACCCTAAACCTGGAGGTCCCAAAACACCTGCTTGTTTGTAGGTTCTTGCTTACCACCCCTTTTGCAAGTTGTCCCCCCAAACCCTACACAGACTTCTCGGGTTTTCAGGGAACCTGCCAGAAGGGTTTAGGGTTTAGGGTTTAGGGTTTAGGGTTTAGGGTTTTTTGGGCATTTGGAGGTGGTATTGCTGGTCGTGCATGGTTTAGGGTTGATTGAGCCCTGGGCTCTCGTTTAGGGTTTAGGGTTTAGGGTTTAGGGTTTAGGGTTTAGGGTTTAGGGTTTAGGGTTTAGGGTTTAGGGTTTAGGGTTTAGGGTTTAGGGTTTGGGGCAATTTAGTTCCGATGTAGCCTAAGTACCAACACCCTCAGAATCTCCGTATGGCTTGAGAGCTTCCCAAAATAATGTTCAGTACTACTTCAAACAGCTCCCCTACATAAATTCCCACAGCATGTGGGACCGAGATCGTGGATGAACCAAGTTGAACTGACCAAGTAGCCGGAAACCCTAAACCCTAAACCCTAAACCCTAAACCCTAAACCCTCAACCCTCAACCCTAAACCCTAAACCATAGCTTTTCGGTGTGAAGTTCAGGGGGCCAAGAATGTCTCAGGCCAAGCACCATCAGCAAAAGGGCACTGTTCGCCGGTTCACGGGTAGTTATGAGTGGGGGAATAAACATCCGCTTAAGAAGGTTGGAGGTATAGTTACCCCTAAACCCTAAACCCTTGAACCACCAAAGTGAAGACCCTACAAACCCGATATCCAGTGGCCAGAGAGCTTCCCTTAAAACAGGATCCGTGGTGGACTCACAATGACTGTGGACGGCTTGATGCAAGCTCGGGGTGGGGGATGTGGGTGATTTTCTACACTTAGGGTGGTTTAGGGTTTAGGGTTTACGTAGGGTTTAGGGTTTAGGGTTCAGGGTTTAGGGTTTAGGGTTTAGGGTTAGGAGCTGTTGTTTGTTTGTTTGGAGGGGTGGCCGGGAGGGGGCATTCCTAAATCAGTTTTCTAGTATGTTGGAGTATACCAGAGGATCCCTTTCTGGGGAGATACCGGAGAGGCCTCTGTGACTGCAAAGCATGAGCACATCCTGGCAAAGCTGGACATTTGGGAGGGCTGAAAAGGCGCTTAGTCGAAAATCGCGCCGCTGCCCCAAAGCCAGATGGCCTGAAATCCCTTCTTAGGGTTTAGGGTTTAGGGTTTAGGGTTTAGGGTTTAGGGTTTAGGGTTTAGGGTTTAGGGTTTAGGGTTTAGGGTTTAGGGGAGTCTGGCCCGTTGCGCATCAAGTCCGGAATTCGTGCAAGTGTGGCAGGCGCAGTGGGAGGCTGCCTTCTGGTCAGCTCTTGTCTACAGTCTACCCGTAATATTATAGGGGCGTTAATATTTAGAATAGGGTTTTGGGGGTTGTTGCATTATGTTTATAAAGGGACCATAAGGGAGTAATATTATAGGGGCGTTAATGATTAGAATAGGGTTTTGGGGGTTATCATAGCAAATTTATCAAGGGACCATAAGGGAGTAATATGAGGAATCGTTCCGACCCCTATTGTAGGTTGGCTTCGGGGATTCTTGGGTCTCGTGCATGAGCTCAGCACTTTCCACATAAAAACCTGCAAGCCCTGTTACCCGGAAACCCTAAAACCTAAGTCCTAAACCCTAACCTGAAAAACCTACTTCTTGTAAGCCCAAAGCCCAAAATGTTTAGGGGGCTTCCGGAAATGCGGCACAGATATTCACAAAGTGGAGCCAGCTGAGCCCTAAACCTTCTAAGCCCCTAAATTAGGGTTTAGGGTTTTATTTTGATGATTGAAATTTCACTGTTCCAAAAATCGTACCCGGGGTGGGTTCCGCTTCATCCAATTTACGCCCTCTTCCTTGTCTGTTGCTGCAAGCTGCTTACGGCATTCTCTGTCGCCAGCCCTCGGGGAAGCGCGACGAGGGGAGCGCGAAGACCCAGCATGAGCAGACTACATTGCTGGTAATTATGTGGCAGGAGTCATAGGAGTATAACCTAAAACCTAAACCATAAACCCCAGAGGTAGTCCCTTTGGATTTGTATTGTCCCTTCTTGAGTTTTAGAGGCTCATGTCCACTATTCAGACGGTTTTAAAGTGCCATCCCAGGACAGGGGTCAGAGGTTTTCTCAAAATGCCGCACCCTAAACCCGAAACCCTATACCCGAAACCCTAAACCCTAAACCCTAAACCCCAAACCCCAAACCCTAAACCCTAAGCCCAAAAACCCTCCGAAGGCGCTCTCTTGCGGCCGAATCCAGACTTTGGCGTTTTCCATTCCTGGGCTTAGGAGGATTTTGGGTTTAGGGTTTAGGATTTAGGGTTTAGGATTTATACAGGGTTTCGGGTTTCCTTGGGGACCAATTGAACCCAAAAAGGGTTTATGGTTCATATGCCTAATAGGGATTATCCCAGTTTTAAGGTTCATTTGGTCCTGAAGGTTTAGGATTCATATAATTCGGAGAATTTAGGATTTAGGATTTAGGAATATAGGGCTTAGGGAATCATATGGAACTTGTGCAGAGGGCTGCTAGGGCGGCGTGGCTTTTTGGGGGTAGGTGAATGCCTTCAACAATTAGGGTTTAGGGCTGAGGGATATTTCATAGTTTCAGTTGGCTCTTTTGAAGGATCGCATGTGCCAATGTTTTTGAGAGGGCTTGGTGGGTCAACCGGACTTATAGGACCCTCTGCTCCTCAACTGGGCCTTTGCCGGAAGAGCGCAAAATTCGACGGCGCTCGCGCCAAGTTCTTCAAGAAGACGTGCAAGGTTCTGGAGGCGTAGGCTGTAGAGTTCTGCCTTCGTATGGGCGCCCAGGGCACAGGGGAGCTGTATGAGTCCAGCGAGTATTCGGGGTCGCCTCCGGCAGCCTTTTTAACACAGCTTGACCACGACAGAAGCGGCAACAGTTTCAAAAAGGGGTCGGAATACTCCCTTATGGTCCCTTTGCAATTATACAATCATCACCCCCCTTGAAACCCTACCTTTAATTACTCAGGCCTCTATAGTAGGCAGCTTAGGGGAGGAATCGGGGACATGACAGGGCTAGTAGTATGCTGCTACAATTCACGGCAGCCGTAGCTTCAGGAGTAGCAACAGGAATGCTAGCGCGACTGGCGCGGTCAAGTGCAGCTGAAGAGAAGCTGCACGAAGCCAGGAGGCCAGGACGGGGTCGGAAAAAGCACTTGCCTAAACCCTAAACCCTAAACCCTAAACCCTAAACCCTAGGGGAGTTGGGGCCCCAAAGCTAGGAGGCCCTAGGAGGCCCTAATCCCCTTGAAATCCCGAGTTCCCTCAAGCCTGCCAAAAGAAAGCCCCCCCCCCCCCCCAAAAGCCCTCAAGCCTGGAAAGTGTGAGACTGAGAACAAGGTTTCTGGTTTCTTGGGCTTCGGCTACACGATCGCGCAATGCATCGGCAGCTCACCGCATCCTGAGACAATGCAAGAACACTTTGTGGCTTCGAAGCGTCCAGCAGTTCTGAATGAGAGCCGGTGGCTTCAGGGCGATACTCGTACATATCTATATCGACACGAATATGAATATATACGTATATACATATATATATATATATGTATAACCAGTCGTTGTTGTTAATTCTTATGCGTATGTCATACATAGTTTTGAATCACGCGGTTCCTCCTGAACCCTGAAAGCCCTTGGATCCCTGCCCTGAAAGACTCTAACCTCTCGTGGTCTTTCTTCCCTCCCCTAAGGGTTGAGGGGTTGAGGGGTTTAGGGTTTAGGGTCCAGGGTTTAGGGTTTGGGAGTCTTTGGTGTTTGGCCCGTGGAGTAGAGTTCATTGGCTTGAACCTATACGGCTCGGATCCTGCAGCCGTCCAGCTCACATGCTGCATGCGTCCATGATCGGATACAATTAGGGTTTAGGGTTCAGGTTTGTTTGGGGTTTGGGGTTTTGGGTGCAGAACGTAGGAGGCACTGGGAGCCGACGGTGGGAAACCCGCGAGCCCTTTAAACCCGGAGCCGCCCTGCTGTGGGGACCGTCAACCCGAAAGTTGTTCCCCGCAAGCTCTAAAACCCAAGCAAGCAAGCAAGCAAGCAGGCAGGCAGGCAGGCAGGCAAGCAACTTCGCGAGACCAATTTAGGGTCTGGGGTTTAGATTTTATAGAGTTTAGGGTAGAGGAGTTAGAGGAGTGTGAACATGTAGCAATACCATCCAATATGAGAACCCTGCGTAGGTAGGAAGGAATAGGCCCCGATATTGGCGGCGACTGGAGTCCCTCAGCCGGCGCTGCAGACTCAATCGATTCGGTGTGCGGGTTTGCGGTTTTCAGTTTTGGGCTTTGGATACTTGCAACGATATAATGTTCAGGGCACATGCACTACGTACTTGCAGGATGAAAAGGGCGCAGTGCGTGTCTTCAAACTATCCCATTTTCCAGTCCTGCACCGTTACCGATGAAGCAGGCGTCTGGGGGTGCAGAGCATGAGAACTGCAACTACTTGATATGGGCGGGACCCTATATTTCGGAAACATTTCACCGCGTGTTGTCGACTGACCCAGGCTTAGTGTCTCGGTGTTGCCATGGGCTCATTGGCTCATTGCCCAATGAATGAACTCTCTGCTTTGTACGTGCGCCGGGTTTTGGATCGTTTCCGAACATCCAAAATGCTCCGGAAAGTAATGTTTTCAGGGTTTGGGGTGTCGACATAGGGTTTTGGGTGTCGACACCAACAATCGAAGGTCTCAGGCAAACCTGCAGCAAGCCTGAAAGCGGGAATTCCCAACAGTTCGGGCCCGCCTCGGAAACCCCCATGGTACACTTTCTACTTGTTCTGGACTGTACTGGTATTCGCTGTCGCGTAAAGGGGCTCGAGATTTGCACTTGTGGTGCGGAGCCCCGGGGAGATCTAAGCTTACTTGGGGACCAAATGAACCCTGCGAGGGTTTAGGGTTTAGGGTTTAGGGTTTAGGGTTTAGGGTTTAGGGTTTAGGGTATGCTTTATTTATTGGGGATGAGAGTAGTACAGGGTATATTAAACCCTAAACCCTAAACCCTAAACCCTAAACCCTAAACCCTAAACCCTAAACCCTAAACCCTAAACCCTAAACCCTAAACCCTAAACCCTAATTATATGATCCAAATGTTAGTTCATTCGGTCCTCGAGGTTCAGGGTTGTCAATGAATGCAGCGGCCAGAAGAGGCTAGGAGAGCTAGTTTACGGCTCCAAAGCTCATGTCCAGGGTTTAGGGTTTAGGGTTTCAGGTTTAGGGTTTAGGGTTTAGGGTTTAGGGTTTAGGGTTTAGGGTTTAGGGCTCCAAAGCTCCTGTCTCCCCACACCTTGAGCCATTCGAAACTCCGAGGCCATGCCTCTGCAAGCGGGCCTGTCCGTGGCCTTAGGCGGAATTCCGAAACCCTAAACCTTAAACCCTAAACCCTAAACCCTAAACCCTAACCCTAAACCCTAAACCCTAAACCCTAAACCCTAAACCCTAAACCCTAAACCCTAAACCCTAAACCCTAAACCCTAAACCCTAAACCCTAACATAGGAGTCGGAAGAATTACGAATAGGATTCCCTTCTGGTCCCTATATTCATAACCCCCCAAAGCCCTTTATAGGCCGCTATCTTAAACACTGCGTTCCCACCCTAAGGGGTCGGAAGAATTACGACTAGTATCCCCTTATGGTCCCTATATACATATACTCCAACAACCCCCGATTCCCTGTTCTAGTTTTTGGGCCCCTATGTTAAGCGCTGCGTTCCCGAAGGTCCCTTTGAAGGGGATTCTATTCCATTTTAGGGTCTAAAGGGGGTACCTCTATTTGGGAAATACCCACCTAAACCCCCCAACCCCCCAACCCTAAACCCTAAAACCATCAACCCTCACCAAAGCCGAACCCGAACCCTCAACACAGACCATGGGTCACAGGCGGGGAGACAGGGTTTAGGGTTTAGGGTTTAGGGTTTAGGGTTTAGGGTTGTTTAGGGTCGGGCCCCTGAGGGTTTTGGAGAGAAGGCCTCGGTTGGGCCTGCAAGTGGGATGAAAGGATCCGGGGCGCAGTAGACTTCTACATCACACCCGTAGCTCTTGGATGATGGCATCAGGATGTACTGTCACGTGCTGCTGTTGTTGCCCATGTGCATGTACACAAGAATGGTTGCAGCAGGAGCAGCACATGTCCAGGTAATCACGGATCTGGAGCAACATTTGGCTCAGAGCCTCAGAGCCTCCTATAGCGCCCCAGTAGTCTGAGACTGTCAGAGACACCTGTCCAGTCATGGGCACCTTGTCTTTCAATTGCTGAGTTCTGGTCTCGGGAAGTTGCCGAAGCCCTAAACCCTGACGCTCGAGTTTAGCCGGGATGTGCGACTGAATATTGGCGAACGTCACACAGCCTGCATCTCCACGGGCACATATCTGAGGCAAGTCCTTGAACCCTGCGTCTTCAGAGGGATTTTAGGGTTTAGGGTTTAGGGTTTAGGGTTTAGGGTTTAGGGTTTAGGGTTTAGGGTTTAGGGTTTAGGGTTAGGGTTTAGGGTTTAGGGTTTAGGGTTTAGGGGGGATTTTTGTTAAGTGCCTAGGTAGGCCCTCGGGACCTTTCAGATCTTCCCTTCTTGGGTTGAAGAGGATCATATTCAGGAATACTTGAGAATGCTGTTTTTAGGGGGTTGTTAGGGGGCCATCCTAGGTTCCTAAACCCCTAAACCCCTAAACCCTAAACCCTAAACCCCAAACCCCAAACCCTAAACCCTAAACCCTAAACTCAGCCAGGAAACCTGCCGCCCGCCTCGCCCGACGAGATTGTCGTCACGGCGCGGAAGCGGTGCTGCGCCCCACCCGCCTACGAGGCGCTGGGAACCAGGAGGAATCGTAAGCCCAAAAATCCTGCAACCCTACAAACCCACACGCCCTCTTGCCCTGGGGTGGGGGTTTAGGGTTTCGAGTGGTTTCGGATTTAGGGTTTAGGGTTTAGGATTTAGGGTTTAGGGTTTCTAGGGGGTTGTGTTGGGCGGGGCGCGCGACGGGGGGCTGTGCAGGTGCCAGACGCGCTGACGAAGTGCCCCGGCTGGTGAGCTCCCGTAGCCCTATGTTCAAGCAGCCCTCTTAGTTAGGGATTCTTGGGAATAATTTTTCTTTTTTGGGTACAGTAATTCCTGAAAAACAGCAGAGAATGAACACATTTTGCTAGGTTCAGGATAGCTAACATGGCAGTATAAACACGATTAAAAACCCCGTGTATGCGCTGCAAACTTATCAACCCCCATAACCGCAAACGCTGATTTGACCCAGGAGAGATATGTGAGTTTGCAACTTCCCTTTCCCAAAAAGCAGCTCACACAAAAGCGGAGTGGATCAAGCTGCAAATTGGGTCCAGAAGCCAAGACATGTCTATGAGGACTATATGGGCCACAGCAGCTGCAGCCCAAATACTTACCTTAGTAGCTGAGTAGGTACCTCTAACCTTTTGGGGTGTGTATATATATATATAATCCTACCCTATATAATTGAAAGGTTCACCTTTTTTTTGGGCCCACGGTGCTCAAGTGACATACATGCTCAAGGCCTCTTTCGACCGAAGGCTTACAGCGACAATGCAGGAAGGCAAGCAGCGCCCAGCGCGGCAAGTACAGCAGAATGCACTTCAACAGAACCCTGAGAACCCGAAACCCTAAACCCGAAACCCTAAACCCTGAACCCTAAACCCAAAAGGGGGCGGGGGTGGGGGGGGGGTTAGGGTTCAGGGTTCAGGGTTGGGCGTTGCTTGTGAAGCACTTGTTGAGAGGTGTACATCTGAAGGTTCCGAGTTCCGACGCCAGCACCATGATGGATTCAGCAGATCAGGGTTGTTTTGGGGCAGAGAGAGAGGGTCCTAAGGTCAGGTTCCTCATGATGATGGTGGTCAGCTTGCGCGCGGAAGTGAGGGCACTTCTTTGTGCGCTTTTTTGAGGACCTCCCACGGCGCCGTTCTCTTCCCCCATCTCGCCATCAGCTTAGGCATATGTCGGAGGACGAAATTGCCCAGATGACCAAGCAGCTGCGATGGATAGAGTGCCTGGCCTCTGCTAGCCCAGTTGCTAGACATGATCTCCCAGGATGTCTCTGAAAACTTCTCCAAAGCCCTACACAAAAACCACCCGAAAACCCGAAAGTCATGACTCGTCTGACTCTTTGACCTACTGTAGCCGTGGCTGATATTGATTCTGAGTTGTTTAAGGGTTCCACGGGCCCTGAGCACATCGCCCGACATAACCATATGACCCCATAGAAAAAGCTAGGGTTTAGCCCAGACCCTAAGCCCCAAAGCTCGGGGCCCAACCTTGGCTTATCAAGTCCCAGTTGGGATTCTATACCAACAGTCCTGAACAGGGATCGTAATATGGGGCATTATAATCCCCATCAAGGACTGCTAGTATAAGTGGGAACATCCCCCAAAGTCCCAGCTTCGTGTGGGCCCCCAAAATCCCGGGCATAGTGTCCGGCACGGCGAAGCTCATGCTGGGGACTTTTGGGGATTTAGGGTTGAGGGTTTAGGGTTTCGGGTCCAAAGGACCGAGAGGGCCCTAAAACCAAAAGACTTTTTCGCAATTTCTCAACCGCGAAACTCAGAAGCCCTGCAGCCCGGAGATTCCCTAACTCCCGAAGCCTTCCTAAACCCTGCGCACGAAACCCCTGGATCCCCAACGAATACGTTGAGGTGCACCGGCGCCTTGTGCGCCGTCTTCTTCGCAGTCTTCTGGGTGTCCCTTGCGGCCGTGATCTTCTTTCTTACAGAGGCCCCTCGGGAATCGAATTCAGTCCGGAATCCCTAGCTTAGAAGTCCGGCCCAAAGTCCCGCACAGAAACGTATCCTGGACCTCTCTGCTTCAAGTGATAAACTCGGCGGCGGAATCTGCTTCGGTGTTGAAACACTTGAAACACTTCGTGCAGAAATGTCCCCTGAGACAGTTGAGAACACTTGCAACAGACATGCTCCATGTAAATACCAAGAAGCCATACGGGCCATGACGTAGACCTTAATAACGTCCCTCGTAAGCAAACCCTGTAGACCCTACATACACAGAACACTCACCTAAGCCCTGTAAGTCCTAAACCCCCAATCTAGGGTCTTGCGATTGCTTCAGGGATGACTGGGGGTTGGGAGGCATCCGACGTCTTCTGGGTGGAACTCGTGTGTGTTGGACGTTTCGGGAGTCTTATGGCTTGGATCAGAGGCCCATGTGCCGCCTTTGCCCTTTGCCGTGCATGGGGTTACATGGCAATGGGTTGTTCATTTGGGGCTCCAGTTTCTTTTGTTTTTTCGGGTGGGAGGGGGGGAGGGGCGGGGAGGGTTTGCTGTGGGTGAGGAGGGGTGGGGGGGCGGGGGGAGTGGGAGGGCAGAAGGGGGCGGATTGCGGTTTGTAGGCTGCATCCGGGTTTGCTCAGCAGATTGGCAGTAAGCAGCTTGTTCTTGGGTGCTTTAGAGAGGCCAAGGCATCATGGAGAATTGCATCCCTTGGGGACCAAATGAACCCTAAAAGGGTTTATGATTCACATGCCTCAATAGGGATTAGAGTAGTACAGGGTGTGTGATCCCAGGTTCATTTGGTCCCGAAGGTCCCACAAGTGTCGCAGACAATCACACCAGGATTCCCACTACTGGAACCTCGCCCATGGCGGGTGGGGAGCGTTTGGCGTGGGACCCGCTGCTCTTCGGATGCAGTTCTCTTCGGCTCATGGACCTGCTCTTGTTCATGGGTTTTGTGGGCTTGGGGATGAACAAAAGGTTGAACAGTGGCCTTGAGTAAGGTGGGGTGATACCCGCGAAATGAGGTGGGACATAGACGCCTCGCAAAGCAGTGAGACATGTTGTTTCGCTTGGTCGGTTGACTTCTCTCGTTCACAGGATCCCTTGAAGGAGCTGCTTCTAGTGAGGGTTGCAGGTTTAGGGTTAGGGTTTAGGGTGTTCGGGTTTCGGGGAGAGAGGGTTTAGGGTCTGGGGTTTAGGGTTTAATCATCTGAGCCCCGAAGTAAATCACCCAACATTGGATAATCCTTACAATGCCCGTGGTCCGATTCCAAGAGGAGGACTTGGAGGGTCACATGAAAGTCGCATCGAGAACTACCAATGTGGCATCATCCGTTTGTTCTTATGGTACATCTTCATATTCCTGGTTGTCTCATTAGCTACCAACCCATTAAACATGAAATGCCCAACTTCTGGAGAGTTGAGGGTGTAGCTAGGGCTTAGGGTAACCCTACGTGCTCCCTAAACCCTGAACCCTGCACCCTAAACCCTAAACCCTAAACCCTAAACCCTAAACCCTAAACCCTAAACCCTAAACCCTAAACCCTAAACCCTAAACCCTAAACCCTAAACCCTAAACCCTAGACTTGGGCAGGTCAAGAACGCTTACTTGAGAAGCTGGATGGTACGGTTCTCTGTCGCGAAGATGTCCGTGAGGCAAGTTCGCAGCCTGGGCGGCACTCAAGCTCATCGTCAGTCCTCAAAATTATGGTGCTTCTTGTTGTTCCTTAAACCCTAAACCCTAATCCCTAAACCCTAAACCCTAAACCCTAAACCCACAGAGACTTCCATTTGGCCAACACAGGGATCTGAGGGAGCTGCCCATGTGGGGATTTCTGGAGGGTGAACGTCCCCAAGCCTTACTGAAGATGGTAGTGCATCAGGGTTTAGGGTTCAGGGTTTAGGGTTTAGGTTCAGGGTTTAGGGTTCAGGGTTTAGGGTTTAGGGTTTAGGGTCCCAAGGCTCCGGAAATTCCAAAAGCCTTCCAAAGCAGGTCCAAAACCAAATCCCCAAAAGCCTCACTGGGGGTCCCGAATGCTTTAGGCGTTCTACGCAAGAAGAGTTGGACACCTACCAGGGGTTCCCAAAGTTCGAGCCGCCAAGAGACTGGCGGTCCTAGGGCCTCGGAGCGGGAGGGGTGTGCGTCACAAAGGTGTGAGGGTTTAGGGTTTAGGGTTTAGGGTTTAGGGTTTAGGGTTTAGGGTTTAGGGTTTAGGGTTTAGGGTTTAGGGTTTAGGGTTTAGGGTTTAGGGGGAAGACTTGGGTTTATTATTTGGGGGGGAAAAGGAAAACAAAGGAAGACAAACACATTTTGGTCTGCTTGTTCTAGATGCCTCTCGGAAGCCAAGGCGAATGTAGAGAACTACCCTCATGTTTCTCCTTATTGGATGCAGGTAGGATCCTGTTTAGGAATATTTGTCGGAGAGCTTAGGTAGTTAAGGTGCATGCTGTGGAGGTTGGACCTGAGCCAAGTACCGAGTTGCTGGGAAGAAGATACATACAAAACCCACCCTCAAAAATTCGTCATGCCTTTACTTACTCATAGTTGGGTACCATTTTACATTTTTAAGGGTACTTAACCCCAATAAGGAATAAAATTATCAATTTTTATTATTATACCAACAATGAACTAGTTTAAGGGCTACTTGTAGGTCGCCGGGCCCAGGCTGTAGTCTGAAGAGCCTTCGGCGAGCTAAATCTTGTTGGGTTTGTTTTTGGGTTCCCGTTTTGAGGTTTAAAGGGAACACCGCACGTGCCCATAAACCCGAAACCCTAAACCCTAAACCCTAAACCCCAAGCCTCAAGCCCCAAGCCCTAAACCCTAAACCCTAAACCGCGCCCCAGGTGGAAGGAAGTGTGGCGAGGAGGCTCGAGATGTTCTGCGTGCTTAGGGATGTAAATCATTGCCAGATTCTCCCCCTGTAACCCCGAAAGATTGGGATGTTCCCCCTATAGGAACAGTCCTTAGTAGGGGTTATAGTACCCCCTCTTATGATCCCTATGAAGGACTGTTAGTATAAGGGGGAACAAGCCAACATATAGACGTGTCAGAAAGACTCGCCACTTAATGTAGAGACCCTGGTTTAGGGTTTAGGGTTTAGGGTTTAGGGTTTGGGGTTTAGGGTTTCTTCAAACTCTCGAGGTTGCTGCGCGTCCCGCTTCGGTTGTTGGCACTCCCGTGATCTAAGCAGCATTTCCCACAAAAACAACCTGAACCCAGCCCGAACCCTAAACTACCCACTTCTACCCTGGCCCTACGTACTATCCAAAACCACCCCAAGCCCAAAGCAGAGCGTGAGCCTGAAAGCCCTTCCCTGGGTTGTGCACTTAGCTTTCCAGTGTCGGGCTTTCCAAGCTCCAAACTCGGATATGCAGAGAATCTGCATAGCCAACAGTTTGCCTGCCCTAAACCCTAAACCCTAAACCCTAAACCCTAAACCCTAAACCCTAAACCCTAAACCCTAAACCCTAAACCCTAAGGCTGACGGCCCTAAACACTCTAGGGCCCCCAAAACCCTTTTACAAGCAAAGCGAGCAAAACCCATTATTGGGGTTGGAATACTCATAGTCTTCCCTTTATGACCCCCTTTTGTAATGATACCAGAACCACACTATTGAGGCCCCTATGGTAGCCCTAAACCCGAAACCCTAAACCCCAAACCCCAAACCCTAAACCCTAAACCCTAAACCCTAAACCCTAAACCCTAAACCCTAAACCCTAAACCCTAAACCCTAAACCCTAAACCCTAAACCTAAACCCTAAACCCTAAACCCCATAAACCCTAAACCCTAAACCCTAAACCCTATTCTAATCTGCAAGGCCCCTATATTACGCAGGCTCTGGCCTTCCACCCTCCACAGAAGGCGGGCGCCGAAGCGTGAGTTGCCCCGTACACGACAAAGACCGACGACTCCACTTCGCGTCAAGGGTTTAGGGTTTAGGGTTTAGGGTTTAGGGTTTAGGGTTTAGGGTTTAGGGTTTAGGGTTCAGGGTTCAGGGTTTAGGGTTTAGGGTTTAAACCCAACGGACGTTTAAGAAGCACTGTGTTCGGCATGGTTCCACGACACCACATATCTTGCAAGGAAGTGCCTGCAGGACGACGGCCTGCCTCAACTACTAATTGTTCTTCCTTATTAAGGGAAATATATGGATTGTTTTTTTAAAGTCCTTTTGGGGTTTCTTGAGCAAATAGTAGTCAACGGCAAGCTTTTGATAAGGTCGCTCAGTGCGAGCTCGTCGTGTCTCGGCTGTTTGTTTTGCTTCCCCGGCACCCTGAGAGAGGCAGGACGCGCCCGACACCTGCGACCTACGTTGCCGCAGCTGTCCTATAAATGTCCTGGGGGGGTTGTACAGAGGGGGGGTTGTAAAGTCCCTGAGCACAAAGCTAGAGTCGCGGACGCGTGGAGGAGACAAAGAAGAGCCGAGCTTCCTATAGCCTACGAGCCCCTTGGGACTTATTTCTTATTTCATTTATACTTTTTTCACTTTATATAAAGCCAAAGAGAATAGAACACATGTAATTTTCATGAAGGTTTCTAAGGGTTAGCTTCGGGTGGCACCGTTTACGACAGATTCGCCATCTCGACTGTTCTTGCCGAAAAAAATGAGGCTTACATGCTTTTCCTTTCGCCGAATACAAGGTGCGTTGTAGGAAGACCTGTGATCCAAAAACCCCACAGGTGCGCAGCCCTAAACCCTAAACCCTAAACCCTAAACCCTAAACCCTAAACCCTAAACCCTCGCTGCAAAGACCGTCCTCTTTTGCAGGCTGAAGCGCTTCCCTTTTGAGACCCCGAGTCGGATGTGCGCTCTGGAATCTCTTGGGGACCTTTAAGGTACCGGATCCTTGAGACCCCTAAGGAAAATGCTGAATTTATGATATTAGTAAGGTTAATAAATTAGCAGTATTAAGAATATTATCAATGATATTAGAAGTGTTAAGTATTAGACCTTCAAACCCCTAGATTCTGGCAGTGAGTTTAGATTCAGATCCTCCTTATGGTGGCCGGCCCAAAGCTTAAACTCTGAACAACCACGGAATTTCGCTGAACCGGGGCCGAAGCCCCACGGGCCAAAGCCACATGGCCAGCTCTCTAGTGGTCCCTTTTTGGGGTACCCGACATCGCAGGGGCCGAAGTGTAGTCAGGACCCCAATTTAGGGTTTAGGGTTTAGGGTTTAGGGTTTAGGGTTTAGGGTTTAGGGTTTAGGGTTTACCAAGAAGGACCATATTTTCGAGAGACGACCACACGAGCAGCAGGCCTGGCGGCCATACTACAGCAGTGCCACGTTGCCGACGCACCGCTCTCAGAAACAGTCGCCTTAGGGATTCTTGGGAAGATTTTTCCTTTTTAGGGACGGTCATTTCTAAGAAACAGCTAACATTGCAATTTTCGCCTAGGGTTCCAAAAAAGAAAACCGTCGTGGGAATTTGGCGAAGACAGTAGCTCGGTGGCATTTTGGGAGACCCTAAACCCTAAACCCTAAACCCTATCTCTCTGGAGCCTGAATCTTGTAATATAGGCGTCGGGAATAGTTGCTAAGAGTATTCCCTTATGGCCCCTTTGTAGCTTTCTATAGCAACCCCCAACACCAATTTTTTCTTATTAAGGCCCCCATAGCAGCCCTAAACCCTAAACCCTGAACCCTATATCCGACTACGGCCAATTGAAAGCGCGCCCAAAGCCACCGGCGGAGTTGATCCCGACACAAAAGAGAGCAACTCTAAACCCAAAACCCTAAAATGCCACACCCCAAGCCCGGAAACTATAATACCCTGAACCCCTGAAACCCCTAAACCCCTAAACCCCCAAACCCTAAACCCTAAACCCCAAACCCTAAACCCTAAACCCTAAACCCTAAACCCTAAACCCTAAACCCTAAACCCCAAACCCTAAACCCTAAACCCTAAACCCTAAACCCCAAACCCCACGCATAGGCCATGTGAACTGGGCCCAGGCTTGGGGTGAGGCCGGCCATGAGCGGCTCAATGAGGTGGGGCCTCGTTCAGGTTTAGGGTTTAGGGTTTAGGGTTTAGGGTTTAGGGTTTGGGGTTTGGGGTTTGGGGTTTGGGGTTTGGGGTTTGGGGTTTGGGGTTTGGGGTTTTAGGGTTTAGGGGTTTAGGGTTTAGGGTTTTGGGGTGTTGGGTTTAGGGTTTCTGGGTTTAGGGTCTAGGGTTTAGGCTTTTAGGGTTTTAGGGTTTTGGGTTTTGGGGTTTTAGGGTTTTAGGGTTTAGGGTTGTAGGGCTTTAGGGTTTAGGGTTTTAGGGTTTTAGGGTTTTAGGGTTTTAGGGTTTTAGGGTTTTGGGGTTTTGGGGTTTTAGGGGTTTAGGGTTTTAGGGTTTTTCGGTTTTTCGTTTTTTCGGTTTTTTGGGTTTTTGGGTTTTTGGGTTTTTGGGTTTTTGGGTTTTTGGGTTTTCGGGTTTTTGGGTTTTGGGTTTTAGGGTTTTAGGGGTTTAGGCTTTAGGGCTTTAGGGCTTTAGGGCTTTAGGGCTTTAGGGCTTTAGGGCTTTAGGGCTTTAGGGCTTTAGGGCTTTAGGGCTTTAGGGCTTTAGGGCTTTAGGGCTTTAGGGTTCAGGTTTCAGGGTTCAGGGTTTTAGGGTTTCAGGGTTCAGGATTCTGGGGTTTCAGGGTTTCAGGAATTTAGGGTCCTTGAAAATTTACATGGGTAGTTGTAAACCCTGAACCCAAAGCCCTAAGCCACCTCCAGCAGAAGCCATTGAGTCTCCACTCTTACAACTACAGTACCTACAGTAGATAGGGCTAGGATTAGGGGGACCCTTGAAGATATAGACCCTCCGAATAAGGTCCCTGTTTAAGAGAGCCAGAAGAGGGTTAAGAATGGTTCCCTTTTGAGGGCCCCCCTGATCCTACCTAGGAGTAGTTGAAGGCCCCCTACCGATGAGGTATGCTTTCCACTATGCAACTCACTTTAAAGATCGGCATCGTTCTCGAATTTGCGGAAAAGATGCCGAAGATCTGCGTCCAAAACGCGTTGTCCGATTTCTTGCAACTACTTCCCTCCAAACGGGGCCGTTTTTCGGGCTTCGGCCGTGCGAGCAGTCGCCCTTGTTCCGGGATGTGTTTTTTGCATTTGGGCGGGCGGGGGGGGTGGGGGGGGCTAAACCAAAACCCTAAACCCTAAACCCTAAACGGGGGGAGGGGGGCTTTAGGATGCATCTGAGTTCAGGGTTTGGGGGCTGGGTTCGCCGCCAGAAGGTGCTTTGATGATTTCGGGTTATTTGGGGAGTTTAGGAGAGCTTGTGGCTCTTAAACCCTCAACCCTAGATCCTAAACCCCCCAAAAGGTTCAGGGTACCCAAGCACCAGCAGAAGCACCGCGCTTGAGAGGTGGCGCAGCGCCTGCTCCACGGCGTGGGCCCCTGCTCATCCTTGTGGGCATTTGCCGCCAGATGTCGGGAGTTTGGTGCAGAAAAACACACCAGAATACCACGAAGCCGACACCCTAAACCCTAAACCCTAAATCCTAAGAAACTTTGGACTTGCCATGGCTCCAGCTTTCAGCCCTGAGCTCCCGCAACTGTGCGCTGGACAAAAAAGGCGGAAGCTCAGCACCCTCAACCCTGAATCCTGAACCCTGAATCCTGAACCCTGAACCCTGAACCCTAAACCCGAAACCCTAAACCCTAAACCCCAAACCCAAGGCAAGCACCGCGATCAAATCCGGACGATGTCCGGTGCTTACGGGAGTGTCTTTGGTGTGGTACTGGTCGCCAGGATCTGCGCTGAAATGCGTGGGTCTACTGGAGGTTCAGGGGCACTTGTAACCCCTAAACCCTAAACCCTAAACCCTAAACCCTAAACCCTAAACCCTAAACCCTAAACCCTAAACCTTGTAACTTGCAAGTAGGGCTAAGTCGCCATGGGAATTTCTGCGGCGTCTTGGGGTGCCTGGGGTTTAGGGGTTTAGGGTTTAGGCTTTAGGGTTGAGGGCTTAGGGTTAGGGGGTTTAGGGTTTAGGGTTTAGGGTTTAGGGTTTAGGGTTTAGGGTTTAGGGTTAGGGGGTTTAGGGTTTAGGGTGGTGGTGGTGCAGACCCACGAGGACAGTCACCTGGAGCGCTCCGAACGCAGCACGCCCGACCCCGTTCCGCAAGGGTATCTCTGAAGCGCCAAGCCTTTTCACAAGGCTTTGCCTGGACCGACCGCCCGGAGAACACACACACACAGAGAGAGAGACATATATATATATATATGTAGACACACACACACTCATTTATATGAATATGTATATACATACTCATGTATATGTGTGTATATGTACAATGTACAATATATGTATATATGACATGTACATATGGCCTCTTGTTCTAGGTATGTAGGATGTATGCCAGTATGTCGTTTACTTGCTGGCTGCCAATTTCTTACTTGGAGCGCGCTCCCGAGGATGCACTCAGACGTCGCGGCCATGGCTGACTGGGAGAACAAGATGACGCTGAAGTACCCGGAGACGGCGAAGCTCCACTGGTCCTCACCTTAGGGTTTAGGGTTTAGGGTTTAGGGTTTAGGGTTTAGGGTTTCGGGTTTAGGGTTTAGGGTTTAGGGTTTAGGGTTTAGGGTTTAGGGTTTAGGGTTTAGGGTTTAGGGTTTAGGGTTTAGGGCTTCACATGCGCGAAGGAAGGGCTTAAGTGGACCTTCATGTGGGGTACTTGGGGTACTGTATGCTTTCAACTTGCGAACTACTGTATCACAGCCGTGAACCCATGGCCAGAGACCCAGTGAGCTGCCTTCCAGATGGTCTTCTGAGACCAGATCACACCACGGCCGTTGGTGTATAGAGCACAATTACGCAGGATTTAGGGTTTAGGGTTTAGGGTTTAGGGTGTAGGGTGTAGGGTTTAGGGTTTAGGGTGTAGGGTGTAGGGTTTAGGGTTTATGGCAGCTCACCTTAGCTCGCAGCTTAACATGAGTCTGAGCTCCGAGCCTGCTCCCAGAAGTCCACAAAGTAGCTTTTTTCTATACCCTAAACCTAAACCTGAAACCCTAAACCCTACACCCAAAAACTCTGAAAAGAAGTGTCGAGCTCCATTTTGTCTGAAAGGCGCTGGGTTGCATGTAATATAGGGGTCGGACAGAATTACGAATAGAATTCCCTGTTGGTCCTTTTATAAATCTACCATAATAACGCCCCAGCACCCTATTCTAATGATTAAGGCCCCTCTTGTACCACAGGAAGGGAACGAGCCCCCCCCGAGGCATCACCAGAAGCCCGAGTGGACCTGCGGGCAGCGTGATGCGCAGAAGTGGCTCGGCATTCTTCCTTGGTTTCAGGCCGCTCTCGACCCGCCCCCAAGCCCGTCCCTTTTCCCTAAGCCCTAAACACGAAGCCCCTAAGCTCTACGCCCGAACCCCTAAGCCCTAAGACTTATAAGACCTAAACCCCATACCAAAGGAAGCTTGAGGCTTTGAAGTTCGGAAGAAGCCCTGAATTTTCCGCTCTTGAGCTCGCTGCGGCTTGAATGGCGATGCCGAGTTGGGGTTCCAAGATGAGTCGGAGATGTTCAGGATTTTGTGCTGAGTATACTCCAGAGACAGTCAAACCTACCCCTAAACCCTAAACCCTAAATCCTCCACCCTGATTAAGCCCAGAACCAATGAGTTTTGAACTCCCCGCCGTTGCACTGTCTAAGCCTCCACTCTCGTAGACTAGCCTTCGCCCTAAACCCTAAACCCTGCACCCTAACCTTAAAGCCTAAACCCTCAAGACCTGTATAAATAGCAATTGTATAGCTTCGCCAAGCACCATGGTCCATTCCAAACAGAAGCCACTTTCCATCATATTTGACCCTTTTGGGCCTCCACAAACCCTCATGTTTGTCATTTTGTGCCTTCACAAAACCCTCACCTAGAGCTAACACACAGGGATGTTCGTTAGTTTTGCAGCTTTGGAAACCCCCCAAATGACAACTTCTACCCGTTTTTGACATTTTTGGCCTTCACAAAGCCTTGAAAAAACCACCAAATAACCCATTGTACTGATTGTAGACAATTTTGTGCCTTCACAAAACCCTCCAGTAGGCCTGCTTTGAAACTTCCTCTCAAGCGGGACTAGCTGCGCGCGCGCCTCCCATTTCATGCTCAAGCGGAGCAAGAGCTGTAGAATGTAGAACAGAACACTAGGACAAGGCGCTTCGGACCCTCTCATTTGCCGCCTGAAAGCGAGCAGTCCGGAAAACCAGAGCCTCAACGCCCTCTCAACGCCCTCCTTATGTTGCCTACCCCTCTACCCCTACCCCCTACCGCCTACCCCCGACTTACCCCTACACCGACCCCCCCTCCCCCCTCCCCATAGGACCCCGCACAAAAAACCTATGAGATAGGTTCTGTAAAAAGAGTTTCGTTCAAAACGTTTCGCTCAAAACGTTATTGGGACCCAAGCCCTATACATCTCTATACACCCTTTCAACCCTCAACCCTCAGCCCTAAGCCCTAAACCCTAAACCCGAAACATTTCCGAGGACGGAGCACATACGCTGCAACGGGCAGGGAGCAGAAGATGGGCCGCGGGTCAGCAACCCCTTGTTTTAGGGTCTAGGATTTAGGGCTTAGGGTTTAGGGTTCAAGGTTAGGATTTAGGATCTACGATCTAGGATTTAGGATGACTTAGGGTAGGATTTAGGATTTAGGATTTAGGATTTAGGATTTAGGATTTAGGATTTAGGGTTTAGGGTTTAGGGTTTAGGGTTTAGGGCTTAGGGTTTAGGGCTTCGGGCTGAGGGTTGAACAATCCCTTCGCTTCTCCCTGCCGCGAGCCTGCCCCTTTGTCGTTCAAGAAAGGTGAACCTCAGCAATGAGGCTTTGTTGGTATCCGACAATTTGCCTTGTTTCCCCACAACTCCAAAGGGCTGAGCCCTAAACCCTAAACCCTAAACCCTAAATCCTAAACCCTAAACCCTAAACCCTAAGAGCCTAGGTCGTTGTTCTGCGCGCTGGTCGGGATCCTGGCCTCCTGCGCTTGGGAACGTCGCGGGTTCCGCGTGGAGCTTCATGGGTCATGTGTAGAGTTTTAGGCAGGGTTGCGTTTTTCGGGGGTTTTGGGTTTAGGGTTTAGGGTTTAGGGTTTAGGGTTTAGGGTTTAGGGTTTAGGGTTTAGGGTTTAGGGTTTAGGGTTTAGGGTTTAGGCTTCAGGGGTTTGGGTTTGGGTTTAGGGTTTAGGGTTTTGGGTTTAGGGGGGTACCTGCCTTGGGACCAATGCAGCTTAACAGGGTTCATGGTTCATACACCTTCGCAGGAATTCTAGTAGCTAAGGGTAGACGACCCCCATTTGGGGTTCATGTGGTCCCTGACGTATACGTACCTAACTGCAGGTACTTCTGACCCTACGTATAGCCAGTCCAAGTAAGCCCTAAACTTAAACGTTATTGCCCCAAATCCTAAACCCGCACCCCACCTCACACAAACTCCAGGCCTTCTTCTTCTCCCATTTTGCCGGCCACCCAGACGCCCTTGAAGGGCCTCGAACCCTAAGCCCTTAACCCGAAACCCTAAACCAGGATGTTTTGCAATTCTGAGAGCAGTCAGCGGGACCCCCAAAGCTAAAACTTGTGGCCCTTTTTGCTCTGGCTCACAAATTTCTGGCACGTGCTTTAAAGGCAACCCGAAACAGGGACCCTATGCTTAGGGGTAGTATTTTGAGATATTGGCATCTAACACATCTGCTACATTCCAGAACTTCCTGACATGCTGGGAAGACACACGCACACACACGCCTACCTGCCTACCTACCTACCTACCTACCTACCTCGCTACCTACCTACCTACCTACCTACCCCTCCCCGCGCCGCCACCCAGCCATCCACGCACGCTCGCGTGGACACTAGCGTCAAACAACGTGCATGTTCTTGAACTCCGCGGCAGACGTGCTGCCCGGCATATCTAAAAGAACAGCTCAATCTGCTAAGTCTCATAGCTCTTCCGGCTCGAAAGCTCTGCACAGGGCCACGTTAGATTTCCAGCAGATGCTCTTAAGGGTCTAGAGTTTGGGGGGAACCCTGAACCCTAAACCCTAAACCCTAAACCCTAAACCCTAAACCCTAAACCCTAAGCCCCTAAGAGCACCTAAACCTAAACCCCCGAAACAACAGCCGCCGAGGCCGATGAGATGCTTCTGAAGGAGAATCCCACCCTGCTGTTTAGGGTTTTAGGGCTTTAGGGTTCTATAGGGTTTAGGGTTTAGGGTTTAGGGTTTAGGGTTTAGGGTTTAGGGTTTAGGGTTTAGGGTTCAATGTTTAGGGGCAAGCGCTGCTGAGTGTCCACAGTTGCGTTGCTTGATCAAGATGCTGGCTGCCGGAAGTTAGACACGAGAAAACCCGAATGAAGGAGAGATTTTGTTCTTGAGGGTTTAGGGTTTAGGGTTTAGGGTTTAGGGTTTAGGGTTTAGGGTTTAGGGTTTAGGGTTTAGGGTTTGTTCAGGCTTTCAACGCATTGCCTCCTCGTTGCTTCCATGTGAGGTTAGACATTGTGTGAGGGTTGCGCACTGTTGTTCCTGACCTTTGTTCGGTACAGAGAGTGCTGTCCTGTCACACCCCGCGCCTTAAGACATCTAAAGACCCTAGAACCCCTAAAGCCCTCAAAGCCCTCAAGACCTAAACCCCAAACCCTCAGCCCCCGAACCAAAACCCAAAACCCTCAAACCCGAAAAGCCCCAAACCCTAAACCCTAAACCCTAAACCCTAAACCCTAAACCCTAAACCCTACAAGGCCCTAAAGCCACCTTATCCTTCCGAAGAGGACTTCCGGGATGATGAGCTCCTAAGCCCGAGGCCCTAAGCCCTAGGTTAGGGGTTTAGGGTTTAGGGTTTAGGGTTTAGGGTTCAGGGCTTTTTGCGCGGGCCCCCTAGACCACGAAGCCCTCAAGCCGCGCGAGAGGAGTACCCGGAACCGAAGGTGCCAATTGACACCCCCAAGAAGATCCCCGCCTTCGACAAGGCGCGTTCAGTGTTGGACCTGCTTTAATAATGGACCCCCCCCCCCCCCAAACAGTCGCGACCCTGAATAAAGAAAGACGGGGGGGCAGAGAAATGAGCTCTCTTCAGGGTTTTGGAACCAGATCCCAAACTAAGAACTTGACCTCAAAAACCATTAAAAAAACAGGCCCGGCCCGAAATCTTTTCATTATAGCGGACCCCCAAAACAGAGGGTCCAGATCCTGAATAGCCGGAAAACTTTTCATAATAGCGGCCCCCTAGAATATTGCGGGTGCAACATTAGGGTTTAGGGTTGAGGCGGTTTAGGGAACCCAGGTGCAATAGACTGACCCGCCCTACGAAACGCCGCTACTACAAACCCGAGCCCGGCAAACACGAGAGCCCTAGAAGTTTGGGGTTTGGGGTTTGGGGTTTGGGGTTTGGGGTTTAGGGTTTAGGGTTTAGGGTGTAGAGTTTGGGCTTCTTAAGAGGTGAACGTGGACGATCTCGCTGACGGAAAGCCGAGTGGGGCGCCTCAGTAATTCTCTCCGCGGGCTTCCCGCCACTTAAGGGGAGAGTAGTGATGGACATGCGATTCCTTACAGTACCCCAAGTTGAGACTTATGTCCTTTGTCGAGATATGGTCAGTTCTCAAAGTTGTGTTCCCTTTTGGGGGTACCCAAGTATTGGTTCCATGTGCGGGCAAGTAAGTAAGTAAGTACTCCTTTAGGCGGATGTTTCTCAGAGAAATCTTTGGACGATCTCGAGACAGGTTTAGGGTTCAGGCTACCAGACAAACATCGAGTCACTTGCCCCCCCCTCGCCCCCCGGCGCCCCCCTTAGAAGAAAAACAAAACAGTAAACAACTGAAACGAGTGATGCCAGCTCAGAACCCTGAACCTGTTCTTCGAAACTGCCGAGGAAAGAACGGGAGGGCAGCCTTTTACCTGCGGCCCGGGTCTTGGATGCTACTCCGCGAGATTCCGCCTTCGTCCCAACCGTCTTGTCGTGGCGGTTCTTTTTGATAGAACCCTATATACCTGTAAACCCTCTAAACCCAATAAACCCTATAAAGCCCTCTAAACCCCGTAACGCCCTACAAAGCCCTATAAACCCCCCTAAGCCCTAGAAAGCCCTAGAAAGCCCCAGAAATCCTGCAAAGCCTTACACCAACCCTGCAAAAACCCCTCCATGGGGGGGGGGGGGGGGGGGGCAAAGCGCAGGTGGCTGACCACGCTGGTCGGCGATTTGCATCAGCCTCTTCACTGGCTGCCTGTCTGATTGAGCGTTTTAGTTTAGGGTTTAGGGTTTAGGGTTCAGGGTTCAGGGTTTACAGGGACTTCTTAGAATCTGCTTTAACGGCTTAGGGTTCCAGGCCTAGGCTTTAGAGTGTAGGGGTTAGGGGTTAGCAGGTATAGGGGTCCTCGGAACCACAGCCTTCGAAGGCTGATCGTGCAGGCTGCAAACGTTGCTTCTCCGGCTAAGTTCTACAACGTTTCCCGACCCTACCCCTACCACTCAACCCCCCCAAACCCTAAACCCTAAACCCTAAACCCCAAGCCCTAAACCCTAAAACTCTGGACCCCTAAACCCCGCTGCTGCAGGCTCGCCGAGAGTGGCTTCGGAGCTGATGTCATGGGCCCAGCAGGGGTTGAGGTCGACCAGGGCCAAGAGAGCGTGCTTGCTCCCTTAGGAGTGAAGTCTTTGGTGGTGTAAAATTCCCAGAATTACATTCACAACTGTGATTTGTTCTGGTTCTAAGAGGTGGCGTTGTTTAAATATTTTTCAATCCCCTAAAACCATCAGAAGGGCGCCCTCATCGGGAAGCTCTGATCTTCATGGGCTGCTTCCGGTGCAGGTGGTGCCAGCCCTAAACCCCAAACCCTGAACCCTGAACCCTGAACCCTAAACCCTAAACCCTAAACCCTAAACCCTAAACCCTAAACCCTAACTTGTTCTTACAGGTTGCGTTCTGGTAACCCAAAGCCCTCTGCTCAGCCCCCGATCCGAAGTAACCGCTCAGGTGAAGATCGTGTACCAGGGCCAAGAGCACGCTTTGCTCTCTTTTTGGGAGGTGCCCTGTTTGGGAGGGCTTTAGGGTTTAGGGTTTAGGGTTTAGGGTTTAGGGTTTAGGGTTTAGGGTTTAGGGTTTAGGGTTTGGGGGGGGGGGGGGGGGGGTTGCGTTCCCTGACCTTGGGGAATCTAGGGTTTAGGGGTTTTTCGGGTGTAGGGTTTAGGATTTAGGGTTTAGGGCGTAGGGTGGTAGGGTTGGGGAGCCTGGACCTGCGCGAATATGCCGCGCCTGTAAGAAGAATGCGGGTGTCGCCCGTAGGCTCCAGAGTCACACCCTTGTCACCTTTGGGCATGTGTGACTCTCTCGCACTCTCCGTTTCTTTCTTGTTCGTGTTATTTCTGTTTTTTTTTTTTTATTTCGTTCTCTCTGTCTCTATTTCTGTCTTTCTTTCTTTATTTTCTTTCTTTGTTTTATTTCTTTTCCTTGGTTTCTTTCTTTGCTTCTTGTTTTCTCGCCCTCTCTCTCTCTCGGGCCAAAGTGGTCAGGAGCAGTTGCCCAAGAAGCTGCCCGAGCTACCATCGATGTCGATGCTGGACTTGGAATACAAAGCCCAGCCGCGCGGCTTCTTCTAACCTCGGAAGTACAAGTCGTGTTCCCTTACAATGGAGTCTTAGGGTTTTAGGGGAGGCTTAGGGTTTAGGGGAGGTTTAGGGTTTAGGGAGGTTTAGGGTTTAGGGAGGTTTAGGGTTTAGGGTTTAGGGTTTAGGGTTTAGGGTTTAGGGTTTAGGGTTTAGGGTTTAGGGTTAGGGTTTAATTTGGGTTCATTTCAACATGCTTGGACCCCAAAGTGGCGCATCTTCGCAGTCGGGCGATCGAGTGGGCGCCCATCCCTCAGCCTTGCAACAGCTGGAGTCCCGGGATGTTAAACACCGGAGCCTGCAAGACGGGTTCAATTCAAGTAGTACGCCCCTATGATACCAACCCTTAACCCATCACCCTATATATATATATATATATATTTATGCAAATTAATATATGAAGAAATGGATCACCCTCCAGAAGCCCTCCCCTAAACCCTAAGCCCGAAACCCCAACCGCAACGAGGTATCACCAGTGGGGCCATCGGCTGCCGCCGGATCTCTTCCGTCAGTGGGCTGGGGAAATGGCCGACAAGGCTGGAAGAGAGGATTGATTGTTTAGGGTTTAGGGTTTCGGGTTGAGGGTAACCACAGCGAGAACAGCCTTAATTACTCATCAACAACGCAAGAATGGTGAGAATATGAGTGAGTAGACAAGAGCAGTAGTCGTAGGAACGAACAAGAGCTTCACTATGCTTGAATTGCGCAGTGGGGGGGGGGGGGGGGGCGCAGAATGTGCTTCTCAGCTTCTCGCCCTTAAGACGCCTTGAAGCCCTCACCCCTCCCCCGCCCCCGGGCAGCGCAGGTTTGCAACGAGATCTACGGCCCCATGTACGTGCCTAGGCTGCGGAAGTCTGGAGGATGGCCCGCCCCCCCTCCCCGGCCCCCCGTAAACCCTAACCCTAAGCCCGAAGCCCTAGCCCTAAACCCTAAACCCTAAACCCTAAACCCTAAACCCTAAACCCTAAACCCTAAACCCTAAACCCTATAACCCTATAACCCTATAACCCTATAAACCCTAAACCCTAAACCCTTTGGCCCCTTGGGTTGTCTGACAAGATGGAACTGGCAATGGACGTGGACGGCCACCAGCAAATGGCGAGGGTAAAGGTTGTAGCAACAATGCAGCCGTCCTAGGGCTGTATGCAGCTAGTTGGGCGTTCAGTCGGCATGGCGTCTATATGACTGGGCAAGGCAGTGTGAATGTGAGGCGCAAGGCATCATGTCCAGAGCAGTTTGACTCTTCCCGCATTTTGGTACATTATTTGGTAATTGCATGTACTGTGATTCGAAGGGGCTTGAGGACTTTCTGAAACATGCACCTGCCAAGTGGCAGTCAAGTTCTGTTTGAATGATTCTGTTTGTCTGGCAAATTCGATGCATGTGCCTTGAATGACCCTAAACCCTAACCCTAAACCCTCAACCCTAAACCCTAAACCCTAAACCAATGGTCGTGGTCATCTTCCGACTCGTCCATAAGAGCAGGCATCCGAGCCGTATGCTGCGTTAGTTTTCGTCCATACCATGAAGTTCGACTAGCTTGGCCCGAAGAGCGACGCCACTGGTGCTCCCTAAGGCCTAAACCCTAAAGACTAAACCTAAACTTTCCCACACCCCAACCCCTAAACCCTACACTTCCCAAGACACCCACACCCCAAGCCCGATGAGTCTAGAGAATTCTGGCCTCGTCCCTAAGCCCTAAGGTTTAAGCCTTAAACCCTGAACCCTGATTCCTGAACCCTGATTCCTGAACCCTGAACCCTAAACCCTATCCTCATTAGGTGAATCATGCGGATGGGAGCCGGAGCATCGAGTCCCCATTTCAGCTCACCGAGGCCCCTTCTGGGAGGCGGAATTTAGGGTACAACAGTATAGGTACCCAATCATATAATCCTACGTATATCTATTCATGATCCATCAGGCGGGTTAGGGTAGAGTCCTCCTTCATGAAGAGCACATCATAAGGTCCAACTGACACGTCTGGGTTAAACAGGTTGGTGGTCTCTTTAGTTGGGGTTTCTGTTTCGAAAGGTGTAGACATAGGGATCCTTTTTTGTGGTGTGTAGGGGCTATATTGGGAAGGTTATGGAACAGCTAAAGAGACCACCCGCCTGTATAACTTCTGGGTTTGAAGGTGACTGGTAGCTCGGCAATGGAGGAACACGGCAGACGACCTAGGGTTTAGGGTTTAGGCCAGTAGAAGCACAAGCGGGCAAAGAATAGCAGGCCGGAAACCATGCCATTTTCGTCCCGGTAACAACAGATGTCAGGTCCCAGTCGTCTTCATAGTATGTAGAGTTTCTCATCCGGGCTCGTTGTGTGTGTTTTTTCACCATCTTGTACCCTAAACCCTAAACCCTAAACCCTAAACCCTAAACCCTAAACCCTAAAGCCTAAAGCCTAAACCCTAAACCCTAAACCCTAAACCCGAAACCCAACGTGTGCAGTCCCAGATCCACTTTAGTCCCTGGTGCGAGGAGCTGCTTGCAAATTGGTTGAAGTTAGCCGAGCAGATGATCCAGGAGCATGCTCGACGTGCCTCAAGACACCATTCCCAGGGTACAGCCTGCCACGTTCACGGTTTGGAGCCATGTACCCTAAAGCCTAAACCATAAACCCTCAACCCTAAACCCTAAACCCCAGAGACACTTTCCAGCCCTCCTCTGGGCATGGTTCCAGGAGGGAGGTGAGCGACTAGCGCTGGTCTTCCTCGACATCATCGAGCATCGGCGGCACAAGGCGGGCTGACTCGGAAACAAACGGGCTTTGGGCCCTAAACCTTAAACCCTAAAACCCTAAAGCCCGAAAACCTTAACCCTAAAGCCCCTGGAGCCCCGAAACCCAATGAGGTCTCTGTCACCCCGAAACACTCCAAGACTCCTTGGTTTAGGGTTTAGGGTTTAGGGTTTAGGGTTTAGGGTTTAGGGTTTAGGGTTTAGGGTTTAGGGTTTAGGGTTTAGGGTTGTAAAGGACTCCAAGGCTCCTCAAGGGCTCCTCCCCCTGTCAAGGAGCCCCATGGGTTCATTCCCTCAATCCTCAACCTATCTCTGAGCCCTGAAAGCCGCTGGAAGGGTTTAGGGTTTAGGGTTTAGGGTTTAGGGTTTAGGGTTTAGGGTTTAGGGTTTAGGGTTTAGGGTTTAGGGTTTAGGGTTTAGGGTTTAGGGTTTAGGGTTTAGGGTTTCGGGAAGTCCATGCCATAGAGTGAAAGGGGGAGGGCGAGGAGAGAGGGAAGAGGGAAGAGGGAAGAGGGAAGAGGGAAGAGGGAAGAGGGAAGAGGGAAGAGGGAAGAGGGAAGAGGGAAGAGGGAAGAGGGAAGAGGGAAGAGGGAAGAGGGAAGAGGGAAGAGGGAAGAGGGAAGAGGGAAGAGGGAAGAGGGAAGAGGGAAGAGGGAAGAGGGAAGAGGGAAGAGGGAAGGGGAAGAGAGAAGAGAGAAGAGAGGAGAGAGGAGAGAGGAGAGAGGTGGAAGAGGGGAAAGAGGGGAAGCGTGGAGAGTGAGAGGGGAGAGGGGAAGAGGGGGAAGAGGGGGAAGAGGGGGGGGAAGAGGGGGAAGAGGGGAAGAGGGGAGGGGGAGAGGGGGAGAGGGAGAGGGGGAGAGGGGGAGAGGGGATGAGGACGAGGGAAGAGGGAAGAGGGAGAGGGAAAGAGGGAAGAGGGAAGAGGGAAGAGGGAAGAGGAAGAGGGAAGAGGGGGAAGAGGGAGAGGTAAGAGGAAGAGGGAGGGGAAGAGGAAGAGGGGAAAGAGGGAAGATGGGGGAGAGGGGAGGGGGAGAGGGGGAAGAGGGAAGGGAAGAGGGGGAGAGGGGAGACGGGATGAGGGGAGAGGGGGAAGAGGGGGAAGAGGGGGGGAAGAGGGAAGAGGGGAGAGGGAGAGTGGAGAGGGGATGAGGGGAGAGGGGTGAGGAGAGGGGAGAGGCGCGAAGAGGGGGGAAGAGGGGGGAAGAGGGGGGAAGAGGGGAGAGGGGAAGAGGGGAGAGGGGAGAGGGGGAGGAAGAGGGGAGAGGGGAGAGGGGAGAGGGGAGCGGGAAGAGGGGTAAGAGGGGGAATGAGGGAATGAGGGACGAGGGAAGAGGGAAGAGGGAAGAGGGAAGAGGGAAGAGGGAAGAGCGGGAAGGGGAAAGAGGGAAGAGGGAAGAGGGACGAGGAAGAGGGAAGAGGGAAGAGGGAAAGAGGGAAGAGGGAAAGAGGGAGAGAGGGGGAGAGGGGAGAGGGAGAGGGGAGGGAGAGTGGAGAGGGGAGGGGGAGAGGGGAGAGGGGGAAGAGGGGAGAGGGGAGAGGGGAGAGGGGGAAGAGGGGAGAGGGGAGAGGGGAAGAGGGAGGAGGGGACGATGGGCGAGAGGGGGGAGAGGGGAGAGGGGAGAGGGGAGAGGGGAGAGGGGAGAGGGGAGAGGGGAGAGGGGAGAGGAGAGAGGAGAGGAAGAGGTAAAAGGAGGCTCCATGGGGGATGACGCAGGAATAGCATGGCAATCCAGAAAGTTCGAGTCTGAAGAGTGGGCGACAGGGCCTGGAGACAGGACTTTTGATGGGAGTACAGTACAAAAGGTCAGAGAGGCTCTCTTAGCATATCATGATATTGCTACATGTTTAATGACTTTAGAATGTGTCTATGACTTTTCCTATCTGGTGTTGGTAGGACTTGGGCAGCAGCGAGATTCTTTCGCGAGCTGCAACCAGCGGCAGTGTGCACGCAGCCTATGGCCCATGGGGGGAGGCAAGTTAAGCAAGCTTTTGCGGCAGATGGGCGGACGGCCCACACCTTGAACACTGAGACAGAGAGAGAGAGAGAGAGAGAGAGAGCGAGACATAAAAAGAACACAAAAAAAGAAAGAAAGAGCAAGAGCAGTGGGCGGGGGGAAGAAGAGCAAAACCAGGGCCCAGCGTAGGCCCTTATTTCCTTTTCATTTTTGGGGTTGGGGTTCCCTTATAATCCCCTCAAAACCAAACGGGCCCCCTGTTTATTCCTAGGGTACTACCCTAAACCCTAAACCCTAAACCCTAAACCCTAAACCCTAAACCCTAAACCCTAAACCCTAAACCCTAAACCCCTGGGCCTAGAAGAGAGACGCCTCTGGAGGCGGCGCAGACGGAAGGCCGCGGACTGCCAAAGCCCCGGAGACTTGCAACAAGGGCTTGGGGGACGTTCACGACCTCGGTGAAACCCTAAACCCTAAACCCTAAGCCCTAAGCCCTAAGCCCTAAACCCTAAACTGTCCGGAAACCCAAACCTTAAGCCCTAAACCCTAAACTGTCCCGAAACCCTAAACCTTAAGCCCTAAACCCTAAACTGTCCCAAAACCCTGAACCCGAAACCCTACCTTCTGGATGGCCAAGAAGGCTTTGCGGACACTTGAGGGTTTCAGAAGTTCTCTCGGATGAAGAGGTTGAGGGGCCCCGCTGCCTTGAATAATGTGCGACATCCCATGTCCTGGAACTCCTGCGCCTTCCTAAGCCCTTGACTCAACAGAGCTTGGAAGGTTCATGTGTACTCACAAGTCGGGTTATAAGTAACCTAATCCAGGTTATAAGTATAGTTACCATACTTAGAACCCTACTGTATGACTATGAACTTCCTTCTGAAGGGGAAGACGAAGTAGCCCCAAGTTGACTGAAAAGGCCGCCGCCCCTGCTAGCTGCCTCCGTGCCCGCGTGAGGGCCTTCAGAACGTGGGGAGGTTCATGGCGAGGTAGACCCCAAAAAGGTAGGTAGGACCTTAAGGGGATATTGTACATGTTTTCCCTTATTGGGTAGGACCTTAAGGGGATATTGTCTACATGGTTTCCCTTATTGGGTTTAAGTGGATTACTTTCCATCAAAGGGTTTCAAGGGCCATCCTAGAAAAGGATCTGAAAGACACAGCGGGGTGAAGCTGCGGCAGCAAGATGATGCATGTGCCTTGAATTCGGGTGATGGCGAATTGGGACGTAGAGGGTTTCGGGTTTAGGACCGTTTAGGATTCAGGGTTTAGGGCATACGTGAAATTTTGCGATTACCACAAGCAACTCCCCAGATTCCCAGTTGAAATCCGGCCTTCCAGAGACTCTGCCAAGCACGTAGGGAGAAGGCCTGAAATGTCGACCTCCTGGCCGCCTAACGCCTAAACCCTGACCCTAAACCCTAAACCCTAAACCCTAAACCCTAAACCCTAAACCCTAAACCCTAAACCCTAAACCCTAAACCCTAATTAAACCCTAAACCCTAAACCCTAAACCCTAAACCCTAAACCCTAAACCCTAAACCCTAAACCGCCCTAAACCCTAAAAACCTTTTGACTAAAGCCGTCGAAGCCATGCGAAGCCCCCACCCGCCGCGATGTCTCAGCCAGGGGCCATAGGAAGTTCAAGAGGCAAAAACACAGGGTTCAGGGCTTAGGGTTTAGGGTTTAGGGTTTAGGGTTTAGGGCTTATCACATCCGAAGGGCCCAACGCCTACTTAGAGGTTCAATGGAGAGTTAGCGGCAGGTTTACCAGTAGCCCCCAAACTAAAGCCCCCTGAGATTTTTTCATTTCATGTCTACAACACCCAAGGGAAGATTGAAAATGTGAGATTTGTTAAGGTTCTAAGGGGAGGATAGAACTAACCAAGTAGAACACGAAAAGCCTACAGGAGCGCTGCGGACGGAGGCTGGGGCCTCGGAAGTTTGCCGCGGACGTACGCGAACTCCAACGGTGCCAAAAACGAAGGTTCGGGTTTATGGGGTTATAGGGTTATAGGGTTTAGGGTTTAGGGTTTAGGGTTTCGGGTTTAGGGTTTGGGGTTTAGGGTTTAGGGTTTAGGGCTCCTGGTGGTGAGTCCCACGTTCCATAGCGCGTGTCGCTGAGTTGCCCGGCGCAAGCTCAGGAAAGTCGTCGAACAGTATCCCGGCACCGGTGAAGGCATGACCTGGTTTTGGGGTGTAGGGTTTAGGGTTTAGGGTTTAGGGTTTAGGGTTTAGGATTTAGGGTTTAGGGTTTAGGGTTTAGGGTTTAGGGTTTAGGATTTAGGGTTTAGGGTTTAGGGTTTAGGGTTTAGGGTTTCGGGTGATTTTTGGAAGATTCGCGCATGGACTTCGAGAACCCTGAGCCCGACGCAGGTTTCGTCGTGTTTTTTGTTTCTTCGGCCACCGACTCTACTTGAACTTCTCCGGGCACGTTCGCGTTTTCCCTGCAAGAGGCGAATCCAACGAGTGCCAAAGGCCTCCAACCCAACACTGAAGGGCTCATACGATCTGCCTGCTACCGGAACCCACCATATCTAGACCTATATCTATGTATGCATGCATATATATATATATACATATTATATATATATATATACATATTATATATATATGTACGTATGGAAGTATGTATTTGTCATCACAAGGAGAGGCAGAAAAGCAATCCCTTCCCACCATGAAAACCTCCCCTATGCGAGTCTGATTATATTCCGAGCCTACGCACTTAAGCCCTTTTTTAGCCCTAAACCCTCCAGAGACCAGCTCCCTTTCAGGGCAGCTCGGGCAGTGCGTGGGCCCGGCAGACATTTGCTCCACCGGGAGGGGCCGGGGGTGATAAATGGAATCTTCCTTAACGCATGCACGAAAGCTACCAGACTACTTGCGGGTTCGTGGAAAGACTGATGTCAGCATTGCCACCATACTTGCGGGCCCAACTTGTAGCAACCCATGAAGCTATCCATGAACCTTCAGCAGGTTTACAGAAGCTACACCCTAAAACCTCCTGTAGCCGAAATCGCCAGCTGGCGGTCAGGATGAAAAACCCTAAACCCTAAACCCTAAACCCTAAACCCTAAACCCTAAACCCTAAACGAGTTGGGCTTCTGGCAAGGTGTACCTGCAGCTAGAAGTTGTAAATATGAGTGGTATTACAATGCCACAGGAATCACTGGAGCCAGGTTGAAGAACAGCACGTGGGAAGACGAGAATGTATCTTGCATCACGGGATGTGTGACAGATGTCCCCATGTGGATACAAGCACCAACCAACGGGCCTGTTCTGAATTTGGATTCCATGCTGACTCAAATGTGCACTCCTTCGGATGCCCATGACACCAGAAACCGATGCACGCAAAGTGACTTCGACTGGCTTGTTACGCTGAGGTCCAATTCGATCGTGAATACTTACGAACCCATGCTCACGAGACTCCAGAAGCTTGCAGACTCCTCCGACGCTGCGCCAGGTCTAGCCAGGCAAAGCTGCTCCACGGACTCCACAGGTCCCGAACCCATGAAGGTTAGGGTTTAGGGTTTAGGGTTTACGGTTTACCAGGAAGGTTTCAGTTTAGGGCGTCAGAGGGTGTAGGGTTCAGGGTTTGGGGTTTAGGGGTACACAGGAAGGTTTCAGTTTAGGGCGTCTGGGGGTTCGGGTTCGGGTTTAGGGTCAGTTTAGGGTTTTGGGCTTAGGGTTTCAGGGGTTTAGGGTTTGGGGGCTTTGGGTTACCCACGAAGGTTTCAGGGTTTAGGGTTTGGGGTTTCAGAGGTTTCGAGGGTTCGGGGAGTAGGTTACCGGGTTTGGGGCTTGAGGAGGGTTAGGTAGGGTTTTGGGACTTAGGGGGTTTAGGGTCTCAGGATTTGGGATTTGGGGTGTAATTAGGCGGGTTCAGGGGTTTAGGGCTACAAGTAAACACGCTGCTAGCGGTATCTGTTCTCGGAGTACGAAGCATAGTCATGACAATGACATCATTAAGAATGGCCACGCACTAGTACCGACATGAACAATGCTCACAATCGGAGTACGACTGCGACACCTCCTGCCAAGAAAGAGATGGGCACAGTAGAGCCAGTTCCATCATCAACAGGCCGAGTGGGTTTCCAGACTCTTGGGTTGTTCGTGACATTTCAAACACTTACGAGGGTGATCCCCCCCAATTGTACTAAACTTCTCCGGGCCCAATTTAGAACCCGCAACCAGCGGGCGCCTGCATTGCCTGGGGACGGGTTTCATCCCAGAAGGCGAATTAGTAAATTGGGTTGGGCTTCAGCCACACCCTCATGACTGCCGCCCAAAACCCGTAAACCCCTAAACCCCCAAGCCCCTCAGCCCCTAAGCCCCTAAACCCCTAAACCCCTAAGCCCCTAAACCCCTAAACCCCTAAACCCCTTTGGAGCCTCAGGGCCAGAAGAAGGAGAGCATGGCGAAACTTGACCATCAACCTCGGCATCGCGGCCGCACCCCCAGACACCTCTGCCTGTGAGGGGTTTCGGGTTTTGGGTTAGGGTTTAAAGGGTTAAAGGGTTTAGGGTTTAGGGTTTAGGGTTTAGGGTTAGGGGGGGGGAGGGGAGAAAGGTCTGGGGACGTGATCCCAGAGAGTTGATCCTTGCGGAGACGAAGTGTAGGGTTGTCTGACTGTCTTCATGAAGACAGCCGATGGGCTTGTTCAGCACTCTGTTTGTAGACGTTAGGCAGTCTAATATGGGTATTTCTCCAAATAAGGGTACCCTGACTATACCCCCAAAGTAGTATAATCCTTACTGAGGAACCCCCAAAAAGGTACCCCTTATTTTCGGAAATCCCCATATTTGGGTAGCATGGGAGGCCGGATATTGTGGTCTGCCACTCCGCAACCATCAGGATAGCGTATGCGAAGGGAATCAACCGCTCCTTTCACCCAAGCAAGGGAACCCTGTGCTTCACGCAGGTGTGAAAAGCCACCCCAAACCCCAGACCCTAAACCCTAAACCCCAAACCCTAAACTCTAACCCCCAAACCCCAAACCCCCAACCCATGATAATGAAGGGAATCAACCGCTCTTTTCGCTCAAGCCCCGAAATCCGGTGTAAACAGCCACCCTAAACCCTAAACCTCTAAACCTCTAAACCCTAAACCCTAAACCCTAAACCCTAAACCCTAAACCCTAAACCCTAAACCCTACACCTGCTCAACCCCTGGGTGAGAGGCCGTGGTGGTCCCGGCTCTGATCTTCGGCCTCCATGTCCACAGCAGGTCCAAGTCCCCTCCACCTTGAAGCACCCCACCCGAAACCCTCCATGGGTCCAGCGTTTTGTGCCGTAAAGCCTAAACCCTAAAGCCCTAAACCCTAAACCCTAAACCCTAAGCCGCTATTTTTGGGTAGTGCGCTGGCGGGTTGAAGGTTTCGGGGTATTGGGAATTCCTTGAGAACCAATGAACCCTAAAAAGGGTTCACGGTTCATAGGCCGCAAAAGGAGCCATGGGCCATAGTAGTCTAGGGGTACATGACCCCGATTGTAGGGTTGATTTTTCCTTGCAAAAGGCTCAGGTGATGCGACTCAGTCTCGATCGAAGGGTAGTTATATGGGCCGTTAGAATGGGCCCTTACCTTTTTGTTAAAGGGTTCTGAAGTATGGGCCCTTGGGTTGTTTAGGGTATACAAGGGTATATAAGGACCCGTACTAAGGGACCATGTAACAACCCTGCTTCTTGTTCCAGCTCTTCGTGTGGCCTGCGTCGATCCCCTAAACCCTTGAAAACCCTAAATAAACCCTAGAATCCTACACCGTAGAATCCGAAACCCTAGAGCCCCAAACCCTAAACAAAAAGAGCCCTAACTCACCCGAATCCTAAACCCTAAACCCAGCGTTGAGTGTTTAGGGTTTAGGGTTTAGGGTTTAGGGTTTAGGGTTCGGGGTTACCCCCAAGCCCATAAACCCTTGGTCCGGCTTCAGGTCGCCAGGGAACCTCGCCCGAGTCTTCACCGCCGGCAAGAAAGACCACATCTGAGCGCGGCGCGCGGCTTACAGGCCTCCCCCCCCTCTCTCGGGTGCTACTTGGAGGTTCGTAGGGTTTAGGGTTTAGGGTTTAGGGTTTAGGGTTTAGGGTTTAGGGTTTAGGGTTTAGGGTTTAGGGTTTAGGGTTTAGGGTTTAGGGTTTAGCTGGCACAGAGCCAGGAGGCCTGGAGGAGTGGATATGTCATTTTGCCTCCCAGCCACTGGAAGACATCCCAAGACCGATCGCGACCGATCTACAAACATTGACGTGCATATTATATAATTAAATAAATAAATATAAATAATTATAAATATATATATAATATGTATATACAAAAACTGATTTATTTATGTGTTTATTTATTCAGTTATCTATTTATGTATGTATACTGGATTTCATATTCGTAAGATGCCTAGTGCCATGTCAGGCCGGTGCCTTTGTTAAGTTCAGCGTGTAATATAGGGGGTCGGAATTCAAAACCCTATCCTACTTCGAAAGGCCCCTATATCACAAGATTTTCCCATGGCGTGCGGCTCTTGAAGGGAACGAGCGGTGCAAGCTCAGCGATGGCGATTTTTTTCGTCTGCGTGAGGTCTCCTACTAGGGTTACCCTGAGCCTTCCAACCGACATCCTCAGCACACCTCAAAGATGAATCCTGAATTCTGAGTCAGGGTACCTAACAGGACCTGGTTTGTGTTGACGAAGACAGGATTACCTCGCAAACCGCGGTCTTAGTCTCGGCAAGGGCTGAAGGAACCCAAGCCGCGTGACAAGAAGCATCAACTCCAGCAAAAGTCGAGACTAAGCTAAAGCCCTCAACCCCTCAACCCCTCAACCCCCTAAACCCCTAAACCCCCTAAACCCCTAAACCCCCTAAACCCCCTAAACCCCCTAAACCCCCTAAACCCCAGCTTGAAGGGTCGAAACCGCCTGAGCTCCCCCCGACCACCAAGCCGAGCTCCCGAGCCATCCGCCCCCCCCCCCCCCCCCCCCCTCCCCCCCAAAAAAAGCAGCCCAACTTCTACGACGGTTCGATGAGGGGTACCTTGCAGTTGTTACTGGGTTTAAGGTTTAGGGTTCAGGGTTCAGGATTTAGGGTTTAGGGTGTAGGGTTTGGATTGGGTTTAGCATCTCAAGTCCAAGCATTCAGTAGTCAGTAGTCAAGTCCGCAGTTCTGGTATCGAATATCTACCCACCCACCCTCTGGATCCCACAGCATTAGGAAGCGATTTTCGTTTTAGTGAATTACACCTCAAAAGGCCCTAGGCCTGGATCCTTTAAAACCCAGGCAACCTTCCAAAGGTACTTGGTACGTAGAACCCTAGGTAAACATCTCCATGAGCCTTCAAGCACCTGCAAAGTGGACAGGGTTCTGTCGCACTTTTATTCTGGCTGCACAGCATTCTCGGAGAGATGTACAGACACAAGCCCTTTTGCATGCGGCACCCAACTGCCCCCAAAGCAGGCTCCTGCCGCAGCACGAGCCCTAGTGACTAATTACTGGGAGAGCCAGAGCCATGGGTAGCTGTCAGTACAGCGGCCATATCCTTGGTAGCCCAGTGGTACCCTTCACCTTTTTTTTTTAATGGGCTCCCTGTTAAAAAAAGCCAACCCCAAAAAAGGGTGCCCTTGTTATAGTATGGTTACTGGGCTACCAAGTATCTATAGTAACGATACTTATAATTCATAAAGTACCCTTGCACCTCCAAGCAACTTTCGTCGAGCAGAACACCCTCCAAGGCACGAGACGCCGAAGCGATCGTGCAACTCCGCACCTTTCACCGAAGCCTTGTCACCCTATTCCCTAAACCCCCTATACCCTAAACCCTATACCCTAAACCCTATACCCTATACCCTATGAACCCTAAACCCTGAGAGCTAACCATAAACCCTAAACCCTACAAACCCTAAATCCTGAGAGCTAGCCTTAAACCCTAAACGGAGCAGCCCAGAAACAAAGGAGGCCCCAAAGCAGGGAGCCACCTTCTCTTGCCATGGCTGGGGAGGAGATATGCGGAGACATCGTGGTGCCTCTCTGGGCGCTGGGTTTAGGGTCTAGGGCTTAGGGTTTGGGGTTTGGGGTTTAGGGTTTAGTAGGGTCTAGGGCTTAGGGTCTAGGGGTTATAGGGTTTAGGGTTCAGGGTTTAGGGGTTGTGCGGGATGTACGAATTTAGGGACACTTTTGGGGCTTTAGTAGGGGTTTTAGGGGTTCTTAGGGTTTTTTAGGGGCTTTAGGGGTTTTAGGGGCTTTAGGGGCTTTAGGGGTTTTGGGGTGTTGGGGGTTTACGGGGTGTTAGGGATTTAAAGCTGTTAGGGATTTAAGGGTTTCGGGTGTAACTGCTTTACGGGTTTTAGGGGCATGTTAGGGTTTAAGGGTTTTTGGGGGTTGAGGGCTTTGAGGGCTTTTGGGGTTATGGGGTGTACGGTTGGCACACCCGAAACCCTAAACCCTAAACCCTAAACCCTAAACCCTAAACCCTAAACCCTAAACCCTAAACCTAAACCCTAGACCCTAAACCCTAAACCCTGGGAGGTGGACTTCACGTCCGGCAACACACAGAGTGAAGGAGAGACGGCAAGGCAAGCCATCGAAGTTGGGATTCGGGTTCAGGTTTTGGGGTTTAGGGTTTAGGGTTTAGGGTTGAGTGTTTAGGGTTAGCGGTTTAGGGTTTAGGGTTTAGGGTTTAGAGTTTAGGGTTTGGGGTTTAGGGTTTAGGGTTTAGGGTTTAGGGTAACCCTAAGTATAAGTCAGGAACAAGGGCCACCGCATCAACATAGGATCCCAAGAAGCATCCTCGTGATTTTCAAGGTGGGGCAGGCCTGCTTCTGAGTGTTTTGTTGGCTGTGGCGGGGGACTCATTTTTGTTCAGTTGTAGGAGTTCGCGCCCCAAAACCCTTAAACCCTCAGACCCCGAAACCCCTCAATCCCCAAAATCCCGAACCCTACCCCCTCGGCCCCAAAACCCACCCTAAACCCTAAACCCTAAACCCTAAACCCCAAACCCCAAACCCCAAACCCCAAACCCTAAACCCTAAACCCTAAACCCTAAACCCTAAACCCAAACCCAAAACCCAAAACCGAAACCCTAACCCGAACCCCGAACGTCCGAACGTCCGAAGCCTCCACTTGGCGCCAGCTCCCACCATGACTCCAACGAGACGCGGGCAGCGATGACGTTTAGCCGCTGCCACAACCCACCACCTGGAACTGAAAGCTTCTCGGCGGGGTCCTGGTTTCAGGGCCTCGGGGGCTTTAGGGATGTAGGATTTGGGGGGGCTTAGGGGGCTTAGGTTTTGGGGGTGTAGGGTAGGGGGTTCAGGGACTTGAGGGGATTTGTGGTGTAGCGTCTTTGTTTTTGCTCTGCAGTTTAGAGGTTTGAGCTTCTTAAGGTTTTAGGGTTTAGATTTCTTGCTGTTTAGGTTTAAGTTTAGGGTGTCATGCTGTGTTATGCTTGGAAGGCAGAAAGACTCAGCAAGGATCTCCTCTGAAAGCTTGATTGGCAATCCTTGCCCGCATTATTTCTGCAATCTGCTGTAGGGGAATTCTAGCGATGGCATAGACTAACTCACTTACGCTTGTTGGCTTGAACCGTCCCCGCTAACGACTGCCACTTCTACATAAATGCTAGTCTCTGGATGCCCCTCTATTGCGCTGCCTTCAAGATGAGACTCGGTGGTAGAATGGGAGTTAGGGAGTCCCAAATAGGGACCGTGCTTATTGAGAACAACCCTAAACCCGAAACTCTGAACCACGCCGGCCGCCGCGACTGAAGGTTTAGACTACGACCTCCACGAGCGCCTGGGCCCAACCGCAAAAGGGCTAAGGGCTAAGGGGTTAGGGTTTAGGGTTTAGGGTTTAGGGTTCAGTGTTTAGGGTTGAGGGTTTCGGGTTTAGGGTTTAGGGTTTAGGGTTTAGGGCCTAGTTTAGGGGTTAGGGTTTAGGGTTTAAAGGCTGTTCCTTATAAACCGTACCTATTCCAAGGCAGCAGAAATCCCCACAAAGCTCTCCCAGGAGCCCGATGATCATGCAGTTCGTGAACAACCAGCAGCTTGCGCCTTGGTAGCCCAGTGGTTCCCCTTTTGCCCTTTTTTGGGTTTAGGGTTTAGGGGTTTAGGGGTTTAGGGGTTTAGGGTTTAGGGTTTAGGGTTTAGGGTTTAGGGTTTAGGGTTTAGGGTTTAGGGTAACCAACCCCCCAAAAAGGTTGCCCTTCGGGGGGAATATGGTTGCTGGGCTACCAAGGCGCTGTCGAAAGGCAACTGCTTGCTCCGCTTCTTGGGGCACAGCTCCTTGACCTCCATCTTGAGTGTAGGGTTTAGGGTTTAGGGTTCAGGGTTCAGGGTTCAGGGTTTAGGGGTTCATACGCCAAGGGGTTCTGAGACCCAGGCAGCCCCAAGAGAACCCTGGATCTCCCACGCAGCGGGGAGTGAAAATGGTGCTGTGACGAGTAGGGTGTTCATTGCTGCTATTGGTGGTTTAGTGTTTTGGGTTTAGGGTTTAGGGTTAGTGAACAAAAGGGTTCCTTTACAAGTATTGGCGAGTGTATATCTTGGGTGTCCTTTTTGGGGGATACTCGCAACAAGCACCCTACCCTCATCGAGTCTCCTACTGAGTCCTCACGCTCCTATACACGGTCCATACTCATGGCACCATCCCGCCACAGATCTCGACACACTCAGAGGAACAACAGGAGCAGATGAGAGGAGTTCATGAAATGATCCAGTACTCAACTCACGACCGACCTCGGACTTGCGCAGTCAGTTCTTTGTGGTGCTTTACTGTAACTTTACATCTTTAGCCTTTTTGGTTTTATTGGGTTTCTTAATAAGGCACTCCTAAGTGCAGCCAAGAGCTTAAATCAGAAAACTCCTCCACTCTTTGTACATTCCCGCCCCGTCTGTGTGCACCCCGTCTGTGCACCCTTCCTGAAGGCTAGGACTGGGAGGGATTTGACTCCATTTAAGTTTAGGGGTTTAGGGTTGCACATCTATGTTTGTACCAGGGGTTTGTGGGGCTTCAGGCTTCAGGGACAGAGGCTCACAAGAAACGATGTCCAACAGCCCTAAACCCTAAACCCTAAACCCTAAACCCTAAACCCTAAACCCTAAACCCTAAACCCTCCGAGGTAGCCTTTGGAGGCAAGACCCTGGGTGCTGTGAGTTGCCGAAAGCACTCCTGGGTTTCGGAGTACTGTACTTTAAATATGTGCTTTGGTTCTGGGTTCCCATGATAGCTACTTATACCGAAAAAGTCTGCATGTTTTCCAGGGTCTACTCCAAAGTAGAGACTTGGAGGTTCATGAGGAGTAGAAAGGTGTACGAAATACCCCTAAAAAGCGATCATAACCAGAAGTTACCATGCTTCCAACCCCTACAGAGATAGGCCCCGAAGCCCGAAACTACTATGGGGGCCTAACTCCGAGAAGGGACGATGGTTTCATTATCGCCCAGGGTCTTAGGACCCAGAGCTTGGGGAACCCGGGTTGATGGGGTACTTAAAGGTAGAGTGGAGGGTTTGGGGTTTAGGGCTTCGGGAAGTTTTAGGTAGGGTTTCGGCCGTTCATGTGTTATTATCAGGTAGGGTTCTGGTAACTTGTGTTGGGGTTTTTTAGGTGGGGGATTCAGACACGGAGGTCACCCGTAACCTCCAAGGAATTTACGAATAAATCCAGGGCCTTCAGACATGCTAAGACAGGTTTAGGCATTCCGGCCGAAATAGTCGCATTCAGGCTGCATGGTTGTTGTGTCAGGATGTGGAAGTTCCTGGGTACTTAGAAGTAGGATTATAAGTGCACTAAGTAAGTAGGGTTGTAAGTATAGGCACACCGTACTTATAGCCGTACTTGCAAGTACCCATGAACCTCCAAGCAGATGCCTCCGGCTACATGCCAAAAACGACCCGTGTGCAGTGAATGAAGTGTCGGCTAAAGCCACAGGCCAGTGAAGCTGATTAAGGGTTCAGGGTTTATAGGGTTTATAGGGTGTTTCGGGTTTATAGGGTGATTAGGGTTTACAGGTTTTATAGGGTTTTATAGGGTTTTGTAGGGTTTTATAGGGTTTACAGGGTTTGTAGGGTTTATAGGGGGTTTATGGGGTTTATCGGGTTTTGTAGGGTCTAAGGGACCGTTAATGCCCGAAGCCCTGAACCTTAAGGGCCCCCTGGCAGGCAGAATGGCCGCGGCATTATCCGATGGCTGATCATCTGCGTGGCTGGGCTGAGCACAGGCCTGGCAGCTTCATAGGGGCAAGGGTTTAGGGTTTGGGGTTTAGGGTTTAGGGTGTAGGGTTTGGGGTGTAGGGTTTCGGTTTCAGGGCTTATAAGGTTCAGGGTTTACGGCAATAGGGTTTGGCGTGTAGGGTTTGGGGTTTAGGGTTTTTATGGGGGGGGCTTAGGAGAGGGGGCTGTTGAAGCTTTTCAGAGGTTTGCGAATGTTGCGAATGTTCGGGAACTGAGTCTAGAGACATCCCAAGCTGGGCCACGTGCTTCATGAGTTGCAGGAACTTACCCTGAACACCCTATTGTGGGTAGATCTCCAAATTGGGGTCCCTTTTTGGGATCCCTTTTTAAGGGGGTGCCGCCTGATAATGGGTACTGTAAAATCGGGAGGAAACTACCCACATAATCATCTTCAGGATCATGGTGCGAGGGTGCCGACTGCAAACACCCTAAACCCTAAACCCGAAACCTTTTCACCCCGGCAAAGAATCTAAAATCCTCAGACCATGGCAACTCGAAAGGCCCGAGCAAACCTTCAACCCTAAACCCTAAGCCCTAAACCTAAACTCTAAACCCTAATCTCTAAACCCTAAACCCCAAGCCCGTCAAAGTTGAAAAACTCGCTTGCCTTCATCACCTTGTGCCAGAATCGCAAGGGACCCAAATGGGGTTTTCCGACATCAATCAAGGGCCCATAGCACAGGACCATGTACCGACCCTTATAACCGCATAAAGTGAAACTAAATTATATACCGTCAACCCCAAACCCTAAGCCCTAAACCCCAAACCCCAAACCCCAAACCCCAAACCCCAAACCCCAAACCCCAAACCCCAAACCCCAAACCCTAAACCCTAAACCCTAAACCCTAAACCCTAAACCCTAAACCCTAAACCCTAAACCCTAAACCCTAAACCCTAAACCCTAAACCCTAAGCAGCTCCCGGCGGAAGGCTTCGTGGCCTCGATGATCGACCTCGGCCTCACTCAGTTTCAGAAGCTGGAGTTCTTGCTGCTGACGCCTTGCCGCGGCATCGGGTTTAGGTTTAGGGTTTAGGGTTTAGGGTTTAGGGTTTAGGGTTTAGGGTTTAGGGTTTAGGGTTTAGGGTTTAGGGTTTAGGGTTTAGTAAGGATTTAGGGGGCCCGGAAAGGCATAACCTTAAACCCTAAACCCTAAAATCCCCACAGTTCTTGGGTTGTGTGTCGGTTGTGCTCGGGTGGCCGCGACATCGGGTTTAGGGTTTAGTGTTTAGGGTTTAGGGTTAGGGTTTAGGGTGTAGGTTTAGGGTTGAGGTTTAGGGTACTAAACCCTAAACCCTCCCAATTAAGCCCTAAACCCGAAAACCTAACCCTAAACTTGCTGAATCTGAGCCCCTAGCTACTAAGCCTAAACCCTGAACCCTAAACCCTAACCCTAAACCCTATACCCAACATAAACCCTACACCCTAAACCCTAAACCCTAAACCCAGGAGATCCACCATCGACGCCAGCGACGACTGGGTCCCGACGCACCTGGGCATGGGTGATGTGCGATCCAAACCTTCACTCATCACTCCACGGGGTTTACGGTTTAGGGTTTAGGGTTTAGGGCTACCACCTGGCTCGAAAAGCCCAAGAAAGCCCTGGGAAGCCGTCGTCTCCCAAACCCTCCGAGACGAGGTATTTCGTTTTTCTGGCTTTTCGCCTGTCTTTGGCCAGCGTGGCAGGCGGTGCGCGTCTTCGTTCGGATCTTGCGCTTTTGGGTGTAGGGTTTAGGGTTTTAGGCTTTAGGGTTTAGGGTTAGGAGTTTGCAGCGGCGGGCTTTTCGGCCTGCTGAGGAGGGAGATTTCGGAAGGGGCGGGGGTTAAGATTCAATGTATTCTGGCCAGAAAAGGCTTTTGGACTTTAAGGTTGTATACTTAGTAGTATTTTGAGGAGTTATTTCTTGCTCTGTCGGAATGACAACCCCCTAAACCCTAAACCCTAACCCCGAACCCCAAACCCTCAACCCTAAACCCTCAACCCTAGACCCTAAACCCTAACCCTAATTCCTAAACCCTGCATCCACGGCGGAGCCCTCACTTCTGGGGAGGCTTCTGCGTCTGCTTTGTCGAGCCCTTGGCCGCTGGATCGGGCATCCCCGAGATCAAGTCCTTCCTGAACGGCGCCGTGGCCGAAGCCCTCTGACCCCTGGACCCTACAAATCCCCCCCCCCCCCGTCCAAAAAAAGAGCAACAATAACCATAGCAATAACAATATCAAGAACAAGAACAATAACAATAACGATAACAATAGAATAATAAGAATAATAGCAGTTGTCATAATAGTAACAATAAGTAAGAGATACAACCAGAGTGCAGGACCGTAAAGAACGGGTAGGCGACCTCAGTCTTGGAAATGAAGGGGCTTTATCGTTACACCCTAAACCCTAAACCCTAAACCCTAAACCCTAAACCCTAAACAGGGCCATCGCGGGGGCCTTTTAGAGGCCGTGAGGAGCCTCTGGAGGCGCTCAGTTCAGGCTTCCATCAGCTGCCGGCTTGCAGGGAGCACTTGAAGTTCAAGTTCAGCTGAGGGGGAACCCTTTTAGGGTTTAGGGTTTAGGGTTTAGGGTTTAGGGTGTGACGATAAAGACTCTAGGTGCCCCAGTATGATGTGTAGCAAGGTCCCCTGAACCCACTCCGAAACGCACGTCATGCACAAGAACAAGAACCAGAAAATTTCGACCAAACTGGGAGGCTCTGCAAGGGATTCGGAAGCCACCGTGAGAGAAGGGTTTCTTGCGCAAAGCTTCCTAGGTGTCAGAAGCTCCGCAAGCCCGAATTGCCTTTCAGACGCTTCGCTTTGGCCCGTAGACATGGTGCGGCCATGTCGCCTGCTGGCGTGCTGCGCGCTCCTGTCTCTGCTCCACCGCGGTTTCGTCGGCCTGCACCAGGTTAAGGCGGGGGTGGAAGCCGCAGAGAGACGCAGACCCGACTCAAATTGAGACCTGAACAGTGCAGACCCTACTTGGGGGGGCTCATGGGTAGTTCTGAGTATCTCAGAGGGGAGTACCCTAAGTAAGGGTCATAACTGCGCATAGCTTCAGCTTCGTTGCCATACTTGTACTACCCATGAACCTCCAAGTAGCCCACCAAAGCGTGCAAGTCAAACCATAGCTTCGGAACAGCAGATTTAAGCCTGGTAGCTGGGTGGTACCCTTTTGCCCTTATTGGGGTCCTGGGTACACTTAGAAAAGGACCTAAACCCCCAAAAGGAAACCTTGAAAAACCCATATTTTGCTGGGCAAGGATGGACCGGCGAAAGCTGGCGAGGGCAACCCCCCACAAAGCCCTCAGAAACCTCCGGTGGATCCTGGCTGAGTCAGACTAAAGAGCCGCAGGGGCCTACTTGTTACGTAGAATATGACTATGGAAAACCTAGAGTTCTTAGGTAGCCTACTGAAAAAGTGGGGGGTTTCCGAAATCAGCGGTACCTTATTGGGGTCCTTATTATACGGGAATCCTACGATTTGGGGGTCTATTTTCGGGTTCCTGTTTTTCGTAAACCCCCAAGTAAGTAGGCTTTGGGCTCCAGAAGGAACGTCTACGGTTTCGGAATACAAAATGAAAACCAGCGGCCTCAACAAGAGCTTAGGGATTCCAACCGCTCCAAAGAGCCCTCCGTGCAAGAACCGCATCAGTCCCCTAAACCCTACACCCTAAACCCTAAACCCTAAACCCTAAACCCTAAACCCTAAACCCTAAACGCACTTTCTCGGACTGCGGAGAGGCCCCCCGCCGCACCTCGCGCCCAGCAGGGCCCGCAGTGGAGTTGGCCTCGGAGTACCTGGCCGGATGGGAGAGGCCTTTTTTGAGCACTGAGAAAAAGGGGGAAGGTTTAGGGTTTAGGGTTTAGGGTTTAGGGTTTAGGGTTTAGGGTTTAGGGTTTAGGGTTTAGGGTTTAGGGTTTAGGGTTTAGGGTTTAGGGGTTAGTTTGGGGGGGGGGGGGGGGGGGGGGGGGGGGGGGGGGGGGGGAGGGGTGTTTAGGGTTTGGGGTTTCGGGCAATTTGTAGGGTTTGGGGTCTTTTTGCAGAGAAAAAAGGGGTGGTTAGGGTAGAGGCAGATGGCACTTGATAGGGCTTATGCATGTGTGTCCTCTTGGCTTGCTGGGTTTAGTGTTTAGCGGTTTGGGGTTTAGGGCCAGTTTAGGGGACTGTTCCCTCAACGTATCTGAGATCTGCGGTGTGGAAGGAGTGGGGATGAAGAGTCTTTAAAGGTTCCCTTGGGCCCCCAAACCCTCAGCAAGGCAGAGGCACAGAGATTGACTCTTTGTGACCCCGCCCAAAACAAAAAGCAAAATCCGGACCAGGTGGGTGTCTTGTGCAGGCTTGGAGAGTTAACTCGCCATTCTTGGGATTTCGTTCAACCCTAAACCCTACAGTCTAAACCCTAAACCCGAACTTTCAACTGGATTTAATGTTGGGGGGACCCATCTTGTCCTCCTGTTCGCAGCTCCGTTCAGTTCAAGACCAAACTCCGCAGCTAAGGGTTCAGAGAAGTTTAGGAGCCCTACACGTCTAGGGTTTAGGGTTTAGGGTTTAGGCCTTAAAGGCCGAATTCAACCCTGAACCCTAAACCCTTAAGGCTCCGAGGGTTGCCCCCCCCTTCCCTGCAAGGCAGGAGCGCGCCCAGAAGAAGGCTGGTGCCGCGCCCGCCGGGCTCCAGACCCCGGGGAACATCGCCTCAGCAGAAGAGCTGAGGCGGGGGGAGCTTGGGGAGCTGCGTTGCAGGGCTTTTGGCCCTAAACCCTAAACCCTAAACCCTAAACCCTAAACCCTAAACCCTAAACCCTAAACCCTAAACCCTAAACCCTACTAGGGCTTAGGGGATGAGAGGAGTCTTGGGGAGGGTTCTGGGCTTTGGACCGGTTTGGACTTGGGGCGGCAGGGGAGGGGGCAAGGGGGTTCTTGTCTGCGTTTTTGGGAAAGCTGGATGCATCCGCCGAGGTCAGCGATCCAAACGCTGGCCAAGTCCAAGCGTCTTCAAAGCATCTCGGACTTCGTGTTCCAAGCGTCTAGGGTTTGGGGTTTAGGGTTTAGGGTTTAGGGTGCAGGGTTAGTGTTGTTTTTGTTTGTGTTTAGCGTTTTAGGATTTAGGCTGTGTCGTTGTTCCGGATTCTTGTCGTGAGTCGCCGAAGCCGTTGCCACATCTCTCTGACAGGCCTCCGGCTGGGCATCATGGCCCCCTCGGGCGAGGCTCTCGCAGAATTGTTTCCGGGGGGCTCTTGGAGGTTCATGGGTCGATATTATATATATATATATGTGTTATACACATGGTATATATGTGTATACATATATATATATATATACATGCACGTGCATGGTACTTGTGGTGAGAGCATTTTGTTTCACAGAAGTACCTCTGCTTCTTCCTACCCCAGCTACCTCCTCGTGCCTCCCCCCCCCCCCAATTCCATGGAAGAGGCAGCTCTGACGGCCATGGAGAACTGGGTTGAAGGCAAGTGGGTGACGGTGGTTCAGGGGGGTGTAGGGTTTGGTGGGTTATTAGGGGTTTAGGGTTTAGGGTGTAGGGTGTAGGGATGTGTAGGGTGTAGGGTTTGGTTGGGGGGGACGATCAGGGCTCTTGGCCTTTTGGCGCGGTAGGTTGTGTGGGGTTTGCAAGGATTTCGCATGTCGGGGGGGGTGTCTTGAGCTGTCCCGCAGCAGCGTAAGAGTCTCAGGACCAAGGTTTCGAGGGTTCGGATGACTTTTCGCATTGTTGTCCTGGCCGTCAAGTCTAGGAAATCCAGGCTCAAATCCGTGCCGCCAGTGCACCAATACCCACAGCAGCTAGGATCACCCTGCAGATTCTCTACCATGCACCTTCCCCCGAACCTTAGCCCCTTGTTGTAAAAACCTTCAACCCTAAACCCTAAACCCTACACCCTACAAGCCCCAAGAACCCTCCAAGAACCCCCCAAGAAGCCCACAAGAAGCCCCCAAGAAGGCCTGGAGCTCAACAGTCCGGCGGATGGGGTGCTGGCGGTGGACGACGAAAACACGCACCCTGGCCTCGGATCTGCAAGGGGGGGGAAGGGGGGGCGGGGGGAGTTTAGGGTTAGGGTTGAGATTTTGGATTAAGGTTGGGGAGTTTAGAATTGGGATTTTGATTTTCTTGTTTTTTTTTTTTTTTTTTTTTGGGGGGGGGGGGGAGGTTAAGTTTGGGTTCGGAGCTTATGCATGTAGGGCAAGTTGCGGAGCTTAAGGGCTCAAGGTCGCTGGGCAAGACCTCTAGAACATTGAAGCTGGTCTGTGTGGTCCACAAGAAGAAGCCCTAAACCCTCAACCCCCAACCCTAAACCCTAAACCCTAAACCCTAAACCCTAAACCCTAAACCCTGAACCCTAAACCCTAAACCCTAAACCCTGAACCCCCAAAAAAGTAGCCCCAAGCCCTATACCCCAGCCGGTCTTTAGGCCCCTGGATATGTCGGAGATCGCCTCGGGCCCGGTGTACCTCAAGTACCAGCTGCTCGGACTTTAGGGTTTAGGGTTTAGGGTTTAGGCGGGTTAGGGTTTAGGGATTAGCACTTGCTCGGTCCCTTGTAGTCCAGGCATACTGACTAGGGCTCTGAGACCTAAGCCCTCAGTTCTCCGTGACGTTGCAAGGAGTGCCCCAGATCGGTTGAAATCTGGAAGAACTCCTCAACCCTAAACCGCATACATCGCTAAACACACCATGAAGCCCTAAACCCTATAAAGCCCTAAACCTTATAAAGCCCTAAGCCCCTAATTCCTCACCAGCTTAACCCTAAACCCAAAACCCTAAACCCTAAACCCTAAACCCTATTGATCCCATAGCAAACCCCTAAATCCTCACCAGGTTTAGCTTCGGCGACCCTGCCGACCGGAAGGTCAACGGCAGCCCCAGCAAAGATAGCGCGGAGGCGAAGGCCGCAAATGGGGGTTTTGGGTTTGAGGTTTAGGGTTAGGAGTTTAGGTTTAGGGTTAGGAGTTTAGGGGTTTAGGGTTAGCAGGTTAGCGTTTAGGGCTTAGGGCTATTAGGGCCCTTATTTGGGGCTAAAGGAGCTTTGGGCTTCTAGTGGATGGAAGTGGTTTTAACACCAAAAAACTCCTTTTCCCGATGAAGCCGTAGAGATGTAAGGTTCTAGGGTTTAGGGCTCAGGGTTGCGGGCCCCCCAAAACCCACCCACTGTTCAGGGCTTCCTTCGGGCATTATTCAGTTTAGCGTGGTTTGCTTTTGGGTTGCTTAGGACTTTAGGGTTTAGGGTTTAGGGTTTGGGGTTTAGGGTTTAGGGTTTAGGGTTTAGGGTTTAGGGTTTAGGGCCCTGGGACATTTTGTAACTATCCCCAATGTTGAGCTGAAGAGGATCTTATCTGGTTCAGAGGGCTTACGGACCAACCTCCTTTGGGTGTAGGGCCCGCCTCAGATGTACGTTACGTTGAGGTCTTGGGCTCGGATATCCCTAAACCCTAAACCCTAAACCCTAAACCCTAAACCCATGCGCAGCCGGGCCCATGCCGAGGTCGGTGCCTACATGAAGAGCTATCCGTTTGCTGGGCGAGGCCAGGGGGCACTTCACAGGGCTAAACCCTAAACCCTAAACCCTAAACCCTAAACCCTAAACCCTAAACCCTAAACCCTAAACCCTAAACCCTAAACCCTCCCCTTGGCCCCTTGAAAGTCGACATGCACAAGCTTGTGAAGCGAACTTAGGGGATCTGGGGCCGGCCCTTCACAGAATGGACTAAACACCGTTCTGCTGAACCGGTTTAGGGCTTAGTATTCAGGGTTTAGGGTTTAGGGTTTAGGGGTACATGCCATCATGAACCGCCCGTACCAACCTCGTGAGCAGATGCATCGCAGGGGTGCTGTTTAACCCAGAGCTTGGCGACGGGGAGATGCGCAACTCGGCCCAAGAAACGTGACCTCAGCCAAACACCAACAGGTAAGCTTGGGGCAGCTGCTAGAAATCGCAGTTTGGGCATTCCCGGTTGGTCAGTTTGGCCGTAGGCAGAACCCTTGAGAAGCACCCTCCACAAACCCTTCATAAAGCCTCCCTAAACCCGAAACCCGAAACCCTAAACCCTAAGCCCGAAACCCTAAACTTTAAACCCTCAGCGTGCTAAGGAATGTACGGCGACTTCCCGCTCGCCTTGTTCGGCTGGCCTGGTGACACCCTCTGAGTGCGGAATGAGAACTTACGGTCCAACCAGTGGACTCCAACGGTTTCGGGTTTACGGTTTAGGGTTTATAGGGCTTTAGGGCTTTAGGGCGTTTATGGTTCTAGGGTTTAGGGTTTTAGAGTGTTGATGGTTTTGGGTTTTAGGGCTTTAGGGGTTTAGGGTTTTTGGGTTCTACGGCTTATGCTGCAGGATGATGTCAGACCGTCGAGCTGCACGGTTTGCGGGAGGGAAAAGAAGTGCGTTGGGGCGACTGCCGAGTACAGGGACAGGATGCTCGTAGTTTGGGGGGGGGGGGGGGGGGGGGGGGGGAAAATCCAAGGGTTCGGGTTTAGGTTTTAGGGTAATTTGGGAGGGAGGGGGGGGGGGGGGGGGTATATAGGGGTATGCAAAAGAGGCCCTTTTGTGGGGGGATAGTGGGTACATAGGGTATTCAAAGGGAGGCCTCGTTGTGGGGGGGGGGGGGGGGAGGAATAAGCGCTAGACCTTAAACCCTCAAGTGCCTGTAAACTGAAACTATTCCTCACGTCTCTTGAACTAAAGTTTGGACAAGCTTGTTGAGAAGCTCCTCTCGAACTTTTTCCAACATTAACAAGTTCAAGGAAGGTAAACCCAGACTTAGTCTTCGTGTTGAGAATCTGTTGACGGCATCTTCAGACAGGTTTCTTAAACCCTAAGACGATAAGCCCTAAAACCCTAAACCCTACACAAGGTTTAGGGTTGAGGGTCTAGGGTCTAGGGCTTAGGGTTTAGGGTTTAGGGTTTAGGGCTTAGGCTGCAAAACTTAAAGCCCTAACCCCATTTCTAGCCCAGACACCTTGGTACCCCGAGGCATCCACATGCCCCGGATGCTGGATATCAAGACGCTGGTAGCGAAAGCTGACCCTCAGCTGAGGGTTTAGGGTTTGGGGTTTGGGGTTTAGGGTTCAGGGTTTAGGGTTAGGGTTTAGGGTTTGGGGTTTGGGGTTTGGGGTTTGGGGTTTGGGGTTTGGGGTTTTGGGGTAGTTTAGGGTCTAGGGCTCTGCAACGCCCGAGCCGCAAACCCCAACCGCCCCAAAACCTTTTAAGCCCTAAACCACTCATCCTATAAACCCCTAAACCACTCAATCTTAAAGCCCTAAACATTCACTCAACCCTGAACCCGAAATCCCCAAACCCTAAACCCCAAACCCCGAAACCCTACACCCTAAACCGACAAAACCTAAACCCTCAGACCCTAAACCACTCAACCCCCCCCCCCCCTCCCCCCCACCGAGTTCGGCGTCATGTTCAGCGTGGGAGCCGGCCTGCCTTGCGGCAAGGCCAGGAGATTACCTTAAACCCTAAACCCTAAATCCTAAACCCTAAACCCTAAACCCCAAGGCTTCGGGAACTCCCCACAAAGCCCCTGGTGCAGGAAGGGCCGATGATCCACAGCGGCGCCATTTGTGGGTCCCTGCCTCCCGACGCGATCTTGAGAAGTGACCGAAGTGCCCCTTAAATACAGGGGTCGGAATCATTACTCATATTATTCCCTTATGGTCCCTTCATTAGTATACTATAAGAACCCCAAAACCCTATTCGAATCATTAAGCCCCCTTTTAAGCCCAACAGAGCTCACAAAGCTGGCCGTAAGAACCCCAAGCCTGCGTGTTTTGGGTAGGTTTAGGGTTAAGGGTTTAGGTTTTAGGGTTTGGGTTTGAGGGTTTAGGGTTATTTGGGGTTCTTGAGAAAATGTTTAGCAACAATCATACTCTTGGCGGTTATGGTTTGAGGACCTCGCGCGTCTTCTGGACAAATCGCCTGCGGCCGATCAACATGGACAAGGACACATTAGGGTTGAGGGTTTTGGGTGGATGAAGAGCAATTCGGGGTGTCCAAATTGGGGTACCCATTTTAGCCATTTTGGAGATTCCGAGAATGTCAGGGAGACCCCTCGAAAACCTGCGAAAACCTGTTTGCGAAAACCCACTTGAAATCCCACGCTCAAGAAGAGCTTCTGTACATGTGGACAGGCAGTTACCCTGAAGCTCTATAAGCCGCAAACCCTGCGAAACAACAGAAAGCACGATACCACCCATGGAGTGCGCTCCACCAGGGGCATTCCCACCTCGATGGTTGTTTTTGGGACTTCCGGCTTCAGCTTCGTCTGGGGAAGGGGGGGGTACGGTACCCCGGGTACCCTGTTAGGGGGTTCCTAGAAGAAAGATTGCGTTTGGGAAATACCCGCGCAACAACAAGCATTGCGGGCTGATTGTGATGGTTCAGTATTGTTTCTATTGTTCTCATCATGATTTTGATGGTTGTCAAAATTTTCACTGTTGCTCCCAGTTGCAGGGGAGGCGAGCTCTCTACCCTCAACCCCTCAACCCTCAACCGCAAACCCGTAACCCCTGACTACACCCGGAGCCCTAAACCCCGAACCCTAAACCCTACACCCAACACCCCAAACCCGAAACCCCAAACCCTAAACCCTAAACCCTAAACCCCAAACCCCTAACCCTAAACCCTAAACCCTAAAACCCTAAAACCCTAAACCCCTAAACCCTAAACCCTAAACCCCTAACCCTAGTGAGGAGCAGCGCGATCTCGTCACCGCCGGAGCCGCTGCGGGCGTCTCCGCCGCCTTCAGCGCCCCGGTGGGCGGAGCCCCTGCGGCTGCATCCCACTTCTTTTTGGGGTGGCAGGGGTTGATGATCTTAACCTTAAACCCTGAACCCTAAAACCCTCAAACCCTATATAAACCCTAAGCCCTAAGACCCTAAGACCCTAAGACCCTACGACCCTAAGACCCTAAAACCCTAAAACCCTAAAACCCTAAACCTTTAGGGTTTTCTGTTCTGAGTGAGGTTCGGGGCTCCCTGGGGTCGTGATCTTGGTCGCAGGTCCCTTTCACCTGGCATACCTTGGCTTTTTTGGGGGGCTCAGGTTTCCTTCTTTTGCGTACCCCTGGGCATCGGTGTGCACTGGCCCTTGGGGGACGTTCCGCCTGATTCTAACAGTCCTTGCACCCTAGACCCTCAAACCCTAAACCCTAAACTTAGCAGGGATTATAAGGGTACTAGAATCCCGCCTAAGGACTGTTAGTACAAGGGGGAAGATCCCAACCCCAGTGTACCCAAAGACTTTTGACTTACTTCAACTTTTTATTGTATATAGGTATATGTGTATATGTCTATATATACATATATATATATATATAGACATAGTATAACATACCTTCATGCCTTTATATGTTATATTCAGCCTTTTGGGGGTACGAAGCAGCCATGGCCGTCTCACCGGACGCGGAACGCTGCACAGTGCGGCGGTGCAGCTTGGTCGTCCTTGCTTTTGCTGGGTCGCGTCTAGGGTTTAGGGTTTAGGGTTTAGGGTTTAGGGTTTAGGGTTGCAAGGGTAGGCATGTTGCTTATACAGGATATTGAGGATTGATGGTCAGTGGAGTTCATGGTTTTGAAACTTGTGATGGTTTTGAGAGGACCTTTGTGGCTTCGGGACTGCGGTGGTTTGAAGGAAGGGCCCTGTGCCCCGAATTGGTAGAGGCCTTATCGAAAGAACCCTGAGAGCACCACAGTCTCCTAAAGCGTAACCTCTAAACCCTATTGTTTAACTTAAGCTCAATAAGGTGAACGTGTAGGTTGAGAGGTTTGGGGAGCCGCCCTCGCCTTCCACAAGAGAATCTTCAGTGATTCTGGGGGGCTTCAAGGTCTTGACATAGAGCATCATGCACTGTGTAGTGTATCTGTTGATGGTGTATTCGGGTGATCTAAACCCTAAACCCTAAACCCTAAACCCTAAACCCTAAACCCTAAACCCTAAACCCTAAACCCTAAACCCTAGATCCAGGCAAGGTTTCCGGATCTGTGCCGTTGCCAACCACTGGGTCCCGCATCCTCGAGGCAGTACTTGGCGCATGTTCGAGTATATGGCAACACAAAAAAGAGGCTTTTGGTTTAGGACTTGGAGCATAAATTTAGGGTTTAGAAGTTTTAGGGTTTAGGGACTTACCTACCCTCTGCTGAAGAACCCCAAAAGGATAGAAGAGAATAATATTCACCTTATAAGCAAGAATATTCTTGATTTTCTGGGGGGGGTTCGGAAGCAAATCGTAATTAAGGGTTTAGGGTTAAGCGAGGTCCGACTGAGATTAATCCAGTGCTTTAGAGACTTCTACATGTAGCCTGTATACCACTAGAAATTTCAATAACGCCCAAAACCCCAAGCATGCTTATCCCCAAAACACTAAACACCAAAATCCCCAAACCCCCAAACCCAAAAATCCTTAAAATCCCCAAAGCCCAGAACCCAAAAAGTCCGTAAAGGCCCTACAATCCACAACCCCCCCAAACCCCCAAGAATCCAACAACACCTAAATATTGGGATGTTTCCCCCCAATAGTAACAGTTCTTAAAAGGGATTAGAGTAGGGGGTACTATAATCCCTAGTAAGGACTGTTAGTAGAAGGGGCAACCGAAACAACTAAACAGCATAGAACCGCCAAAAGCCCTAAGAGCGCACTCCTGCTCTACTTTGGCACCCTTGAGGTTGTATTCAAGGGAATGAGAAGCTAAAGGCTTTAGGGTTTGGGGTTCACAAGCCCTTCGGGGACACATGGTCAGACACCCCCCCTCCCGACCCATTTTTTTCCCCCGTGGTTGGGGTGACGGACACGGGGGCGGGGGCGGGGGTGGGGGGGTGGGCGTGGGGGTGGGGGTGGGGGTGGGGGTGGGGGTGGGGGTGGGGTGTGGGGGGTGGGGGTGGGGGTGGGGGTGGGGGTGGGGGTGGGGGTGGGGGTGGGGGGGGTCTATCTTCGGAGCATGTTAGTGGAGACCTTTGGGGGTACAACCTTTGGTGACCAGGGCCTTGGAATCCCAACACCCCAAGCCCTTAACCCTAAACCCTTAAGCCCGAACCCTGAACCCGCAAACCCTTAAACCCAAAACCCTTAAACCCCAAACCCTACGTAAACCCTAATCCCCCCTAACCCTAAACCCCAAACCCCAAACCCCAAACCCCAAACCCCAAACCCCAAACCCTAAACCCTAAACCTTAAACCCTAAACCCTAAACCCTAAACCCTAAACCCTAAACCCTGGCCAGCCCGGGCTGCTGGCCGCCTACCTCCGGCGGTTGGACCTGGAAGCCCCTGCCGCGCCCAGCCTTGCGGCGCTGGAGGCTCAGTGGGGTTTCGGGTTTAGGGTTTAGGGTTTGGGGTTTAGGGTTTAGGGTTTAGGGTTTAGGGTTAGGAGGTTTAGGGTCTGGGGTTAGGAGGATTTAGGGCTTGGGTGTTTAGGGATGTGGCTTTGGGCTTACCGGTTCCTTGGGAGTCGGATCTTAATCTCACGCAGCTTTCTGAGTTGGTCTCGTTGGACTTCTGCCGGTTTTGGGGCATGGGCAAAAGTTCTTGGATATTTCTGGCCATGGACACTCCCTAAACTGAGCTCCTGCAACAGGTATGCTGAAGGCGGGGCCTACCCCCAAAGTTTGGTGGGTGTTCCTTTGTTGGGTTCACTATGCTTCGTTTTTGAGGAAGCAACCTTAGACCCTAAACCCTAAACCCTAAACCCCAAAACCTTTCTATCCTACGGCGCACCGTGCCCAGGCCTTGCTGTGCGCCCATGTGGATCGAAACTTGGATGGCCCTAAACCCTAAAATTTAAGAGCCTCCGGCTCAAGCCGCCGACCCCGCTGGAGCATAGTTGAAAGGTCTAAACTCGCTCGTCGGCTCAAAGGATGCTTTCCTCATCGCCTGGTTCGAAGATCATCCAGCCTGCTCGGCAGAGTTCTGTGAAAAATTGGGGGGGGTAGGGGTAGGACCAGGACCCAAACAGTTTGGGAGCACCTTGAAAGAAAAAAACAGGGGGGTAGGGGGGGGGGGGGTAGGGGGTAGGGGGGGGGGGAGGGTGGGGGGGGAGGGGGGGGGGGTAGGGAGGGGGGGGGGGGAGGGTATGGGGAGGGGGGGAGGGGGGGGGGTAGGGGGCGCGGTCCTCCACGAAAAAATTGTGCACCGAGCCCCCCTACCCCCCCCCCGGCCCCCGTTTTGGGCGGGTAAGGAGGGAAAGAGGGAGGTTATCCAACAGCCCGCCAGGGTCGGCGGACCCTAAGCCCCTAAGCCCCTAAACCCTAAACCTTAAACCCTAAACCCTAAACCCTAAACCCTAGTTAAACCCTAAACTCTAAACTCTAAACCCTAAACCCAAACCCCCTAAATCCTGGCTTGGGGCATGTTATGAGTAAGGTGAGGTTACGGGCATAGGCTGTATAGGGGTACCTCCTCAACTCAGGATATTGAATTACACTGTTTATTGCGGCTGCAAGGGAAGATGGGTTCTTTAGGGGGCGGGGGAGGGGTCTCCCTCTCCCTCTGCCACTCCCTCTCCTGCTCCTGCGTATCTTCTCTTTCTTCGGTGTTATGATGTTGTCTTCTTCCTCTTCTACGTATTGCCTTCGCTTTGTATGGATATGTTGGTTTGGTGTTGTTTGTGTCATGCGTGTCTTCCTCGACATTTGAGCATGTGTTTGCTTTTTGGCTTGGCTTGTTAATGCATGCATGGGCCTTCTACCTCGTTAATTTGTGTACCGCACCCTACGTACTTGTGTCCGTATGTACGTTGATCCATCAGTCGTTCTGATGTCTCTGCTTCGTTCGCCAGATATGCCATGGTGTAGTCGTCTCAGCAGGCATGCAGCTGGTGGTCTAGGGTTTAGGGTTTAGGGTTTAGGGTTTAGGGTTTAGGGTTTAGGGTTTAGGGTTTAGGGTTTAGGGTTTAGGGCTACTGTTCGCCTCACCTTCGTTTCTGTCTTTGCGCGTTCTCTTTGCTTTCTTGTCTTCACCTCCTTTGATCTCGTGTGTCGTTGTGCGCCCATTCTGCAGGTGTGTCGCCCTGAATTCGCTCGAACCTGGAAGTTCCGAAGTTCCAAGGCGAAAGTCCTAACCCTAAACGCTAAACCGTAGTCCCTCTATAGCTTCCAACGTGCAGAGAATGGAGGAACCCGAAGCCCTGGATCCTCAACCCTACACACCCATAGACTCGGGCCTTCAGGGTTGGGGGTTTGGGGGCTCGGGGCTGATATGGAAATCAGCTATGAAAAGGCACTGTGGGCCCCAATTCCTGTATAACCCTGTTTAGGGTTGAGGGTTTGCAGGATTCTGATGTTTAGACCTGAGCTGGAGATAGGGCTTGAAATGTTCGAAGATCTTGTTTCAACTGTGTCAGAAGGCAAGGGTGTTCATGATTTGGAGTTTCGGGGTGTAAAAACCCTAGGTGCTCATGCTTTAGAGTTACTAGGTTAGAGTTTCGGGTGTAAAAACCCCCAAGCCCTAAATTGGCTCCCTATAAACCCTAAACCCTAAACCCTAAACCCTAAACCCTTTATCAAAGGGGTGGCCTACGAGAACTTGGACGTCCAGCTGTGCCGCAAGAGGCCTCCGCTGGATCCTATTCGCACCCTGGCAGGGGTTCAGGGTTTCAGGGTTTCAGGGTTTTAGGAATTAGGGTTTAGGGTTTAGGGTTTAGGGTGAGGGCTTCAGGGGTTTTAGGGGTTCTTAGGGGTTCTTAGGGCTTTTAGGGTCTTAGGGTCCTAGGGTTTTTGGCTTCTAGGCCTTTAGGCGTTTTCGGGTTTTAGGGTTTAGGGGTTTAGGACGGTTTGGAGCCAGAGGGTTTTCGGAGTGGGTTTATAGAGCTCCATCGTCACGAGAACCCGCCCAAAGCTGCTCTTCAGTTCTTGATGTCTTCATGCGCGTCTCGCTGTTTTTTGAGAGCTTTCCCGCACGCTAACATTGCAAATGATACTATGGCAGAGCTCCATGCGCAGTATGGATATGACTGCTGACGCACAGCTCTAGCTGCTAGCGTGCTTCTACGTGGAGGAATGTGGAAGCTTAGGTTCTGAACATGTCGTGTGTGGATTCTCCCGCGGCTTCTCCACTTCTTGAGTTGGTTAAGTTAACCCTACACCCTCAACCCTAACGTCTAAGCCAACAGCTTTCTTACACAACAGCTACAAGTTCCCGAGGCAGCGCTCAGCGAATCGCACTGGAGAAGCGTGGGGGCGGCCTGGACATGTTAGGGTCTTTTAGGGTTTAGGGTTTAGGGTATAGGATTCGGATTTAGTGTTAGTGTTGTTAGGGTGTTTTAGGGTTCGGGTAGTTTAGGGTTTAGGGTTATGAAGCAGCGTCTCGTCAGAGAACGCTTTTTTTGGCTTGGAATCCATAGAAGCAATCATTACGCCAGTCAAGAGCTCCTATGCTGAGATGCTGTCAGCGTCAGTGTGAAACAAACCTGTAACCGTTATAACCGCAACCCGCAAGCCAAAACACATGAACACTGAATATTGAAGCCCCCCAAATCTCTGAACCCGACGCAAGAAAACCAAGCCCGAAGCACCAAAGCCTAACCCTAAACCCCATAGCCACGATAAAACTGAGGCTACTGCTTCCTGCTGGTGGATGCCTTCGCTGCCCTACTAAGCTCCCTTGGCTTTGTGGTGTCCTTGTGCCCCGGCGGCTTTGAATATGCGGCGGGGGGTGTGGGATGAGGATGGGGATGCTCTGGTGGTTTGTAGAGTCACGCTGTGCGGAGCCTCTGGGTTTGTAGATTCGTGGGTTTGGGGGTCCCCCGGCTCATGGGGTTCCTGGGCTCATCCGGCAGATCTTCATGGATGCTCGCGTACTCAGCGAGGAACCATGGTTAAACAGTTAAATACCTTGGAGGCCAAATGAACCCTGAAAGAGCTTAGGGTTCGTATACGCAGTAGTATAGGGCATGTAGCCCCAAGCCCTTCTGAATGTTGTAGAGTTGAGATAGAATACTGAGTCCTAGGTAGGATAAGGGGGACCCTTAAAGGGGAACCCCTTCTTAACCCTCTTCTGGTTCTCTTAAACAGGGACCTTATTCAGAGGGTCTATATCCCCAAGGGTCCCCCTAATCCTATCCCCCTACTGAGGACATGTCTCAGAGGGTTTCAAGCCAGCCTGGTACACTTGTCGACCTAACGAGTAAGATGGGAGCTGCGTTCCCTTGGCTGGAGGGGCCACCAGAATCACCGAAACCATGACCCCGCAGAAAGAAGCTTTTTTAGGGCACGAACCCTAAACCCTAAACCCTAAATCCTAAACCCTAAACCTTAAACCCTAAACCCTAAACCAAGAGCATTAGCTTCACTCCTGCAAGCCACAGTCAAATGCGCTCCGGCAGTCGCTTCACGTCAGAAGAGGCTGTAGAAGCAGGTTCTCGCATGCAGAAGCGACGCAAAGGTGCAGACAGGCTCTGACCCCTTGTTTGCTTCCGGGAAACCGAGCGCTAAATGCCTACACCCCAAAACCCTTAACCCCTGCACCCAATACCCTAAGCCCCTGAATACCCAACCCTACCCCAAAGCCCTGAAACCATCACCCCTAACCCTAAACCCCTGAGACCTAAACCCCTAAGACCCAAAACCCTGAAACCCGAAAGCCCGAAAGCCCAAAACCCTAAAACCCCAAATCCTAAACCCCAACCCCCCCCCAGAAAGACCCTATCTAAATCCCTACACCCCAAACCCTAAACCCCCAGAAGCCTCAACCCGAAACCCCAAACGCCTGGCAGCCCAACCCTAAGCCGTAAACCCCTGGAAGCCTAGCCCTAAACCCTAAACCCTAAACCCTAAACCCTAAACCCTAAACCCTAAACCCTCAAACACAAAGAATCCGAGGCACACGGCGGTCTGCGCAGCTGCTCCGGAGCCCGAGGTCCCACCACTTGGAAAGAGCAGCTGTTTGAGGTTTTGCGTGCAGGGTTTAGGGTTTAGGGTTTAGGGTTTAGGGTTTAGGGTTTAGGGTTTAGGGTTTAGGGTTCAGGGTTTAGGGTTTAGGGTTTAGGGTTTAGGGTTTAGGGTTTAGGGTTTAGGGTTGTTGGTTTCTTCCTGTTGGCGAGACGGTTTATGAAGCCTTCAGTTGTCTTGTGCAAGTACTAGGGCTTTGTGGAGGGCTTTCCTATTTCAAATGTTTGGCGCTTTCGGTGAGACTCAGTAGTCATCTTGCATCATCATGAGAGCTCTTCGGGCTTGCGTGCTTTCATTTTGCAGGCTCTCGGGAATTCTGAGTGGCTTTACTGTTGTGAACCCTACATTGTACAGTTCCCTAAGCGCTATAACCCTTGAGCCTTGAGTCGGGACTTCGTCCTTCCTACATAAACGCCAGAAGTGGTTAAGGGCCAGCGCCGCTGTTCGGATTAGTGTTCAGGGCTCAGGGCTATAGAGCTTCGGTTTCAGGCTTTATACAGGCTTTAGGGTTGAGGATTTAGGGTTTGGGGTTTAGGGTATCCTGCGCAACTACGCTTGAGAAGTCCAAGACCCCAGAAGGCAGATGTCGCTTGGGGTACTTCCACGGCACCAAATCACTGCCCAAGAAGCATTGGGTTTGAACGGGCTCGGGTTTGGGAAACTTTAGATCATGGATTCCCCTACTACCCCCCTCTATACTACCCCCCCCCCCCCCCCCTTCCCAGGTCCCCCCCCCAGAAGGAAGGCTATTTGGGGCTAATTCAGCCTAATTGAGATGATTTATGCGGCGCACCTGCGGGGGGTCTGGAAGACTTTTGAGAGTGCAGGGTTTCAGTGCTTGGAGGCCATGTGGGGCGAGCATGTGGTGCTCGTCGTTCACCTGGAGGACAATGGGATGAACGACTGCTTTTTGTGGGCGGATGTGACGGCCAGAAGGTCCTGAAAACTGGAAACTATCCAAGCAAGGATGTAGGGGTTTGGGCTTCAAACAAGATCTCACATCTAACATTCGGCACAGCAGATGGCAAGCACGTATCTTTCCCGAGCCCACATGTGTGCGCGTGTCTTTCAAGCTTGAAGCAGCTTGAGTGTCGACCTAAACCCTGAGCCGGCCTGAGCCAAACAGTAAATGAAAGGCCGAAACCACAGTATTTTCCGAGTATGAACGTCTTGCTGTAGACCCTAATCCACAGTCCTTCAGCCAGCTACGAGATTCCGTGTGCCGTTGACACCTGTCAAGGTGAGGGGGGCCGGGGGCAGGGTGGGGGTTGTGCACGGGGAGGGGGGTGTTAAATTGCGGCGACAAGAACTGGCCATCTTCACATGAGCCGACCAAGCGCCAGCATTCATACCTGCGCCCCAGTTTCGTGACGACTTGCCATGCTCATCGTGTCAAGGTCAATGTTGGGGCCCCTAAACCCTAAACCCTAAACCCTAAACCCTAAACCCTAAACCCTAAACCCTAAACCCTAAACCCGCCCCTAAACCTAAACGTTTAGAGGGAGCCCTACATTGTGGGCTCCAAAGCGACTCGCCCGCTGCGGAGGAAGGGGACTTCATTGCAGACGTCGGCCTTGGTGAGGTGTTTTTAGGGTTTCCTTTGGAGGGTCGGCAGCTGACCCTAAACCCAGAGCATACTATGTTTGTTATGTTATTCTTATTCTGATTTTTATGATTATTGTCATTGTTGTTATGATTATTCCATATTACAGCTGCCTGTATGAATAAGAATTATTGCATATGATCATGATTGCTTATGTCTTTTTGATTGTGTTTTTGTTTTTTGCAACCCTAAACCCTAAACCCTAAACCCTAAACCCTAAACCCTAAACCCTAAACATTACTGTTGTATTTTATTGCCACATGCACCCATGCATCCAGGGCTCGCGGTCGCCGGTGCGATTGGAAGAGGCTGCCTGGACTGAGGACCGAACCGGCTAGAGCTCAGAAGGTGCATGGTGGTTCAGGGTTTAGGGTTCAGGGTTTAGGGTTTAGGGTTTAGGGTTTAGGGTTTAGGGTTTAGGGTTTAGGGTTCCATAAAGCCGCCGAGTTTTGGGTTTAGGCATTTGGGAGATGTGCGGTATGAGGGATTGGTTTTGTTTAGAGAATGTTGCCGCCGCCCTCAGTCCGTGCGTCAAAACGGGTCTCGGGCGTAGAGTTTGTTCGTATGTCCAACCTCAAAGAGCTCCCCTTGTGGGGGCACGTGCTCACGCTGCAACTGAAGGCAAACTGTTTTCCCGGAAGGCGAGAGTCGGGATAATTGTTCAAGAGTCCCTGCCTGGCTACCAAATATGGGGAGATGATTGTTCCGCATGTTTAGCAGTGGTGATTTCAATGCAGGTCCGCTTGCATTTGAGCCTGAATGGTATGGGGTCCTAGAGCTCCCAGTGGCACCTGTAAAATCGCTGGGGTTTGGGAGGCTTTTGCAGGAGTTTAGGGTTTAGGGTTTAGGGTTTAGGGTTTAGGGCGCAAAAGCTTCTCCTCGACCTTTTGCTATTTGAGTCGGCCAGGATGGCTTCGAGTTCTCTCTGAAATGCCGCTCTGGAGGACAGCTTGCACAGGCTTTTGAGTGTTTGGCCGGTTTAGGGTTTAGGGTCTATTTCGGGTTTAGGCCATACAGGTTGTACAGGGTTCATAGGTTTTTTTTATAGGGTTCAAAGTCACCCTTGAGTTCGAAGAGGAAGAGTTTGGCAAGAGGGGGGGGGGGGGTACCGGAACATGTTTCCGGTATCCCTTTGTGCTTTGAAACATCTGCCGCATCGAGCTTCAGGCTCCAAACGCAGTTGGGTAGTGTTTCGCTACGCATTTTGGCCCCAATTTCGGCCCTTACACCCTTATTCTCATGCAGGCGTTGCTTGTTTGTGTCGCACTTTGGGCGCCGCTTGCTCCCTCTGAGGGTTGCAGGCTGGGCTAGGAGAGAAGCTCATCTCTGCAAACCCTAACCCTAAACCCTAAACCCTAAAACCTAAAACCCTAAACCCTAAACCCTAAACCCTAAACCCTAAACCCTAAACCCTAAACCCTAAACCCTAAACCCTAAACCCTAAACCCTAAACCCTAAACCCTAAACCCTAAACCCTAAACCCTAAACCCTAAACCCGAACACTCAGCCACTCAAGTCGAAAAACTAGAACCCTCCTTCTGGTTGGACAAATGCCTTCATACACCGACTTCAGCCCAATTTGGAGCCTCAAGGCGGCCAGCAGCTTCCTCCTGATTTATGACTTCTACTTTGCTCGTAGTAATAGTAGTACGACGATGGTGTTTGTCGTTGTTGTTGTAGTGACAGCTGTTGTCCGACAGTTCTTGAACATCGTTATTCTGAGAAGTGCTTTGGGATCATCTGTAGTTTCCTTTCTTTCCTTATAAGGGAACGTATTCATAAACAATGAGCACGAAAACAGAACGCACAGGAGAGTGGCGATTTGAGAACCCCATCAATGCCACGGGGTGCCTGCCTGGCTATGCATTTGCAGCTTGCCAAGCAGCTGGTGTAATATTGGGGTCGGAATAGGGGTCGGAATAATTACGAATAGTAGTCCTGATGATGATCCCTTTGTAATATTTTGTAATCTTACTAGAATAACCCCCAAAAAACCTATTCTAACTATCAAGGCCCCTATAGTAGGACCTTGTAGGACACTTAGGAAAAGCTCTTAGAAGTGACTCTTGGGCAAACTCCAGGCTTACACACCTCAGCGAATAGATCCTCCTAAACCCTAAACCCAAACCCCAGCTGGGTCTTGAACCTGACTACTTCCAGAGCAAGCATCCTACCCTTTGCTGCAATTCGCGGGGCGTACGTCGGAGGCGCGTTGTGCGGCTACCAGCAGCCAGCAAGTCTGGAGCCCCTTTTAGGTACAGAAAGTCTCTGAGATGAAGCCCGAGGATCATCTCTGAAGAAGGGACGATGATCTGTTCGCGAAGTTTCTCGCAGTCCCTGAAAAGCTCATAGCAGCTCCTTAGAGCTTATGTACGTTTTATGCGAGATTGGACTCTGTGCACCTTCACTATGGACCTTCCTTTGCGGTTGACAGTGGGATCCCTGCTGATTCTCCAGCGCGTTTCAGTCTGTTGGACATGAAGTCGTGCCATGTTGTATGCCACATGGGAAGTAAACGAAAATGGAGCAAGTCTGTGAGGTTCTTTCGGACAACCATCAGACCTGTAGCAGAGTCATGTAGCCGTGGCCTGAGGGTTTAGGGGGCTCGGAGGCCGCATGCTGTAAAACGGTGTATGGCGAATATAGTTTTCCGCATATTTAGTACTCGGAAAATATTTACCCCTGTCTGACAAAGACTCGGCCGGAAAATGCGTGAAGATGCCCTGGTTCTTCGTAGGGAATGAGGGAATATTGGGTACCTCATTCCCTCATTCCCTACTAAGAACCAGCCAGATGTCTGAAGAACTGTCTCAGGACGTGAGTACAAGCGCTCCGAACTTTGAGGAGTTCGAGGCATTCCACGAGTTTTACTGGGCTCACCCAGACTCGCCCTACGCGCCCCGGCCGCCTCGTACTTGGCAGTAGCCTGTAAGCACTGACATGAGGACTCAAGGAAGCAAAGTTCCACCTTAGGGTTTAGGGTTTAGGGTTCAGGGTTCAGGGTTCAGGGTTCAGGGTTCAGGGTTCAGGGTTCAGGGTTTAATTTGCAGTCTCCCAGCTGTTTTCACGGTTGAGGAGATACAAATGGTTCTTGAAGGCCTTGGCCTTCCCAAGTTTTGGCGAAATGCCAAACCTCCAATATACCCCCAAAATGCGATCATCCTCATTGCCAACCTCCACCGGGCCTTTAAAGAGCCGAGGTCATCGGCCCTGCCTTCTGTCATCGCAAGACCAAGGGCCAAGGCAAAGGGTTTTGGATTTGGGGTTGAGGGTTTGGGGTTTCGGGCCTGGGGAAGAGTTGAGAGGGTGTTTTTGTGGGTGGTTTGCCCTTGACCTTGAGATGTTCCCCCTTCTACTGACAGTCCGTAATGGGGATGATAATCGGGGGTACTATAATCCCTATTCGGGACTGTTAGTATAAGCGGGGAACATCCCAACCTGAACCCCTCAACCCAAAGAGTCCACAGGTATCTTCTCGCTGCATGCCTGCACCCTTCGGAGAACTCATCCAGAGCTGCCAGGCAACGGCCTCAGAAGCTCAGAGGGATGTGGGGGGGTTTCCGATCTTAGGAGGTACCTTATCTGGGGGTCCTTATTGTCAGGGAATCCTACTTTTTTGCGGGGTGGGGGGGGGGGGGGGTGTGCAGCTTAAATAGGGTCTATTTGGAAGCTGGGAATCGTATTTACAAGAGGAAAACAGGCCCCAAAACGTATACTTATTCACAAGAGCCATGTTCCAAATAGACCCTATTTTAGGTCCTGTAGGGTTGCACAGACAGAATTTAATTCATTAAATTCCTTAATTTCCACTTTCCCCCTGGAATTTAATGAATTTAATGAATTAATTCAATTAATTCATTTATTTCCAAAGGGGGGGTGGAATTAATTGAATTAGTTGAATTAATTGAATTAATTGAATTAATTGAATTAATTGAATTAATTGAACCCCCCCCTTTGGAAATAAATGAATTAATTGAATTAATTGAATTAATTGAATTAATTGAATTAATTGAATTAATTGAATTAATTGGAATTAATTCAATTAATTCAATTAATTCCACCTCCCCTTTGGAAATAAATGAATTAATTGAATTAATTGAATTAGTTGAATTATTTCGATTAATTCAATTAATTCAATTAATTCATTTATTTCCAAATGGGGGGGATTCCCCAGCCCCCACCCCTCCCCCCCCTTTGGAAATAAATGAATTAATTGAATTAATTGAATTAATTCAATTAATTCAATTAATTCAATTAATTCAATTAATTCAAATAATTCATTTATTTCCAAAGGGGGGGTGGAATTAATTGAATTAATTGAATTAATTGAATTAATTGAATTAATTGAATTAATGCAATTAATTCAATTAATTCAATTAATTCAATTAATTAATTTATTTCCAAATGGGGGGGATTCCCCAGACCCCACCCCCCAGCTCGATTTGGCCAAATTTTGCCCGGAGGCTGCCCGGCAAAATTTGGCCAAATCGAGCCGCGCCTTTCTGGAGGCCCGAAATTATTTAAACTATCGCGGCTCGATTTGGCCAAATTTTGCCGGGCATCCTCCGGGCAAAATTTGGCCAAATCGAGCCACGCATTTCTCATCGCATACGAAGGGCAGCCCGATTTGGCCAAATTTTGCCCGGAAGCTGCCCGGCAAAATTTGGCCAAATCGAGCCGCGATAGTTTAAAAATTTCGGGCCTTCAGAAAGGCGCAGCTCGATTTGGCCAAATTTTGCCCGGAGGCTGCC